TTTATATGAAGTATTTATATTTAAATTTAAATTATTATATGACATATTTACATGTGCTGCCGAATTTACATCATCTGAAAAACTGGAGCTCAAACAGTGACAGTCAACACACGCGCAGAGTACTGTAGTACAGAGTACTGTAGTACAGAGTACTGTAATGCAGAGTACTTTAGTACAGAGTACTGTAGTACAGAGTACTGTAGCACAGAGTACTGTAGTGCAGAGTACTGTACTGCAGTTAAGGACAGAGTACTGTAGCGCAGAGTACTGTACTGCAGTAGGGCAGAGTACTGTAGTACAGAGTATGTAGTACAGAGTACTGTAATGCAGAGTACTAGTAGAGTACTGTAGCACAGAGTACTGTAGTACAGAGTACTGTAGTGCAGAGTACTGTACTGCAGTTAAGGACAGAGTACTGTAGCAGTACTGTAGTACAGAGTACTGTGTACAGAGTTAAGTACAGAGTACTGTAGAGTACAGAGTACTGTAGTAGAGTACTGTAGAGTACTGTAGTGCAGTTAAGGACAGAGTACTGTAGTAGTACTGTAGACAGAGTACTGTAGTACAGAGTACTGTAGTACAGAGTACTGTAGTGCAGTTAAGGACAGAGTACTGTAGTGCAGAGTACTGTAGTGCAGTTAAGGACAGAGTACTGTAGTGCAGAGTACTGTAGTGCAGTTAAGGACAGAGTACTGTAGTGCAGAGTACTGTAGTACAGAGTACTGTAGTGCAGTTAAGGACAGAGTACTGTAGTGCAGTTAAGGACAGAGTACTGTAGTGCAGAGTACTGTAGTGCAGTTAAGGACAGAGTACTGTAGTGCAGTACAGAGTACTGTAGTGCAGAGTACTGTAGTGCAGTTAAGGACAGAGTACTGTAGTCAGTAAGGACAGAGTACTGTAGTGCAGTTAGGACAGAGTACTGTAGTGCAGAGTACTGTAGTGCAGTTAAGGACAGAGTACTGTAGTGCAGTAGTACTGTAGTACAGAGTACTGTAGTACAGAGTACTGTAGTGCAGTTAAGGACAGAGTACTGTAGTGCAGAGTACTGTAGTGCAGTTAAGGACAGAGTACTGTAGTGCAGTTAAGGACAGAGTACTGTAGTGCAGAGTACTGTAGTGCAGAGTACTGTAGTGCAGTTAAGGACAGAGTACTGTAGTACAGAGTACTGTAGTGCAGTTAAGGACAGAGTACTGTAGTGCAGAGTACTGTAGTGCAGTTAAGGACAGAGTACTGTAGTGCAGTTAAGGACAGAGTACTGTAGTGCAGAGTACTGTAGTACAGTTAAGGTCAGCAAAATGGTGAATGTTAAAGTAGGAAAAGTTGACAGAATGTTTTCACAGAACAGTGGACCACTGATTCTTTTGTTCAGTGTTGGACTGTGCAGTTTGTCTGATATGTAAAGAAAGTGTGTCAGTTTTCAAAGAATATAATCTGTGTCTTCAGGGTCATACAATTCTACAGTTATACAGCCGACCTGACCCCGGCCCCGGCCCCCATCACAGTCAGGAGCCATAATGTGGGCCCCAGAGAAAAAAGTTTGGTGACCCTGATCTAGAGAAACAGGCTTTAGTGCAGGGGTCTCCCACATGTAACACAGGAGCTCCCTGTAACTCTCCACCCTTTTCCAAGTCGCTCACCAAGGGATTTCTGAATTATACATATTGTGCTGAATAACTCAAATTTGATGGATTGAATGACTAGAACATTGTAAATTTATAATGTTGATTCATAACTTTGTGCACTAATAAATTGGTTTATGTTTTATAGGCCTCTAACTGTACGCATCAAGACCTGCTGGGGCTCTTATATACTAAATGTATTTGTAGTAGTAGTACTTTTTTAAATGATCCCTGTAGCAGTGGGCAGCACATGGAGCGTCCTGGGACTTATCTCCATGATCTTGTTGTTAGGCTTGGTCAGGACGACCTCAGCTGGAGGATTTTAACTGTGGTGCATGTTTTGGGTTGATGGGGGAAGCCGGAGAGCCCGGAGGAAACCCACCCAGACACAGGAAGAACATGCAAACTCCACACCAGGGCCCAGGCTCACTCAGCCACCGTCCTCCCTGACATTTTTGAGGGAAATGGTTGGAACCCCATGTTTTAGAGATAAAGTTTAGAGATGATGTCAGATCCTGTCCTTATCTGTTGTTAGTGTTGTCAGTACAAACAGCTGTATTTTGGTCCTTTCACCTGCGTCTGAGCTTCTCTGTTTGAGGAGATTAAAGACCCGACTTCTATTGTCTGTTTGTTTTTGTATTGAAGGTTAAACAATGAAATGAGTCGACTCTCATGAAAACAGATAGCATCTTTTGGACAGGGTTAGTTTAGTTTAGTTTCCATTTGTAGTTAAAAACATATTGGAAAAACACGTGCGAGAAGCTCAGAGTTACAAACATGGATGCAGATGTTTATGCTCTGCCCAGAATGTTCCACAGTGGCATTAAACGTGCAGGTGTATTTATTGTTCTAAAATACACTAAAAGATCCGGGAAGCTTATATCGCAAAAAAGTTTCTTTTTTACTGTTTGTCTGGTTGTCAGAGTAGACGTGTAGTTTTACTGTGAGCTGGGGGCACTCGCTTGTCTCCATGACGATAGAGAAACCTAATGCAGTACTGTGGAACACTGTAGGCAAAGCAGTAACATTTTCATCAAGCAGCTGACTAACCTTCACCACAAAAATTACCTACAGCTATAAATATAAATATAGCATGCTAATGGTGTACTTCCTGGTTTGCAGATGTTAAATGCACACAGTGGTCTCTGTGTGAGCTGTTTTTACAATACACACATTTTTACTTCATCACATGGAAAAAAACATGTGTAGAGTCCCTTTAAACAGTATGTCTTTGTCCCACTGTGCAGAAGTGCTGCCTCCCTGTGTGTCAGATGCCCTCCCCTCCTCCCTGTCCTTTTCTCTCCTCTTCTGTCCCTTTCTCTTGTGTTCCCTTCTCTTCTGTCCTTTTCTCTTCTCTTCTGTCCTCTTCTCTTCTGTCTCTTCTGTCTCTCTGTCCTCTTCTCTTCTGTCCTCTGTCCTCTTCTCTTCTCTTCTGTCCTCTTCTCTTCTCTTCTCTGTCCTCTTCTCTCTCTTCTGTCCTTCTCTTCTCTGTTCTGTTCTGTTCTTCTTCTGTTCTGTCCTCTTCTCTTCTGTCTCTTCTCTTCTGTTCTCTTCTCTTCTGTCTCTTCTCTTCTGTCCTCTTCTCTTCTCTCCTCTTCTGTCCTCTTCTGTCCTCTTTCTCTTCTTCTGTCCTCTTCTCTTCTGTTCTTTCTCTTCTCTTCTGTCTCTTCTGTCCTCTCCATCTGTCCTCTTCTCTTCTCTTCTGTCCTCTTCTTCTCCTCTGTTATCTTCTGTCCTCTCCTCTTCTCTCCTGTTCTCTTCTCTCCTCGTCTGTCCCTCTCTCTCTTCTCTCTCTGTCCTCTCTTCTCTTCTCTCTCTCTCTTCTGTCCTCTTCTCGTCCTCTTCTCTCTGTCTTCTCCTCTTCTGTCCTCTTCTGTCCTCCTCTCTTCTGTCCTCTTCTGTCCTCTTCTCTTTCTTCTGTCTCCTCTTCTGTCCTCCTCTCTTCTCTATTCGTCTGTCCTCTTCTCTTTTGTTTCTTTTGTTCTGTGGAGTGTGAAATTTGTCGTGTTTCTCATTTGACTCAAAGCAAAAATGTGGAGAATGTTCCTGATCACATGACCCCAGAGCCGCACCATAAGCACCTGGAACACTCCCATCATGCACCAGGCTCTCAACACACTCCCATCATGCACCAGGCTCTCAACACACTCCCATCATGCACCAGGCTCTCAACACACTCCCATCATGCACCAGGCTCAAAAGACTGTATGAATGAAGCGTGTGTTCTGTAGTGTGATGTAAGTCTCCAGTGATTTAAACCGGGTCGCTGTGGTTAAAGCTGTAAAAAGAAAACTGATACCAAGACACTAATCAATACTAAAACTTGATATTGAATAATAGTGTAAAAGAATCACTTACACAGAACCTTCTTTGAATTGTTTTAAATGGTCTATATTAGAACTAGTATAAAACCACAAAAACACTCATATTTTGTTTTGTAAAATACAGAAGAAATGACTCAATCTTGATTTTAAAATAATTATTTATGTTTACTACTTTGTACATATACACAGAAGACCTCAAATATGTGAAGTAGGACATGAAAAAAATGGAATAACTCTACAAAATATTTTTTTAGGGTGGCCACTTTGAGGATTTCAATAAATAAATAGTAAATATTGGTTTCGTTTTAGTTTCTTTGCGTCATATATTTGTTGTCTTCTGTGAGTTTATAAAATAGGGATGGGACAAGACACAATTTTCACAAGACGAGACGAGACACACCACAAGATTATATCCATGAGAACCAGACAAGACAAGATTTTGACATAATTTGTTAAAAAGAAGTAGTGCAATCCATTTCACAACTTCGGCTTCACTGTTTTTATTTATTTTATGCAATACTTTAGTGGTCATTGTAGTACATCTTTTTGAAACTGCAGCTTTTCAAATTGTGTAACTCACCAGCTCTTAACTTTTTTTTTTTTGTCCAGGAATAAATCTCACAAGATCATTTTTCTTAGGTGTGCACGATCTTGTGGCAATTTTGTTTCGTGAGTGGGATGAGAACTTGTCCCATCCCTAATATAAAATATAGAAAGCAGTAAAAATAAAGACAACATTTGACTGGTAGTATATATATTTTTATATTGCTGTGTTTCAGACGACTTTACAACATTCTAGGCCAATAATATTTAATACAGATGGGGCAGCTTAAATGAATATTGTTCAAATGTAGATTTGTGTTGTAATTCAGTGAGTTTTTGGGTCTAGTCACTAATAGAAATGGTCAGGTTCCACATTTGTGAATTTACCTTTTGGATATTTCGTGGTAGAGTGTACAGTGTAATCAATGGGAGAACTGTGTCTTGCTTCACATCACACTGTAGAATCTGAAAACCACCAATAAACCATGATGTTATTGTCTGTGTTTTTGTTCAGGACCCTCACAGACCCTGGAGTCCTGTGGAAGAGGGGCTCAACTCAAAGCGTTCCAGAGACGAAGGCCTGGTCCCTCTGGTGATCCCGGTCTCAGTCCCAGTCCGAAGACCGGAGTCCTCCCCAGACTCCAGGGAAGAACCAGCTCTAGTGTGGACCAGAGACCTGAGCAGAGTGGACCATAAGCCCTCAGTAATCGTGGCGAGGAGGAGGTCCCTCAGGAACTCCCTCTCAGACAACACAGACCAGGTAAGAACAAATCAAACTGAGGCTAATGCTTCTCAGTGCAATAGTACTGATTTATTGAAGTCTTTATTTCAACTTTAACTTTCTGAAGGTCATGTCACTTGGAAATAGAAAGTTAAAATCATATTTCGGAACATTCTCCATGGATATAGATATGCTGTTTGCCATACTGTGAGATATTATAGCTAAAGAAACAACATTTTCATGGAAACAAGCAGGAGGTGGTCTTCCTCCATGTCAAATAAGAGTCAGGTCTGTGCAGATGCAAGTAGGGATGTGCAAAAATATTCAAATATCGATATATCGTATCATTTATTGTGATGATACAGTATCGATATTGTGGGCTGCTGTGTCGATATATCACCAAGAGTATTTTTTTGCATATTTTACAAAATGATTTTGTTACAGCTACAGTTTTGGTGCTTGTTCAGGGGAAGGAAACTCGTTTATGAGACATATTTGACATTTTCACAGTTTCACTGATGATTAAAATGTTTGTGTTTCATATGAACTTTGCACAAGACGTGGTTTAACAAAGACTTTTAGTATCACAGACATGATTTATTCTTTATTTTTTATTGAACTCTATCAAATCGAAAGCTCACTGTATCGAGGTATGTATCGTATCGTGGCCTGTGTATCGTATCGGCATTTTCTGAATGATACCCAGCCCTAGATGCAAGCCCGCTCAGAGTAAGGATGTATTTTTTTCAGACCAATAAACCAAAACCACAACCAAAATCAATATAAAAAACATGCTTTTATTTGTCTATTTTTTTTGGCAAAGAACTTATATTCTGTGGCTTTAAAATAAGAAAGCAATATTTGAAAATGAATCAGTAGAAGTGAAACTTGTATAGATCCTGCCCCTTTTCCCTTGCAGGAGTATTAGTGCAGTTTCTTCAAGATTTACACAGAGTAAGAGCCCCTGGAGACACGAGGAGGACATCTGACACACAAGGACATGTAGCTCTCAAAAAGAACATTATATAACCTAAATAATTACAGCCTTTGCCATTTGTATTTTTCTACCATTCAAATCACACTTTCTATTTGTATTTCGTAGCTACACAGAAATGAATCAGGATCAAACACTCTTGGAGTTATAAATCCACTTTTCTAAGTTTTCAAGATTGCACTTTCTACTGCAACACCAGCACATCCTCACTGACCCTGATCACATGACTTCAGCAGCCAATCAGAGACCAGCAGCATCACAACACTGAGCAAAAGCAACTCCCTGATTCCAGCACAGCTTTAAACTCCTTAAATATCTGTATCCTCCCATAACAGACCCTCCCCCATGTTTAGCCCTCCACCCCTCCCCCGGTCACTGTATTTTCTGTTGTCATTGGGGGATTCTCACATGTCCCCCCACCCATGTCCCAGATAAAGAGATTAACGGGTTTATCTGTTACTGTACCCCTCTGTACTGTTCCATATACTGTGAGGAACTGGGGCTCTTGCTGCAGTACTTGGTTACATGAGACTTGCATCATTTTGCCGTTGGATCTTAAAGGTGCACTGTGTTTCTGGTGGAGTTTCACTACTTAATAGAAGTGTATTTAATATGTATTTAATTTCAGGTACCTTGAAAAACAAACATACCAGGACTGGATGATTTGGTGAAAATATCTAATAGCATTTTTCTGACAAGCACTGAAATTAATTTTGAGCTTCATGTTTTAATAATACGATTCAAAGTTCTGAGAACAGAAACTAATAAAAGAATCACATTTCAGGGCATGTTTGTACAAATCTAAACTACAGGGTTAGATGTTTTTATGCAGAATAAAGGCCTATTCATACTTCATAAGAACATAAGAACTTTCTTGTTCTTGTTCTTGAGGTGACAAGAACAAGAACAAAGTTCATGAGGGTCTGACATTTCATACTTCAAAACATGTTCTTCTGTCCAACTGCACTGCCCCCTTCTATTGCGAGGGTATTTCTTTTTGTCCTTTGGCCTGACCGCTCTTTTTTTTTTTTTTTGGTGACCCGTATTTTTTTGACTTTTGCAAACTTGTCACGGAGATTACACCAGACATTTCTACATTGATTTTCATCCCAGCCTAAAATGTCGGCGATCTCCCTCCATGAATTTCTTGCCATTTGGCGTCTTTATAGTCACTGAGCATCGTGTTGTGTAGATTTTTGTATTTTGTCACCATTTCCACCAGCTGTGACTCAAAACCATCCTCTCCTTTTTTTGCTCCACACCGGCGAGGAAGCAGCCGTTGGATCTCATTCGCCTGTTGGCTCCAGCAGATAAACCACAGCCACATAAATAACCAATCAAAGCAAACATGTTGGACAACGATGCTGAAAAAAGTTCTGCTCAGCTGAGGTGTCGAGAACAAGCCTCAAGAACTGCCCAACAGCAGCTGGCCTGAAAAAATTGCGTCATTTTGTTGGGGCAGCTCTGGGTACAAGAACAAAGTTCTTATGTTCTTATGAAGTATGAATAGGCCTTAAGAGTCCATGAAGACACAGGGAGGGCATCTGACACACAGGGACAGGTCCCTACTGAGAAAAAAAATCTGTCAAATGTATTTAAGGGTTGATGTCTTAGGTGGGTAATTCTCAGTCAGTATGGTTGGGGTTTCAGTGGCAGCCAAGGAAAACCCAAACAGTCCCAGAGATTCAAATCTAGACTGAAGACTAAAATGGCTTCATCTGAGTGTATGCTGCTGACTAAGTTAAAAAAAAACAACAGGGATAGTACTATGATGTTTGGTTTGGAGTTACTATGCTATTACTATAAACACTAGTCAGTAGGATGAGACCGAATTATATTTCATTGTATTGTATTTTATTTTTGGTTTATTTGACTTTTTTTTCTTTTGCTGTACAATAGCCCCCAGTTCTGATTGCTTTGTTTTTTTCATATTAGTCGAACTCAGTGACTTTGTGAGTTTGTCTTGAAAAGTTGAAATGAAAATGAATGTCTCAATCTTGATTTCAGTAATTTTAAGTTTTTTTGTTTTTTTTTCTGCAGAATGGAGGAGTTGGGGACAGCTCACAGGACGATGACCCTAAAAAGTCCAAACGGCGCCCTCGCCCTGAGCCTCTCTTCATCCCTCCTCCCAAACCCACTCTGTTCATCGCTCCACCCGTTTACTCGTCCATCACTCCATACCAGTCCCACCTGCGCTCCCCTGTGCGTCTGGCAGATAACCCCCTGGCCATGCCCCCCTACACGCCCCCTCCCATCCTCAGCCCCGTCAGGGAGGGCTCGGGTCTCTACTTCTCCACCTTCCTCTCCTCCGCCTCCGCCAGTGTCCAGGGCCTCCCGCCCGCAACACCCAAGTCCGCCACTAGGAGTCTGCTACGATCCAGTAAGTCACTGGAATGATAACGATACGAGTGGTTCTACTATTGTTTGAATTTTGTTGGAGGGATATTATGCCAAATTGTTCTTATGAGATTTTAATCCTGATATACAGTGGTCCCTTGCAGGTTATTTTTAGAACATAACCCCGCGATAGGTGAAATCCCTGAAGTAGTCAACTTTATATTTTACAACTATTATATCTGTATATATGTTTTAAGACTGTAAAACCCCTTTCATACTCTTCTCAGACTTAAAACTTATTGCTGCTGTCATCCTTTTGTTATTTTCGTTTTTTATGTAACGATAAGATTCATTTATTCTGTAATGGATCTCTACAGCACAGAGTCCTGCACCGCGCAGTACAGCACCGCACCCGCCCGTTAACCCGAGATTATATCAAACTTTTGCGCTGCATACGCCACGGACTGAACCAAGACTAAACCAGGACTAAACCAGGACTAACCTAGGACTGATTCCAGGACTGAAGAGGAGGACTGAACTGGGACTAAAACAGGACCAAACCAGAACTCAATCAGGACTCATTGTCAGGACGGGCTCGGAGTGACAAAAATTGCAAAATTGCACAAAAAAAATCTGAGAAACAGGAAGACTGCGAAAGGTGATAGAGCGAGGGACGACTGTAATGGTTTTCACCTTGACTAAAGTCTGTGCTTCTGTCCTTTCAGACAGTTCAGACATAACTCCTCCAATTTTGACGTCGATCGGAGAGGCCACTCCCGTCAGCCTCGAGCCGTGAGTATTTCACATTGATCTACTGTATAATAAGACCTGGAAAAGACACTCCCCCTCTGTCCCTGTACGAGACCAACTAGTGGCCACTCCTGGTACAGCAACTCTCGGAGCTCAGGCCCAGAAAGAATTCTCCCATACAACATAGAGTATTTTAGGGGGAACAGGGCACTGTTTCACCAAGATTTTGTAGGGATATTTTTGTAGTTTCACAACTAGCTTAGCCCCGCTCTGAGCCGCACTAGCTCCACTCCCACTCCCACTAGCTCTGATTGGTCACAACTGATCATGTGGTACACGTCTCTGGCATCACACGTTTGGCTGCATTAGTTTGTATTCAGTTTTGTTTTTTGGGGTAATGATCACAAGTCACTGAATACAACCTGACACCAGCTTTGCTTCATCTTCAGGTCTTCTTATACTTCCCTGGTATTTCATTTCTAAAAATACAACATTGAGCCAGATGCAGGGAATAAACACTGACCTCACTGATGGTTTTATTGAATGTTTCCAGTCGTATAAACATCGGGTCGCGGTACCAGGCGGAGATCCCGGAGCTCAGGTCGAGGGCTGCAGTGGACCAGGACCAACACAAGGCCACGCTGCTCTGGGCTCCACTCAAAGAGATGGAGGAAAACCTTAGCTACCAACAGAAAGGTGACACGTCTGTTCTGACAAGTGCACTGGTGTTAAGAGAGACTACAGGATAGAAAAGAAGTAGAAAAGTTACATATTGCATCTTTACTTTGGTCTAAAAGCATGAAAGAGAATGCATTAAAGATTCTCACAGTTATTATTATTATTATTATTATTTTCTTACTTAACTTATCAGGTCAAAATAAGTGTGCTGTGTACCGTCTGCATATAAGTTTAAAGTGTTTTAGCTTATAATTTGGAACTGCTCTGTTAGCATGCTAGTAAAGTGTACCTTAAAGGGCCCATCTCATACAAAATAACTCTTTTCACATTGTATCTTCTGCACATAAACAAGCACAATTTGGGTTTTGGAACATCCATTACACAATAGTTCTGAAATCTTACTGATTTCTTGGAGACAGTCACAGACCAGGAACTATGAAGGTCCGACTATTGCTCCTCCCCCCGCCCGTCCTGAGAAAGCACAGGCTCCTCCCTCCAAACGTGACGTAGGCGACGAGTGAGCCGCCCTTCCTCCGCCATCTCAGGGAGGGAGGGGGAGACAGGTGTGCACCTGATAGTGGTAGGAATAAACTTTTATTCATCATGGAGATACAGCGCGTTCAGCCGCATGTGCTTGGACCTGGAATCGGATGAGGACTTTGAGGAGCACGAAGCTCAAGCACCGCGTCCACATCAGCTGAACATTACTGATTGGTAAAGTTTTAAACTTTACCAATAAACTTATTATATCGTGTAACTGCAGTGGAGAACAATGAGCTTATGCTGAGGCGGTGGAGGCGGTGGAGCAGGGGAGGGTGGGCTTGTGCAAAGAAATACACTGCAGTTTGTTAAAAAAACGCAGAATCAATCTAAAAAACACTTTAGAGACAAATACAAGGCCCACACATCACTCTTAGAAGGTAGAAAGCTCTGAAAAGTTGATTTTGCATGAGATGGGCCCTTTAAGCCTTAGTTGTTATACTCATGCAACAGTCAAACTGTGGTCTCTGAAAGTTGTGAAAAGCTGTTAGAAACTCATTGTGGTGAATAATTCTGCTGCTCTGAATGCAAAAGGGAAGTGAGGAAGAACTCTGGACTACTGCAAACTGTGTAGAATGAACTAGTTCAGTTTTTCCCATTTTAAAGACAGTAAAATTCCTCTTAACACCTCAGCAGTCTGTAAATAATAATCTTTTAACAGCAGTTGAAACCTCACTCCCCGGTGTAAGCCCATTTATTTGTATGTATCAGATTCAAGCATTAGTCATCGCTGTAGTGAAAGTGATGAGTAAACTCCAGACTTCCTGTAGCTTCATTCTTACTCATTTTTGCGCCGTTTTTTTTACAGTGTAACCTGCTCTCACACTTTCCTCTCACATATTTTACAGTGCGTGACCTTCTTTCTCACTCTGTAATTTCATTTATTTATTTTTAAGTTATTTTGTGTTGCGCTGTACCTGAGTTCATTGGTCCAGAGCTCTTCCTCATTTACCTTATGCATTCAGAGGATCTTATTTATCCACCATGATGAGTTCAGAAGCACTTTTCATAACTTTCAGAGGCGAGAGTAGAGTTTTGCTTTTTCACAGTAATGCTAGCAAGCTATCAGTGCACCTCCTGATTATCGGAGAATGAAAAGCTTTGGAATTAGATGCAGACAGGACCCAGTGGACTTATTTGACCTCAAGACCTGTTGAGACAATATAAATGTACTGGGAAAAGACGAGGGATGTAACAATAACCAAAATATTGTGATATTGTATCGTAAAATGTCGCGGACTGTCATAATATATCAAGTCACACGTTCCTTTGCTTAAATGCAGGTTTTACAGTAGGAGTAGCTTATAAACATCAAGAACTGCATATCCCATGATTCATTTCAGTGCAAACAACATGAAGAAATATGTTTTTGACTTAAATTCTTGGGATTATGACAGAAATAATTCACACCAAAATCTTGTCAGGGTATTTCAAAAGCAAAAAAGTGTCCAATCTACAATTCAATCAGTCTCTCCAAAATATCATAATAAATATTGTATCGTGAGATGCATATCATGATAATATCGTACCAGGAGATTTGGGTATCGTTACATCCCTGGAAAAGACACATTTTACTCAAACACATGGAGAAGATCAAGTACAGGCCCTTTAAGCTGTATATTGTGGTATCAAAATTGGGATTGCATATCAAGCCTTTTCCCTAGTATTATATTGTAATTGGGTTGATGAGACTATATTTACGCTGCAGCCCCAACTTCTCACACTTTTTCATGTTTACTTGTTACAGTTCAGGACCTGATGCACTTGGCCTGTTCCAGTGTCTTCTCTGGAGGAGGAACCAACCAGGAGCTGGCCCATCACTGTCTGTTCCAGTGCCGAGGAGACGTCCTGGTGAGACGCCCCTTTTTAATTGCAATTTTAACCTGCAGAACCCAAGTTTTGAAATTGTGATAAGGAGTAACTGTGTAATTAAAGGAGTGTAGCCTCTACTCTGTTTAAAAAAAAAAAAAAAAAAAATATATATATATATATATATATATATATATATATATATATATAATCACATCTGAACCGGTGTCGCCTGAACATTAACCTCCAGACAGAGGAGAGAGGAGACACAATGTCTATAAGACGAGACATGACATGAGATTTGGCTCATGAGAATGAGACAAGACAAGATTTTGAGATAATTTTTAATAAATGAATTGTGCCCTTTTGTGCACAATTATAACTTAACATTTTTATTTTATTTTATAGTTTTGCTGTCATTGTAGCACTGCATCTTGGAATTACAGCTTCTCAAGAGGAGTTACTCTGCAAAGTTAACCCCCTTTTTATCCAAGGCAAATGTAAAAATATTAGGAAAAAATCTCACAAGTTCATTTTCCCCATGTGTGCACAGTCTTGTGGCAATTTTGTCTCGCAAGTTCTTGTGGCACGAAATCTTGTCCCATCCCTAATAACTAAGAATAAAGTCTGTCTAACTTGTTCCAAGCTCAAACAATCTCACACAAACAGTGAATATCTTGTTTGTTTTTTTTATTTTCTTGATAACAATAAGATCAGGAAAATTTTTAAAATACCAAATAACTATTCTACAAGGTTGAGAGAGTCGAGAGAAACTTTTCCTGATCCATCTGATACGTAAACATGTGGTGAAAGAAACACATAGAAAGTAAAAACAATGAACCACAAGAGTTCAAAAATAACACTTTATATTCTTAATTTAAAAATAAATCAACTTTTTGACTCTTTATTCTTTATCCTGAAGTGTGCACCCAAACATGTCTCCTTCATTTTGAAAGATTTGAATACATCCCAGTGACCCCCTTTTGTCCGAGTAAAATCCCCATTGCTTTTCAATAGAAGTGGAAATAACTCTAGTGTGTTTTTAATAACCTGAGTGAATGGACTGTGTCAGCTGTGAGTCTTGAGACAAACCGTTTCCATGGAGACGTGAGCCCGGCAACGGTCGCTCGGGCCCAAAAATCTCCTCCTTCGACTCCAGCAGCAGCAAATGTGTCTCTCCTCTTCCTCTCGTCTTTTTCTCTTCTCTTCTTCTCTGACTTGCAACTGTTCTTCGTGATGCACTGAATTCTACATTTTTTGCGTAAATGCATATAACGTTTTTTGTTTTAATGATTTTCAAATTAAGACTTTGTTTGGTGGGATAATATCTGTGGTGGCACTGGCAGTTTGAGGGGAAAAATGTAAATTTACAAGAAGAAGTGCTGAGTTCTAAAACAGAATCCCGGTTTTCAACAATGATTTAACAGAATAATAGCAAACTTTTTTCATCACTTCATAACTATTGTGTAAAATGGACAAGCCTTGCCAAATTTATTATGTCAAGTCTGCTGCTCATGCAAATTTTGAAGGTCCTTTCTTAAGCAAAATTGACTCTTGTGAGCTTTAAGCCATGTTATAATGCTTTTACCTGCTCAAAAACAGACCTGCAGTTGTATGGTGGTAGTTTTCCAGCTCCTTTTACTTTTAAATCCAAATCCAAAAAGAACAATCAGAGATATCAACCTGGTCCCCATGAGGCGTCGGTGGGTCAGTTCTTCACCACAGAAGCAGTTTATGAGGAGCTCAGCCCATATCACATGATCATTATATCCACAATACAATGTGTGTATGTGTACAGGCCCATGAACATTTGTGTGATGTTGGTCACACATGAGAATGTCTGTGTTTACTAGTGTGGAACCAAAATGTCATTGTTCATGAGTTGTGTGTGTGTTAGTTGTGTGACTGTAGATCAGTGTGTTGTGTATCACCAGAAAAACAAGAAATGGAAATTATTTTTGTTCCAATTAGAATTTTAACGGCTACACTGAAAGAGAAAGAAACTGTTTTAATTAGTGATTATCTGGAAAACTGTTCATATTTGACTATACAAATGCATAGAATTATAAATAGTTAATAATTTTTCTGAGATTTTGAGACACTCCCGTTGCTCGAGCTCGATCCTTCATGGAGTTATGACCAAAAACACATATTTGACCTTGGTTACCTTGACCTCCAAGTGACCTTGACCGGTTTCAACCTGTAACATCCAGTGTACCCCGGTTATGTGTGTGCCAACTTGTGTGATGATTGGGTGAATATTTTAGGTTGCAGATGGTTCAGAAATTGCTGAAATTGCAGATCCTTTATAATGGCGTGACCTTTCAATTGACCTGTGTGACCTCAAATGACCTCGGATCATCATCAAACTTTTTTTTTTGTGGCATCGGGCACGGGGGCTTGACCCACGTACCAAATTTGGTGACAATTGGTCCATAAATGGCGGAATTATCGCAGGTTGACAGACACACACACACAGGGTGAACACAAAACCTGGTCAACCCTTCAGGGATCAGGTCAAAATTTCTATAGCACATTTTACAAACAAAGCAGTTTCCAAAGTGCTGCACAGAGCTCATAAAATGAAGACAACAAAAAGGTAAATTGCAAAAAATGTGATCATACCAATCCTGAAACAAAAAAAAACAGTAACAATGAAATAAAATCAAAACCATAAAAATCATAAATAAGTAAAATAAATAAAAGACACAAAGGGCCACACAACTCATGCAGAGTTAAAAGCCAGAGAATAAAAGTGGGTTTTAAGATGAGACTTATAACTCTCCACTCTGGGAACTGTTCGGACGTGGGGGGGCAGAGAGTTCCAGAGTTTAGGGCCTTTAGTTCAGTAGATAATAGCAATTCCCGCACTGAAATGATCCAACTGATTCTTGTGAAGGTGGAGCACTTCCTGTATTACCACATGACATCGCAAACTGGGACAGAGTGTTTTCCGTTTGTGAGAAGAACTCCTAACTCCAGCATCTGCGGGTTAAAAATGTGTGAATGAAACAAAACACAGCTCCAGGTCTGTTTGTGATGAGGAAACAGCATTAGAGCAGAGGTCAGAACTGTGTAAAATGTGTTTAAAATATAAAAAATCACACGCAGTCTATCAGTTACTGCATGTATCAGCATCATCTTAATATTATTGCACAGTGAGCCATGTGAAACTGAGACCTGGAGATTCTCTGTGCTTTTAATAATGTACTCCCCTAATACTAGCACCCTGATAATGGGAGTGTAGATTTCTTGAGAACAGAGAGAGGAATCTGCAGTCAGCTCACTCCCAGTTACACAATAGTTTAACACAATGTAATCTGAAAATGTGCCAAAGGTTCAGTTACAAGCCGGTGCAGAAATCCAGTTTGAGATTTTATTACAGAAAGCATTTCCTTGCAGATGATGAACTGCTTTAAAAGGCCCATCTCATGCAAAGTCAACTTTTCAGAGCTTTCTACCTTCTAAGGCTGCGTTCAGACTGCAGGGCTTAACGCTCAATTCCGATTTTTTTGTGAAATCCGATGTTTTTGTGAGGTCGTTCACATTTCCAATTAAATGCGACTTGTATGTGATCCCCTGTGTGAATGTTAAACAGCCCGAAAGTGTTCCACATGTGCACTGGAGACACGATGATGTCCACCGCAGCGAGGGTGCTCTGTGTTTACCACTGTTGGACAAGTGACTTTAAAACTGTAATGCATTATTTATGACTTATTACTGTCATTTCAAAGTCATTTGTTACATTACAATATTACTGCATTTAAAATGTAAAACATTACATTACTATTGCAGCACTTTTAAGTTACTCTCACCAAAATAACTGCGAAGATGCTGAATTTTTGCGCCGTATATGGACTGAACCAGAACTAAACCAGGTCTAAACCAGAGCTGAACCAGGACTATAACAGGACTAACCTCGGACTGATTCGAGGACTGAAGAGGAGGACTAAACCAGGACTGAACTAGGACTAAACCAGAACTAAGCCAGAACTGACCCAAGTCTCAACCACGTCTAAACAGCGTGGAGTTCTGCGTCGGTCCTTTCGCCCGCGGTTACCTGAAGGTCTAAAATCAACTTTTCAGAGCTTTCTACCTTCTAAGAGTGATGTGTGGGCCTTGCATTTGTCGCTGAAGTGTTTTTTAGATTGATTCTGCATTTTTTTTTAACAAATTGCAGCGTATATCTGCAACCCTCCCACTTGACAACAAACTAAAGCTGCTACAATGATGACGCGGCAGATACACCTATGACACGTTTGATGTAGCAGAAAGAACTTCGCTCCTGCCCCTTCGCCCCGCCTCCACCGACTCCACCCCGCATCAGCTGACAATTCCCACATAAACACCTAAACAAAAGTGACAGCATAAGCTCATTGTTCTACACTGCAGTGTCCACGATATAATAAGTTTATCTACTAGTGTTTATTAAAACTTTACCAATCAGTAATGTTCAGCTGATGTGGACGCGGTGCTTGAGCTTCGTGCTCCTCAAAGTCCTCATCTGATTCCGGGTCCAACACATGCGGCTGAACGCGCTGTATCTCCATGATGAATAAAAGTTTATTTCTACCACTATCGGGTGCACGTCTGTCTCCCCCTCCCTCCCTGAGATGGGCGGAGGAAGGGCGGCTCACTCGTCGCCTACGTCACGTTTGGAGGGCGGAGCCTGTGCTTTCTCAGGACGGGCGGGGGGAGGAGCAATAGTCGGTCTTTCATAGTTCCTGGTCTGTGACTGTCTCCAAGAAATCAGTAAGATTTCAGAACTATTGTGTAATGGATGTTCCAAAACCCAAATTGTGCTTGAATACGTGCAGAAGACACAAAAGAGTTATTTTGCATGAGATGGGCCCTTTAAAAACATGTTATGCAATTTTTCTTGGAGGATCTTGGAGGGTCTTTCACTTGCTTGTGTCCATGGACATGCCTGTAATGTTCCACAGTATGGCATTAAAGCAAATCTATTTTGCATTTATTTCATTGCAATTGTTTTCATTGCTCAAAAAAAAAAGGCGGGGCACCGGGGAAGACCCAGGACACGCTGGAGGGACTATGCCTCTGGGCTGGCCAGGGAGCACCTCGGGATCCCCCTGGAAGAGCTGGAGGAAGTGTGTTTGGAAAGGGAAGTCCGGGAGTCCCTGCTCAGACCGCTGCCTCCATGACCCGGCCCTGGATAAAGGGGAAGAAAATGGATGGACGGATGGACTTGAAAAAGCTGCATTCTTACTGTGAGCGGGGTCACCTCTCCACAGATCTGACTTGTAATTGGTGAAGTCACATGCTTTTTGGAGATAGAAAAATACCATACGGTGGATCATTCCAAAGAAAACATTAACATCTCCACAATGACATATTAGACATCTCCAAAGCTTTTTTGTTTTTTTTATTTTTTTGAAACGAGAACACAGAAGTCTAAACTTTATTACAAATCCATGAGCTTTAACTTTGTCTGAACCCTTTCAACCACTTTCATGTTTTGGTTCTTCCTCTTCTTCTTCTTCTTCCTCTGGTATGCACTCATCACTCCCTCTGCTGGTGACTGCTATAATTTCCCCCTCACAGACACACCTGGAGTCGTGCCTTTTATATATATATATATATATATATATATATATATATATATATATATATATATATATATATATATATATATTACAACATCTTCAAAGCTCAAAATGTCATGAGGTGGTAGTTTTCAAGTGCAGCTCCTTTTACTTTTAGTTCAGTAGAGATTGGAAATTTCAAGTCTAAAGTTATTCATATGATTCTAGTGAAGGTGTGTGGAATTTAAAAACACGGTGGAGCACTTCCTGTATCACTACATGACATCACAAGGTGGAACAGAGTGTTTTCTGAGCCTAAATCTGCAGGGTTTGTGTGTTGAACATGTGACCAAAACATGTTTGCGATGAGGAAACATTATAACATCGATCAAAAAATAGCTCAGAATGGGCCCTTGAAATATTTGTAAAATTTTCTTAATGTGTGTTTCTTTTGTTTTGTTTTCCAGGCCGCTTTGTCGTTAATGATGTTGAGAAATCCGATTTTCCCAAAGTCTCATCATCTGTCCAACTACCACTACTCAGGTAAGACCCCCACAAACACGTGGTAAAGAAATAGTCCATCAACACACACATTATACGATTAAGAAAACAGAAGAACATTACGAGACAGTGGAACTTAAAGGTGCATTATGTAACTTTTCCACCTGCTTCTCTCTCTGGCGATGTTTTTGCTTGCCTGATTCATTACATCCACAGAGTTTTTAAAACGTTTTGTAAAGCAACCTCTCCTCTCCGTAGATCTGGCCTGTAAATTGGTCTGGTCGCCTAATAAATGGATAAATCTACTGCCAAACTCTTGAACATTCCAGGCAAAGCAATAACATCTCCAACAGAAAGTTTTAGCTAGAAATTCAATGTTCCCATTTTTAGCTGTAATATTTGTGTTTCAGAAATCAGGCGGCGGCTCTAGTTCATGAGAAACAGAATTGTTGTTTCCGGATAAACCCGAGCCCCGAGCAGAGGAAAGATAAAACTGTTCTTATTTGGCCTGAATGTGGCGCTGAATTCTGCAGAAATGTTTTGGTGGTTTCTTCCTTCAACCCAGACCAGAGCAGTAACCTCCACAGCTGCACAAGAGACAGAGAGAGAGACAGAGGAGAGGGGGAGAGAGGGGGAGAGGGAGAGAGAGAGACAGAGGAGAGGGAGAGAGGGGAGAGGGAGAGAGAGAGAGACAGAGAGAGAGAGACAGAGAGAGAGAGAGGAGAGAGAGACAGAGAGAGGAGGAGAGGGGAGAGAAAGACAGAGAGAGAGACAGAGGAGAGGGGAGAGAGGGGAGAGGAGAGAGACAGAGAGAGAGAGAGGAGGGAGAGACAGAGAGAGGAGGAGAGGGGTAGAGAGGGGGAGAGGGAGAGAGAGAGACAGAGGAGAGGGGGAGAGACAGAGAGAGAGAGGGGGGGGGGATGGAGGAGAGGGGGAGAGAAAGACAGAGGAGAGGGGGAGAGGGAGAGAGACAGAGAGAGAGAGGGGGGGAGAAGAGGGGGAGAGAAAGACAGAGAGAGAGAGACAGAGGAGAGGGGGAGAGGAGAGAGACAGAGAGAGAGAGAGAGGAGGGAGGAGGAGGAAGAGAAACAGAGAGAGAGAGAGACGGGGGAGAGGGAGAGAGACAGAGAGAGAGAGAGAGGGAGGGAGGGAGGAGGAAGAGAAAGACAGAGAGACAGAGAGACAGAGGAGAGGGGGAGAGGGAGAGAGACAGAGGGAGGGAGGGAGGAGGAAGAGAAAGAGAGAGAAGGACAGAGAGGGCGAGAGAGAAAAGGAAGGAGGGGCAGATAGACAGCCAGCCAGAGGGAGATGGAGGAAGAAAATAAGAGAGAAGGAGGGAGTGAGAGAGGTAAGGGAGAAAAGGATGGAGAACAGGAGAGGTAGAAGAGAGTGAAAGTAAAAAATAAGGAAATAGTGAGGGAGAGGGGGAGAGATAGAAACAAGGGAGGATGAGGAGCAGAGGGAGGACGAGTGAGACAGGGAAGAAAATGGAAGGGGGAGATAAAAGAGAGGCATAAAAGGGATATGGAGGAGAAAAAAGGTGACGTGGAAAAGGCGTGGACACCTGTTAGACCAATCACAGTCCTTTCCTCCCCCTCACTCTCCCCTTTAGTCCTCCAGACCCCACCCCTCCTCACTCTCTCCTTTAGTCCTCCAGACCCCACCCCTCCTCACTCTCCCCTTTAGTCCTCCACACCCCTCCCCCCCTCCTCCCCCCTTTTAGTCCTCCAGACCCCACTCCTCCTCCCCCTTTAGTCCTCCAGACCCCACTCCTCCTCACTGTCCCCTTTAGTCCTCCAGACAACACCCCTCCTCCCCCCCTTTAGTCCTCCAGACCCCACCCCTCCTCCCTCCTCACTCTCCCCTTTAGTCCTCCAGACCCCCCCCCTTCCTCCTCACTCTCCCCTTTAGTCCTCCAGATCCCCCCCCCCTTTAGTCCTCCAGATCTCCCCTCCTTCCCCCTTTAGTCCTTCAGACCCCCCTCCCTCCTCACTCTCCCCTTTAGTCCTCCAGACCCCCCCCACTCTCCCCTTTAGTCCTCCAGACCCCGCCCCTCCTCCTCCTCCTCTCCCCCCTCAGCTCCCCTTTAGTCCTCCACATCCCATCCCTCCTCACTCCCCCCTTTAGTCCTCCAGACCCCACCCCTCCTCCTCCCCCCTCACTCTCCCCTTTAGGCCTCCAGACTGTTTGAAATGCGTTTGTGGGCGGAGTTTAGATGTTTTGCGGGCAGTGGGCGGAGATAGGGGGTAGGTGAGCACTCAAGGCTCAAATTTAGGACAATACAGGATTACTCCAACATACCGGAATCCAAATACAACTGATACAATAGATAATTATGACAGAACTACATTATGACACAGTTAAAAGATCATTATAGTCTGTTTTAAGTAAAGAAAAAGTGAGGGGAGTGGAGAGGAGGAGAGAGGGGAGTGGGTGGTGGTGGTGTAGGTTTGTAACAGTGAAAATGGAGGGGGCAGTAGCAGCTTGTGGCTAATCCTGAGACAGAGACAGAGCTGGCTTTGTTTACCCATGATTCACTGGGGCGAGTCTGGGTTTGGGGAGAGAGGGAGAAAGAAAGAGAGGAGGGAGGGAGATTTGTTTGCGGGCGAGTGGGAGATGGTGGTTGAACTTGAAAGAGGGGAGTGACCGGAGAGCGAGATAAAGATGGGGAAAGAGAGAGATTTACGGTGGAAAAAGGAGGTGCGGCTGAACTAGAACATGGGTTTGGGGGCAGAGATAGAGGGAGACGCAGATGGGTAAAGAGAAAAAGAGGGGGGCTGGGAGAGATGGAGAGAAGAAAATGAAGAGGGAGGAGGAGAGAGATTTGTGGGTTTAAAGGGAGGTGGGGTTGGACTTGAATAATGCCCCACCCAAACCGAAAAATGTCAGAGACCAGCTGAGAGGGACTGCACAGCTGACACAAACCAAAGGGGCTTTTGTTCATTCACTCTTTCATTGACTTAACTGTTCAAGACTTCTGATTATGAAAGAACCTCATTTCTATGGCAATGGGTAAATTCCAATTTTGCAACTCAAAAGTATGGCAGAAGAATACAAATATGCAGTTAAAGAAATCAAGTTAAATCACTTTTTATTCCGTGTCTTTCAGCTCTTTTCTCTCTCTTGTTTTGTCATTCCAAAGATTGTGAAGGTTGTGTTCTGTTTTTCTTCTAAAAAGAAAAACTAAATTTGATCCTCTGCCTGTCGTAAACTGTAGTAATCTACATTTTAAAATAAATGCAAAAGTTTTAGTAACAATGGATGTGCTCTCATCTCTGTATTGAGTTCAGGTTTTGATCTTTGTGTTGTGTTCAGGGTCTGATCTCTGTGTTGTTCAGGGTCTGATCCCTGCTTTGATTTTTGTGTTTTGTTCAGGGTCTGACCTCTGTGCTGTGATCTGTGTTGTGTTCAGGGTCTGATCTCTGTGTTGTGATCTCTGTGTTGCGTTCAGGGTCTGATTTCTGTGTTGTGATCTGTGTTGCGTTCAGGGTCTGATCTCTGTGTTGAGTTCAGGGTCTGATCTCTGTGCTGTAACCTCTGTGCTGTGATCTCTGTGTTGTGTTCAGGGTCTGACCTCTATGCTGTGATTTCTGTGTTGCGTTCAGGGTCTGACATGTGTGCTGTGATCTCTTTGTTGCGTTCAGGGTCTGACATGTCTGTTGTGATCTCTGTGTTGTGTTCAGGGTCTGATCTCTGTTGTGTTCAGGGTCTGACCTCTGTGTTGTGTTCAGGGTCTGATCTCTGTGTTGTGATTTCTGTGTTGTGTTCAGGGTCTGATAACTGGAGCACTGCAGAGAGACGACAGTTCAACAAAGGAATCACCGTTCACAAAAAGGACTTCTTCATGGTCCAGAAACAGGTACAGAACTCGTCCTGTCACTGTTATTTTGTCCTCTGACTGTTTTAGAGCTCACACAGTCTCAGTTATCATCTTGGTTTTGTTTATTGCACTGAAAACCATAGAAAAACACACGTCCTTACTGTGAGCAGGCTTGCATCTCCACAAACCTGACTCTTATTTGGCCTGGAGGAGGGGCTTGTTTCCGTGGAAATGTAGTTTCTTTGGATATTCTTCCACAGTATGGAACAAAAACGTATTTCTTTCCATAGAGAATGTGCTGAAGTATGGTTTTCACTTTCTGTTTCCGTGGAATCAAACAGGTGATGTGCCACCTCCAGAAAGTTACATACAGTAGCTTTAAATAATTGATTTATTCCGTGATAGTGAAAATAGATTTTTGCTTCGTGGGCATGTTTAAATTCATTCATTTGTTGTCATTGGCAGAAAGATGTTTTATTACCACCACTAAGCCCAGTATTAGTAAATGACAGTTGCACTTGTAAATTGTTATTATAATATGTACATTTATCATTTGTAAGGTAATTGCCGAGGTAGAATCCTTGGCAAACGGAGAAAATTAATTTATCAACTGGACAAAAGTTTATTTTGGTCGAATACTTCTTGCAGCTCCTCCAAGCAGAACTGAAGAAGCAGCTTGGATGAGCTGCGAAACATATTCAACCCAAATAAACTTTTATCCAGTTGACAAATTAAATTTCTCCTTTTTCAATATGTAAAATTGGTAAATACGCTACAGATTTTTTACATTGGGGGGATTGTTCAGTAGTTACCATGGTGACACAATAAACACATGGGAAACACAGCCAAAAAAGTTTTAAAACAGTCAACTAATTGATAATTGATCATTAAGAATTTCGTCAATCACGTTAATTTTGAATCAACAAACCGAATGTAGGTTTCTGTGTGTAGATACAACGCTGCGTCTGACACAAACACTGGAGTTGTGCCTCACAGTCCCATGTTTGGCTCTTGGTTCCTTGGAGACACTGTACCTCTCAGTGAGTGTGTTTACATGCACATCTGTATCCAGGCTTCATCATGGTGCATGTAAACGCTGTATCCCGGTTACAACATAAAGAGCTGCACTAAACCTGCACACATATGATCTCTGAAAACATCACGACACACAGAACAGACTCACCTTCAGCATCAACATCCCTCTGTCACAGAAAGAACACTCATATTCCACTGAGTCGTGTCCTTTAGTCCGACAGAAGCTGAACTGCATCAGCCACAAGAGCGTTTTGGTTTTTGTTTTCTCTGCTTAGTTTATGCAATTTAGCGATGCAATTTTAAGTTTTGTTTCTGTAAGACTTACGCAAAGCTTCATTAAACACATTCTAATGTCAAACGGGCTGATGTGGCTCTAGAGTGATTATGGTTTATATGTTGTAAAGTTCAATTTATTTATGCAGATTAGTAACAGTAATAATAATGATGATACTTATTATATAGAAACGTTTATTATTAATCAAAAATCGATCGTTAATTTTCCCGACGATTGATTCATATAATTTCATCGAATGCCCATTTCTTGACTGAAATGGGTTTAAACAGCACATTTTCAGGATTTTGTGGTCAGTACGAGCGTTATGATCATGTTTAGGAGTTTGATTTTCAACAAAAAAGTGTTACTTGAGGGGACTTGTTTAAGCGCACAGATCAGCTCGCCTGTCGTAGTTCCAGCTAAGACAGTCATTTATGATCAGATTGTGTTAAAAAAAAGCTCAGATTAAAGTCTGATTTGAGCAACAGAGCTTTAGACAGAAGAATACCTACAGTTAGCACACATCAGTAGTTCTCAGGCTCCAAAAATGTAAACATACGATACAAAACAAACATAAAAAAGGTAGAAACGGCTCATGTTCCTGTCACCTGTGGCCCCGTGTACCAGAGACACGCCCATCACCTGACTCCCCCCAGAGGCGCTTGGTATTTAGACTGAGACATTATATAAGAGAGTCATATTCCAGGAGATATGAAACCTTTTGTTATGGTTTTGTTCTGTTTTTCACTTTTGTCCAGTATCAAGTTTTAAATTGGCCTCTAAATGAATCTGTAGACTGAGCCAGTGTCCCCCGACCACGTGAAGGCCACCGAATCCAGGGCACGGCATTTTGTAGTTTTGTCCAAATGTCGGTTGGTGAAAATGGTGCACTCAAAATTACCCACAATGCATCCTGAAAAGTAGTCAAAACCAGGCAGTATTACAGACCACAATGCATTGCAGGAGTCAGAAAAACAGGACGGAGGCAGGTCTTTAAAGTTCCTAAGTCCTGTTCTAATGTTGTAACCTCCTCAAAAACAGACATGGAGTTGTTTTTGTTTCCTTCACAAGTTTGAGTGACACTTTATTATTAGTCTGTCTGCATCTCCAAAGCTCAAAAGGCTCTGTTCCACCTTGTGATGTCATGTAGTGGTAGTTTTCAAGTTAACGGCTATCTTTTACTTTTTATTCGGTAGAGATTGGCGATTCCAGAGCTGAAATGATCCAAATGATTCTAGTGAAGGTGTGTGGAGTTTAAAAACACAGTGAAGCTCTGTATCACCACATGACATCACAAGGTGGAACAGAGTGTTTTCTGTTTCAGCCTAAATGTGCAGGTTTATGTGTTAAAAATGTGAATGAAACAAAACACAACTCCAGGTCAGTTTGTGATGAGGAAACAACTAGAGTCGTAGTACTCGAGACCGGTCTTAGTCTCAAGACCGGCCTTAAGACTGTTTTTTATTGTCTTGATCTGGTCTCGGACTCGACCACATTTGGACTGTTGGTCTTGTAGGCACCTGGACTCGGTCTTGACTCGATCTTGAATGGGCTTGGACTCGGTCTTGTCTCCATTTTGAACATGCTTGGACTCGATCTTGTCTCGGTCTTGAAGGCGCTTGGACTCAGTCTTGTCTCCATCTTGAACGCACTTGCACTCGGTCTTGTAGGCACTTAGACTGGGGCTTGTGTGGGTCTTGAACGATCTTGGACTCGATCTTGACTCAGTCTTGAAAGATGGTCTTGATTTAGTCTCGATGGGCTGTGGTCTTCAACTTGTCTTGTCTCGACCTTTAAAAATCTTGGTCTTGATCTTGACCCTCAGAGATCTTTGTCTTGTCCTGGTCTTGGGACCCTGTGGTCTTGGACAGATCTTGGTTTTGGTAGTGCGATCTCAACTACAACACTAGTAACAACATTATAACATGGCTAAAAGCTCACGAGAATTATATCATTTTTGGTTTTAAATAATTCATTGCCCTGAAGCAGAAAAGTTACACAATGCACCTTTAACTTTCTCTGTATTTGTTGAATATTTGGTTTTGTATTTCCAGGTTTGCACTAAGACGGTGGCGCAGTGTGTGGAGTTTTATTACTCGTTTAAGAAGCACGTGAAGATCGGGAGGAACGGGGTTCTTCTGTACGGAGAGATCGAACCAGAGACCAGGACCACAGAGGAGGAGCTGGACCCCAAGGTGATCACTCGAGACTCAAGACTCAAGACTCAAGACTCGAGACTCAAGACTCAAGACTCGAGACTCAAGACTCAAGAGACACTAACATACAGACAGAAGTTTATATCAGCTATACAAACAACACACTGCAGTGTCATTTTTATGGGTCAATTTACACTTTACACTTGTTTAAGATGTTCAGTCCTGATGTAGACTCGGTTTAGTCCTATTCTAGTCCTGGTCTAGTCCTGAATTTTTCCTGCTGTAGTCCTGGTTTAGATCTGGTTTAGTCCTCATTTAATCCTGGTTTAGTCCTGTCTTAGTCCTATCTTAGTCCTGGTTTAGATCTGGTTTAGTCCTGTTCTAGTCCTGGTCTTGTCTTGGTCTAGTCCTGATTTATTCCTGTTGTAGTCCTGGGTATAGTCCTGGTTTAGTTCTGGTTTAGTCCTGGTTTATTGCTGATTTATTTCTGATTTATTTCTGTTCTAGTCCTGGTTTAGTCCTCATTTAGTCCTGGTTTTCTCTTGTCTTAGTCCTGGTTTAGTCCTGGTTTAGTCCCAGTTTTGGTTTGACTGTTTCTAAGTCTAGGTGCAGTCAGTCTCTGTGAACTTTTCATTATTAGCGCTGCACGATCTTGAAAGAAAAACATTTCCACTGTGATGAGACGTGCAGTTTATCCAAAGACTGACTTCACTATTTACATCTTCAACCCAAACACGAAAACCTCAAACATGAACCGCTCAACAATCCAACAATCCCATGAATGAAACATATTTACAGAGGACAGAACTTTGACACAGAAACCTGCAAGATTTTTTTTTTTTTCATTTCGATTCGATTGCAGAGAATTGTGCGGGAGGGCATCTGGAGGTTGATGTACTGACCCATTCTTGTTTCTCTCAGGGCTCCCAGCGACTCGAGGAGGACAGCAGGAAGTGGGAGGGGTCAGCTGAAAGGAAACAGGAAGTGGCCCACACATTTCAGCCCACGGACAACAACGTGAGTGGGCGCTCTGGCTGGACTCTGTCTGTCTGAATGAATGAATGAGGCAAACGTGCAGGAAACGAACACGATTCTATTTAGTTTAACTCAATGTTTAAACATGTCCAGGTGTATTAACATCTGAGAGAAGACTGAAATCTGATCTGAAAAACTCAAACAAGAATCCCACGTCTGTCTGTAGATGTCTAAACTACACAGAGTTAATATTTTGCAGCTGAGTGTGGTGCTAACTGTAAGCACTGCTCTGTCTCTGCTCTGTCTTAACAGTTTTTCAGTTCACTCTCGCCTTTTGTCGAAAATTAAACCTAAACAGGATCATGAACGCTGGTCCTGGTTTAGTTCTGTTCTAATCTTGGTTTAGTCCTAGTTTTCGTCCTGTTTTAGTCTAGGTTCAGTCCTGGTTTTGCCCCGGTTTGGTCCTGGTCTCGTTCTGGTTTAGTTCTGATTTATTCCTGGTGTAGTTCTTGTTTAGTCCTGTTCTGCTCCTAGTTTAGTTCTGGTTTAGTTCGGGTCTAGTCCTGATTTAGTTCTATTCTAGTCCTGATTTATTCCAGTTGTAGTTCTGGTTTAGTCCTGGTTTAGTCCTGTTCTAGTCTTGGTTTAGTCCTGGTTTAGTCCTGTTCTAGTCCTGGTTTAGTCCTGTTCTAGTCTTGGTTTAGTCCTGGTTTAGTCCTGTTCTAGTGCTGGTTTAGTCCTGTTCTAGTGCTGGTTTAGTCCTGGTTTAGTCCTGTTCTAGTCCTGTTCTAGTTCTGTTTTAGTTCTGGTTTAGTCCTGTTCTAGTCCTGGTTTAGTCCTGTTCTAGTTCTGGTTTAGTCCTGTTCTAGTCCTGGTTTAGTCTTCTTCTCATCCTGGTTTAGTCCTGTTTTAGTCCTGTTCTAGTCCTTGCTTAGTCCTGGCTTAGTCCTGGTTTAGTCCTGGCTTAGTCCTGTGTTAGTCCTGGTTTATTCCTGTTGTAGTCCTGGTTTAGTCCTGGTCTAGTTTAGGTTCAGTTTTTAAATTCACTATTTATAACGGACGATTTAGTATTTTTGAAAGAACTCTCCAAATGTATGATCCATAAGCGTTTCTCCTTCTCATTATTTGTTCGGGATCAGCTCCATAAACTTGTCATATTCATCTCACGGGTCAAAGTCTTTTCTGCTGACGACACTCACGTCTTTGGGGTTGAATAATGGCTCTAGTTTCTGAAGTGAAAACATAATTTCACTTTAGTTTATTTATTCTGACAGATGAGACGCTGAACTTTGGTGCCAGTTTTTGTTTCATTTGGATAGGCCCAGTAATTAGAGAGATATGAAACCATAAACCAGGTCAACAAATCTGCATCTGACACAGTTCTTTATGCCGAGCTGCTGTTTGTGTCGCCCCCTGGTGGACACTCACGCCACCTGCGCCAGTGTCAGATTGCGTAATGCCATTATGTTGTATCATTGGTAAACAGTGACTCGACAAGAAATCTTTAACAAAGGATCCGCAGCTGAACAAGAACTGAACACAAAATCAAATCTGGTAAAAACAAAAAACAAACAAAAAAAAAAAAAAAGGTAAACTTTGAATGGTAGTCATGGCAACAAAACAGAAAATAAGCTGTTTTTAGAAGAGCAGGTTTGAATAGAAATCCATTAGAAAACAAAACAAAGTAGCTACAAGAGTGTTTTCCTGTTCCAACGCAGACACTTTCCTCATCCACTTTTCCCGTCTAGACCCACGTTTTAAATCAACGTATTTGGGGTTATTTTTTATTTAAACGGTGATTATAAAAGCTCTTATATTACACAACATTGACTCTTGTGAACTTAAGTCATGTTATAATGCTTTTATTAGTGCTGTCAAGCGATTAAAAAAATTAAGAGATTAATTAATTATGATCTGTAATTAATTAATCTAATTCATCTCCTTTTTAATCTCACCTAAAAATTGCTGAGAAAATCCTTCAATTTGAGGTATTTTCATTTGAATTCATTATTACATTATTTTCATACTATCATTAACGTTTTTATATAAGGCTGTGTTCAGACTGCAGCCTGAAGTGATCCAAATCTGATTTTTTGCCTCTATGTTCCTGTATCTGATCTTTTAATGACAGTCTGAACGACACAGATCCGATTTTTTCAAATGTGACCCAGGACACTTGGATATGTGTGTGATCACATACAAGTTGCATTTAATTGGAAATGTGAACGACCTCGTAAAAACATCGGATTTCACAAAAAAATCGGAATTGAGCATTAAGCCCTGCAGTCTGAACATAGCCAAAGTATCATCATTATTATTACTATTAATAATCTGCATAAATAAACTCAAATTTACAACATATAAACCAAAACCACTCTAGATCCACATCAGCCTGTTTGACATTAGAATGTGTTTAATGCAGTTTTGCACAACTCTCACAGAAATGAAACTTAAAACCACATGGCTCATTTGCATAAAATAAGCGGAGAAAAGGAAAAAAAAAACGCTCTTGTGTCACTGATGCGGTTCAGCTTCTACTAAAGGACACGACTCAGTGAAATATAGATGTTCTGTCTGTGACAGAGGATGGTGATGGTGAGGGTGAGTCTGTTCTGTGTGTGTGTGTGTGTGTGTGTCGTGATGTTTTCAAAGATCAGACGTGTGCAGGTTTATCGCAGATGTGGCAAGAACGGGAATGAAAATTACAATTCTTTGCGGGAGCGATGTGTCTCAACAACACATAAAAACAGATTTTATAATAAGGCAACTCGCACACAGAAACAATAAAGTTAGAGATTAAAAATAAGATTAACGCGTTTAAAAAACATAACACGCTAAATATGACTGTAATTAATTACATTAGTCCGCAATTAAAGCGATAATTTGACACCTCTAATTTTTATTTCTTCAAAACAGACCTGGAGTTGTGTTTTGTTGCATTCACATGTTTGAGTAATTTTTTTATTAGTCTGTTTACATCCCCAAAGCTCAGAACATATTTAGTTCAGTACAAATTTGCAGTTCCAGGGCTGAAATGACCCAAATGATTCTAGTGAAGATTTATGGAGTGGAGCACTTTCTGTATTACCACTTGACATCATAAGCTTAAATGTGGAGGGTTTGTGTGTTAAACATGTGCAAATGAAACAAAACCCAACTCCAGATCAGAAAATAATGTAATATTGGCCCTTTAAGCAGAGTAGAGCTGCAGGGTTTATCACATTTGAGCTGAAATCGCAGTTGAAATGGACACAATTCACAAATCACAAAGGCTGCAGATTTTGAAGTACTATAATTTCCTTCACCAACAACAAAATCTCCTGTCGTATTCTGCATACAAACCGCTCATGTTGTAGTTTAGATCTGTGCAAACATGTCCCGAAATGTGATTCTTGTTTCAGTTTGTCAAAAACAGATTTCAGTCTTTTTGTCAGTTTTTCTGGACGTGTTTAAAATGTGAACTTTGAACAGAATGCTAATACTAAATCTAAGCCTGTCACAATAACACATTTTGAAGCGTATAAGTACAGTATCTATATATTTTTGGGAACTTTGTGCAAAACTTTGTGTGAGAGGAAGCTACAGTTCGAAAAAGACACTAAGAACCGCTGTGTCGGTTGAATAAACGGCATCAGTGCGTGAGAGGCGAACGTAAACTGCATAATCCCAGTGCGCCGGCGAGTCAGCGACGCTAGAAACGTAGGGAGTTTGATTGACAACCCAACAGCCAATAGATAAAGAGGTAGCCTTGTTATCTATTGGCTGATGTTTATCTGCCCCCACCACATCCACAATTGATGGATTTTCATTCTTTTTCATTTTGTTTTTTGTTATCATAATTACAAAGCTGCTGCATCTCTATAATTTTATTTTGAACATTCATCGACAATATGAAAAACAAAAAAATCCTCCATGCAACCTTTAAACACAAACACATTTTTACCAATTCCCAGTAAATATTGACGTGTGATGCCCAGTTTCTGTAGTAAAGTAAAGTTACTGTCATGGTTTATATCATCATATTTGAGAAAGCTTTGATAACATGTTGAAGTAGTTTTAAAGATTGCAGTATTATCAGTTATTCCCTATGTCTCCTACATCTACATCACTTATCACTCTGACAAAGGAGATGGGTGAAGTGTTTAGCCAAGGGTTGAACCAGAAACCTTTTGGCTCTGTTGCTTTAGGTCATTCTTATGAAAATCATTAACTCTCCTTTCTTCTCTCTCTCCTCTTTCTCTCCTCTCTGTTTTTGTACTTCCTTTCTCCTCTCTTTTTGCCTCTTTTCTTTTCTCTCTCACTTTCTTTCTCTTCTCTCCTCTCTGTCTTTTTGTCTCCCTCTCTCCTCTTTCTCCCTCTTTCTCTCCCTCTTTATCTCCTTTCTACTCTCACTCCACTCTCTCTCTCTCTCTCTCTCTCTCTCTCTCTCTCTCTCTCCATCTCCAGGCCGGGACTATTGTGATCAGACAGGCCCAGGAGCAGCCGCCGTTCCCTCGGGTGGTCCTCCCTCCTCTTCCTCTTCCTCACATCTCCAAACCTCGGTACGACCCACAGCCGCGGAAGCCCAGCCCCAACACCGGCCACAAGGGGGCGGCAGCGGCGCAGGAGGGAGAGTTCCCCTGTAAGAAGTGCGGCAGGTCAGTGTCCTGTTTCTCTTTGAGCTTTTATGATTGTAACCGTCTCCTAGCAACAAACAAATCCAACACAAACTCTGTAACTGAGCTGCACAGAGCGTCAACAAACACAAGTCCACCTCTCAGGCACCACGCTGTGTCCAAACCTCCCATAATCCACTGCTCCCCACGCGGGGCTCTGTTTAGGGTCACGCCATTTCAGAGGGTTTGAACTACGGCCAGAGCTGAGAAAAGTAGTGCACGGTTTCCCAGAATGCACTTTGAAAAGCAGCACCGGTCAAAATGCACTGCAACTGTTATGAAAGAGTCCGTCTTAAAGCTACAGTACGTAACTTTGGCTAAGATAAATACAATAAAAGAATGTTTTGTCTATTTATTTTAACAACATCTTATTGTGAGGGAGCTTACATCTCCACAGACCTGACTCTCGTTTGGCCTGGAGGCATCTTCCTGCTTGGCTCCATGAAAATATTTTTCCTTTGACTCTAATCTTCCACAGTACAGATTTAATATAATACAATACCTCTGTCTCCATGGAGAAGGTTCCAAAGTACTGTTTTAACTTCCTGTTTTCAGAACGTTACACACTGTCCACATTTACATATTTTTTTTATTTCAAATTAAATCTGAATTAAAATATTTTCCTTCGAGTTCACATGGAAATAATAATTCCGAATTGAGGTCTCCATGGAAAACACTTTAAATCACCTTTATTTAATCCTGCTCGGAATAAACCACCCACTGTACTTCGGAATTAAGTTTAATCATAATCATTTTCAATAGGAATTAAGTATTTACTTGGTCTTTTTAAAATGGAAGTAATTTTTATTCACAATTCAATTATTTTTATTCCGAATTAAAGTTTTCATGTTTGTGTGGCAACTGTATCTTAGTTTAGTTTATTAGTTTATGTTAACAGGGATCTCATTATTCTCATAAAAGAAGAGATGTTTTTCACCACATTTAGCTGAAGTGAGTTTCCATGTGCAGGTGACGTCGTAAACAACGAGGAGCCGTGTGTTCTGCAGTTTTAACGCACGGATCTAAGTTGTTTAATGCTTTGTTACCACGGCTACAAACTGAAATGTGTCGCCTGTGAATTTGAAAAGCCTTTCCCCGTCTGTAAACGTCCAAAACATCAGTTATTTTAATGTTTTGAATTTTTTTTATTTATGTTGATTAAGGACATCACAATCGCATTAGACAAGCCAGATGCGTTGCTTTGAGTGTTTTAGCACAAGTGTTAGTTTTCAACACCTGTCCATATAAAAATATAAACTACACGCATAAAAACAGAGAATACAAGACTCATAAATTACATACAAATAAAATATATACAGAACATTTTCAATGGATGCAGTTTTGATTGGAAACATACAATCATTTTAATTTCCTTTTAAATTTGTTGTTGTTGGTTTCCAATTTTAAATGAGCTGGTGAATCGTTCCACAGTCTGGCCCCTTTAAAAGAGAACGAGGACTGACCCAGAGTCGTCCTGTACCGAGGAACAACACACTCACCACGAGTAGCTCCTCTTGTGTTCGTTTTATGGTCCTGGCAAATTCTGAGTGCAGTGGTGTATCCCAGTTAAGACACTTCAAAAATAATTTAAGATGATTAAAATTGGTAAAATTTACAAAGTTAAAAAGTTGATGTTTCTTTGTAATTTCACAGTGGTGCCAGTGTTTGGGCTTTTTGTCAAGGATCTTAAGGGTCAGTGTGTAAAATGAACAAAGTGGTTTCAGTGTGGTTGAGGAGCCTGGGACCTTGAGGTGATACAATAAGATCGATGAGAGAAGATCATTGCGTTCATGAATAGTTTAGAGGTGTGGAGCGATAGATCTTTACATATGAAACGAAAGCAACTGAGACTAGTCTTAATCTTCTTCGCCAAGTATTTTGTGTGACCGATAAATTTTAAATTTTCGTCTAGAATGAGGCCAAGGTATTTAACTTCACTGACTGCTTGAATTTTCTCATTGTGCATAGTCACTTCAAAGTCACAGTTTTTTGTTTGTGTACACACTGAAAAACAAAGAGAAACTGTTTTTTTCACATTCAAAGTCAGGTGTGACACACTAAGCCATTTTGAGACAAGTTGTAAGGCATGACTCAGGTGAATGACATTAGTTACTACATTTGACTCAGAGTGGTTGAGCGTTTGGCGATGGCCACAGAGCAGTGATACAGAACAGTACTACTTGTACAGAACTACTTGTTTGTTATGCAGTATTAACACACGGCAGTTAGACACTGAAATTCTCACTGACTGTGGGATAAAACCTAAACTAAACTACATCCAGATATCCATCCACTTACAATCAAACCATGTAATCTCCCATTCTTTCATTTAAAAACTAGGTGTGGGACATTCACGAATTAATCACAAAGAAAATATTGCATTAAAAATATTAAAGCATTTTTTGCAAGCGTTTGTCAGTGCAACATGTGGTGGTACGCCAAGTGTACTGACGCACACACTTCTGACTACGACAGTGGAGCATGTGATCACATTTTTATTCAGGTGTTATTATTTACAGTTATACATATTCCAGTTAGCATTGAATTTTTCTCCCTTTTAAACCCCACCCCCCACCCTTAAACTCCCTGTTGATGGGCATCTGCAGTAAAACACATGTACACATACAGACACATAAATGCAGATATAGAATACACACTAGGGATGGGCAATTGATTAAATTTTCTTAATCGATCGTCGGGAGAATTAACGATCGACTATCAATTAATCAATAACGTTTTTATATTAAAATTATCATTATTATTACTATCTGCACTAATCTGCTTAAATAAACTCAACTTTACGACATATAAACCGCAACGACTCTAGAGCCACATCAGCCCGTTTGACATTAGAATGTGTTTAATTCAGTTTTGTGCAACTCACAGAAACGAAACTTAAAACCACATGACTCATTTGCATAAACTAAGCGAAGAAAAAAAAGCAGCTCTTGTGTCGCTGATGTGGTTCAACTTCTGTCAGACTAAAGGACATGACTCAGTGAATACAGGTTCGTGTGACCAGATTTGCGTTTGTCAAAACCAGGACACTGTACGGGGGGAGGGAGGTGGGGACTCATCATCCACATTGAGCGACTCTCACCTGGTAAAACTTTTTCCCACTGGACACAGAAACATATGTGCTGCTTTGTACACTGTGCACATGGACTCACACTTGTCCTGACTGGAAAGAAAAGCATGGAATTTCTTGTACAAGTCATTGTTAAATACACATTTGTGTTTCGACACGTTACAGACTGACCCACTGTTTGTGTCTCGCTGCTTCTGATGCAGAGACACATGTACACACCTGTTTGTCCCTGAACACAGATGTTTGGTCACCCTACACTACACACAGCAATCTACATTCAGTTTGTCGATTAAAATGGACGTAATCGATGAAATTCTTAATGATCACTTACAGATTAATCGACTAATCATGCCCATCCCTAATACATACACATAAATGTATATATAGAATACATACATATCCATATGTAATGCATATATACAGCATCTACTGTACATAAACACACCTACCCATATACACATATTATAGTGTATTATATATACATATACAAGTATATACACATTCACACATATACAAAACAAAACATTGGAGCATGAAAGCCTCTGGGTCTGCTGGACGGGACATTTCTATTAAAAAGAAACTACATAATGAAAGGGTAGAAAAGAGTTTGCATATCACAGAAGCACCTCAACCCTATGAGACCATTTAAATGCAAAACATGTGACAGAGCACAGAAACTGCTGGAGCTGTTGGCGGGAGCAGTTCCGGTCCAAGTACAAACAAGACAAAACAAACTCGAACAAATGATGAGCTTCAGGAAGAAAATGAGAAAGGCAAATATTGTTATGTGATTAATACAAAATAAATACAAGTCAGATCTGATTATTTAAGGATACATTACAACGTAGCACATGCAAATACAAATCCATGTTGACAGTGCTGACTAAAAACACTTTCAGTCTCTAGTTTTGTCTCTCCTGGACATGAGCTCATTTGTGTTTCTTTGTTCACATTTGCGTTTTTCTGATTCTGTTCCTGCAGGATCTTCTATAAAGTGAAGAGTCGTAGCGCTCACATGAAGAGCCACGCCGAGCAGGAGAAGAAGGCGGCGGCTCAGAGACAGAGAGAGGCCGAGGAGCGGCAGAGGGCAGCCACCGCCGCCCTGCTGGCACAACGGCACAACGGCACGCAGCCACAGACCGGCGGAGACAGCACCAACGACGAGTCCACAGACGGAGAGGACCAGGACGACACAGACTGGCACTGAAATCAGACTGGCACGGGATGGGAGGACAGAAATCAGACTATGAAAGGAGGACGGAAATCAGACTACAGCGGTTAGAACGAAAATCAGACTATAACGAGAGGACGGAAATGAGACTATAACAGGAGGACGGGAGATCAGAGGACAGGAAATTGGTCAAAGAAGGACAGAAACCAGATTATAACAGGAGAACGGCATATCAGACTATGAAAGGAGGACAAGATATGAGAGAATTACTGAACGAGGGAGGAGGATTAGAAAAGAGGAGACATTTAAGAGCTTGTACAGAGAGAAAGAGAGAGAGACACTTCCCTTTGAAAACATCAGGGAGATTTCATTTGTGTGTGTGAAAGAGAGAATGAGAGAGACGGGGTTCCTACACAGATCCTAAATTTGCCACTGCATAACCCACAAATGCACCAAAACAAAAAATATTATTACTACTTTATAGATAAATACTGTTGAAAGTGCGTTCATTTGAAGAGGGAAAAAGGAAAATTTCAGGGTTGCTTCAAAAATACACTGAATAGGCTCGATTCACGCTCACGGGGAGACGTTTGGAAACATGCTGATGACGACTTGCGGTGTAGTTTCCGACACTGGGCATGTGATAAAAAAAGTTATGATAAAAGTTATAAAACACAAATTAATATACAATTTATAAAAGGAAAAAGAAAGAATACAATCACAGAAAAACGGGCAATTTTCTCAGTTTTCCCAGATTTTGTCAGAGCCCAAAGGAAGTCGTCATCCGCATGTTTCCAAACGTCTCCCGGTTTTGTGACGTCGCCCTTTTTCAAAGCAGCAGAGATTAAACTAAAATTAAATAAAAACAGTAGCAGTGTTTACAAAAGAATCCATATTTGTAGAAAAAGTCTGGAAACATGAAGAGTGTTTGAAAGGTGTTACCTTTTTTAAAACTTTTTTTTTTTACCTCTTTTTTTATTCATAGTCCCTGTGATAGAACAATCTTCATTAACTAGACAAACATCAACACCACAAATTAAATAAAAAACACAAATATAAACTAAAATATAACAAAAATTACAACCAAAGAACATTTTTAAAAATTTATTTATAAATATTCTGAAAAAATCATCAGAGGCTTGTTTGAGAGAAAGTCTGATGGATCCTTCCTATGCAGTAAAATAAATAAAAATATATAGAAAGAAAGTAATTAAATATATGTGTAGAGCAATATATAAATGATACAGATTTAATTCAATTTTCAGTATCTTCAGTTTGAAAATGAAGCAATTTCTTTGACTGCAGGTAGCAAAGCAGTTTGTACAGGTGTAGCTGTAGCAGAGCAATAATAAATATCATTCTGTTATTAATAATATTGTTTTAAATATATAGTGGGGTAAACGTGAGAGTTCTAATGGAACTAGAAAGACTGTCACGCACTGTTATGCTCTATTTATTTTCTATTGGTCAAGTTACACAAAGAAAAGCTTTTATTCAATAGTGACACAAAAGCGTGTTCTAAAAACAAATTAAATGCACTTCTGTTACTGTAACTTTTTTATATTAAAATGATCATCATTATTATTACTATCTGCACTAATCTGCATAAATAAATTCAACTTTACGACATATAAACCGCAACGACTCTAGAGCCACATCAGCCCGTTTGACATTATAACGTGTTTAATTCATTTTAGCGCAACTCTCACAGAAACAAAACTTAAAACCACATCGCTAATTTGCATAAACTCAGCGAAGATAAAACTACAGCTCTTGTGTCGCTGATGTGGTTCAACTTCTGTCGGATTAAAAGACATGACTCAGTGGAATACAGGTTAGTGTGAGCAGATTTGTGTTTGTCAAACCAGGACACCGTACGGGGGGAGGGAGGTGGGGACTCATCATCGACATTGTGCGACTCTCACCTGGTAAAACTTTTTCCCACTGGACACCGAAACATATGTGCTGCTTTATACACTGTGCACATGGACTCACACTTGTCCCGAACGCAACGGAAAGCCTGGAATTTCTTGTACAAATCATCGTTAAATACACATTTGTGCTTCGGTACGTTACAGACTGACCTACTGTTTGTGTCTCGCTCCTTCTGATGCAGAGACACATGTACACACCTGTTTGGTCACACTACACACAGCAACCTACATTCGGTTTGTCGATTAAAATTAACGTAATCGATGAAATTCTTAATGATCAATTATCGATTAATCGATTAATCATGCCCATCCCTAATTCTGACTGTGAGCGCAGTCTCCTCTTCACAGATCTGACCTGTAACTTCTTCTGGTTTGAGCTCTATTAGAGCTGCTCAGTTATGGAAAAAATAATGATCACGATTATTTTTGGTCAATATTGAAATCACAATTATTCAAACGATTATTTTTTTAGTTACACGATGCATTTATTCAGCATTTCTCTTTCAAAAAACACTTTGTTATTGATAATTTACACAAAACGTTAGATTTAAAAAATAAAATGAGAACACTTATTTATATAAAAAATATCCCAAAATAAACTTTAAACTTCGATTATATGAGTTTGGAGATCGTTTGACACACAAATCGAAATCGCGATCAAAATTTTAACAAGTTTAACAAGACCACACTGAAACATTCCAGACAAGGCAATTATCATCTCCGTGGAGAAAAGCGTCTGACAGAGCCTCCACCGGAAAAGTTACACAATGCGGCTTTAAAACACAGAAAACAACAGAAAGGACAGATGAATTCTTATATATTTTCTGTCTTTTTGCTCAGAAATATTGACTGGACGTGTGTGTTAAAGGTCCGAGTATGGATCTGTGTGGGAGCCCTGCTGTGTGACTGGTGTGTGTGTGTGTGTGTGTGACTGGTGTGTGTGTGTTGTGGGAGTGTTGATCTATTTTCCCCTTTACTCAGAATCTTACATTTTACCTCTTCATCCTCCTCCTCCTCCTCTTACAGGGCTCTGAACTAAAACAAAAACGCAAAATAAGCCATGTCTCCTCATCTCCTTTTCTTCCTCTTTTCTCTTCTCTTGCTCTCCTCTTTCTCCTCCTCTTCCTCACCTCCTCCTCTTCCTCTCTTCTTCTCCTCCTCTCTTCCTCCTCTCCTTAGAAGCACTTTGGTCATTTTCGCTTCGACGCCACGGACTACCAAGAATCCTTTAAACTTTTCAAAAAAAGTTGAGCCACGAATTTGCATTTTATTATCATTATTTTATTTCGTTCGTTGCTTTTTGAAGCTGGAAACGTTGATACACAAAACTGGACGTTTATTTGGGGGCTGTTTTTTGCGAAATCCGTGTCCGACTTTGCGCATGATACTTGTTTATTGTGAACTGTTCTATGCTTTTTTTAAATCTTTCTATCCGAGACAATCAATTTTACACTGTTTTTATAGACTTTCAGCTTGTGTTGCGTTACGTGAAATTTCAATGTTTATTATTATTACTGCATATTGTTATTATTATTATTCTATTAATATTATATTCTACGTTTTGGCTGCGATTTGCTGGTTTATTTAAGCGGAAATAATGCATTTTGCTGCCTGTTAATTACTGTGACTTTTACATGAAGAAATGTCAGGTTGTACAATGTGCAATAGAACAAACTCTCCTCAAATCCACTTTAACAGTCCAGGGTTTCTGCGCAATCATTTGGACTAATGAGCCACAATGAATAGATAGAGTAGAACAATATATATCTAAAAATATGGGCAAATAAGAGATGGTAGCCTGTACAAAGTATTTGGATAGTACAACTTTGGAGTTAAAGGTTCTAGTGAGATTTCAGTCATGTTCTAATGTTGTTACCTCTTTAAAAACATACTCAAGAGTTGTGGTTTGTTTCATTCAAACATGTTTGAATAACTTTTTATTATTAGGGATGTAACAATATCCGAAATATCGTGATATCGTATCGTCAAAAAACCCACAATAATATCGTCGATCATCAAAATATATCGAATCACAAGTGTATTCGCTTAAATTTATTATTATGGTGCATCAAAAACAGATCTTACAAGATTTTCCATCTTTAGTGACAAAAATACATTTCCCATTCATTTTTCCCATAGATTTTCAAAGATAAAACTATTAAAATGTACATAATTTACCAAATTAGAAGTTTTAGTGCCTTTAGGACTAGAAACAACAGCTTTATGGACATTATTTAGTGCTCCCTTGAGATTTTAAACTCTTAATATAATATTTGCATTATAATAAAAGTCTATGGGAAAATGCACTTCTGGAACCGGAACATGTTCTAATGTTGTTACTTCCTCAAAAACACACTGGAGTTGTGTTTTGTTTCATTCACATGTTTGAATAACTCTTTATTATTAGGGATGTAACAATAACCGAAATATCGTGATCTCGTATTGTCAAAAAACCCACAATAATATCGTCGACCATCAAAATATATCGAATTATAAGTGTATTCGCTTAACAGATCTTGTGGCGATTTTTATCTTACAAGATTTTCCATCCTTAGTGACTGCCCATTACACAAATACATTTCCCATTCATTTTTCCCATAGATTTTCAAAGATAAAAACTATTCAGTCATAAGTATTTCACCAAATTATAACTTTTAGTGCCTTTTGGAATAAAAACAACAACTTTGTGGACATTATTTAGCACTTCTCACATCTCATTAGTATCCCTTGGGATTTTAAAATCTTACTGTAATATTTAAATTATAATAAAAGTCTATGGGAAAATGAATAGGAAAATGCACTTCTGGAACTGGAACACGTTCTAATGTTGTTACCTCCTCAAAAACACACTGGAGTTGTGTTTTGTTTCATTCACACATGTTTGAATAACTCTGGGGATGTAACAATAACCGAAATATCGTGATATCGTATCATCAAAAAACTGGGCCATCACAGCATATCGAATCACAAGTGTATTTCTTTACATTTATTGTTGTGGTAGAGCAAAAACAGATCTTGTGGTGATTTTGTTTCACAAGATCTTCCATCATTCGTGGCTGCCCATCACAAAATTCTCAATTCTCAAATATCGAATCACAAGTGTATTTTCTTAAATTCACTGTTATGGTGCAGCAATTGCTAAAAAGCAAAGGGAACTACAAAGACCATGATCCTTTGTGTTGTTTCAGTCCAATCTACAGGTTGAAATAATGCTTATTAATCATTTTTAAATCTTAATTATTTGGATTATGACGAGAGAAAAGTAGCATATTCACTTTTTTTTTTTTGATATTTTACATAAAATATCGCAATAAATATCAAACTATGAGATGCATATCATAAAAATATCATATTAAGAGAATTGAATATTGTTACATCCTTATTTATTATTAGTCTGTCTACATCTCTAAAGCTCAAAATGCTCTGTTCCACTTTGTGATGTCATGAAGCGGTAGTTTTCAAGTTAACAGCTCCTTCTTCCTTTTTGTTTCATAGAGATTGGAGATTCTAGGACTGAAATGATCCAGTGATTCTAGTGAAGTTGTATGCAGTTTAAAAACACAATGGAGCACTTCCTGGATCACCACATGACATCACAAGTTGGAATGGAGTGTTTTCAGTTTTTGAGAAGAATTCTATATAACTAAATGTGCAGAGTTTGTGTGTTAAACATGTGTGAATGAAACAAAAACACAACTCCAGATCTGTTTGTGATGAGGAAACGACATTACAACACAAATCTGAAAATAGTTTAATATGGGCCATTTTAAAGCAAGTTTACGGGAATACAAGATCAGGAGTCTAACCCACAACCTCCTTTACACCGAGAGGAGAAGAGTGTGCCACAGTAACGCAGGGAGGGCATCAGAGGTAAAGTAACTCCAAAGTTACAGTTGTACTTTCTACAGGCGTTACTTTCTCTTGAATATTAGACTGTAAATATCTGAATTCCTATAAGACACGTCGAGTCCAGATTGGAACTTTTAGCATCTCAAACAAATATGTAGGTATTATTATTATTATTACAATATATGGTCAAATTGTATATTTAAAGTTGCCAAATAGAAAATGGTGAAGACGGCTTTTGTTTTTTTCCACACGGCAGCCAATCAGAAAGCAGCATTATCTTACGAAATGGGTGGACGAGATACAAGACAAGACGAGATTTTAACAGAATTTCTGATCTATACATTTCACGATTCCAGTTTTGGCTTCACAATTTGTTTTGTTTATTTGATTTTATAGTTTTGTTTCCATTCTAGAACTGCTTTTTGGAACTGTAAGGGACGTAACTCACCAGCACGTAACTGTTTTTTTGTCTGATCTAAATGAAAACACTTACACACAAGATAATTTTTCTGATGTGTGCACGATCTTGTATCCCGAGATCTTCCATCTCGAGTGGCTGCCCATCACAAAATTCTCAAAAAGTACATTTCCCATTCATTTTTCCCCATAGATTTTCAAAATAAAAAACTATAAAAACATACGTATTTCACAAAATTATACGTTTTAGTGCCTTTTGGACTGGAAACAACTGCTTTATGGACATTATTTAGCACTTATCTTGTTAGTCTCCGTTGGGATTTTAAAATCTTAACGTAGTATTTGAATTATAATAAAAGTCTATGGGAAAATTTATGGCAAAATGCGCTTTTCTTGTATTAAAGATGCACTGTGTAACTTTTTAGGTTGGGGATCTGCTGCCTGGTTCTTCATGGAGATGTAATGGTTTTGCCTGGAATGTTCCACAATATGGCATTGAGCTTCTGCTAGTATATCCCACATTGAGTCAATTATAGTTGTTTTAATTGCTCAGAAATACCTTAAAAAATTAATTCTTACACTGAGTGGCATCACCTCTCCGCAGATCTGACTTGTATAACTTCAGTCATTTGCTTATGTCGTTTTTATGGCTGAAAAATATTGTAAAAATATATGCATTTTTACACTTGGTGGTGTCAACTCTCCGCAGATCTGACTTGTAACTTCAGTCATTTGCTCATGTTGTTTTTATGACTGAAAAATACCATTAAAAAACACATTTTTACACTGAGTGGAGCCACCTCTCCGCAGATCTGACTTGTAACTTCAGTCATTTACTTGTAGATGCATATTGTGGAACTTTCCAGGTAAAGCAATAACATCTCCATGGAAACAAGCAGGTGTCAAACTCCAGCAGAAAAGTTACAAACAACACACCGATAATATTTGAATTTTAAAGCTTTCTGTTGTAGTTTTTTGAGAGTATTATACCGTAAATTGTTCCAAAATGTACAATAATAACAGCTTCATGTCCGTTGTGCTTTCTGATCGGCTGCCGAACATCAAAAATCAAATTAATGTAACTGTTGATACGAAACCAGGGCCTATGCAGTGAATGTGGACTTTGTTATGAACTTGTTGTGTGCATGTTTCTGGACAGTTTCCTTCTCTTGAGCTGTTCCCGTTCTGTATGTTTTATTTATATTTTTACACTTGTTTTTAAGGGGAATTGTCACAAAAGACTGCGCTGGTTTAAGGGAACTCTTGTGAAAAGTTCGTTATTCTTTCGCTAACGTCAGATTTGTATCGACTGAATGGTTTCTATGATATTTTCGTACCGGGGTCAAACTAAAGAGGAGCGGACAGGCTTTTTACAACAGTGTAATTTATTGTTTTGGTTTTTATCACCTGAACGTGTTTAGTAACTATGAAGCACTGTATATTAAAGTTTTAAATATTACAAAAAAAAAAAAAAAAACTCATCTGTGAATGTTTTTATTTGGAAAATCTTCAACACTTTACCTGAACGTCCAATCAGATGTGTTTATTTCAGTGACGCATGTGAAAGTACTAGTAGTAGTTATAGCAGTAGTAGTTGTAGTAGTAGTATTAGTAGTAGTATAGTAGTAGTTAGTAGTAGTAGTAGTAGTAGTAGTAGTAGTAGTAGTAGTAGTAGTAGTAGTAGTAGTAGTAGTAGTAGTAGTAGTAGTAGTAGTAGTAGTAGTAGTAGTAGTAGTAGTAGTAGTAGTAGTAGTAGTAGTAGTAGTAGTAGTAGTAGTAGTAGTAGTAGTAGTAGTAGTAGTAGTAGTAGTAGTAGTAGTAGTAGTAGTAGTAGTAGTAGTAGTAGTAGTAGTAGTAGTAGTAGTAGTAGTAGTAGTAGTAGTACAGTAGTAGTAGTAGTAGTAGTAGTAGTAGTACAGTAGTAGTAGTAGTAGTACAGTAGTAGTAGTAGTAGTAGTAGTAGTAGTAGTAGTAGTAGTAGTAGTAGTAGTAGTAGTAGTAGTAGTAGTAGTAGTAGTAGTAGTAGTAGTAGTAGTAGTAGTTACAGTAGTAGTAGTAGTAGTAGTACAGTAGTAGTAGTAGTAGTAGTTACAGTAGTAGTAGTAGTAGTACAGTAGTAGTAGTAGTAGTAGTAGTAGTACAGTAGTAGTAGTAGTACAGTAGTAGTAGTAGTAGTAGTAGTAGTAGTAGTAGTAGTAGTAGTAGTAGTAGTAGTAGTACAGTAGTAGTAGTAGTAGTAGTAGTAGTAGTAGTAGTAGTAGTAGTAGTAGTAGTAGTAGTAGTAGTAGTAGTAGTAGTAGTAGTAGTAGTAGTAGTAGTAGTAGTAGTAGTAGTAGTAGTAGTAGTAGTAGTAGTAGTAGTAGTAGTAGTAGTAGTAGTAGTAGTAGTAGTAGTAGTAGTAGTAGTAGTAGTAGTAGTAGTAGTAGTAGCAGTAGTAGTAGTAGTAGTAGTAGTAGTAGTAGTAGTAGTAGTAGTAGTAGTAGTAGTAGTAGTAGTAGTAGTAGTAGTAGTACAGTAGTAGTAGTAGTAGTAGTAGTAGTAGTAGTAGTAGTAGTAGTAGTAGTAGTAGTAGTAGTAGTAGTAGTAGTAGTAGTAGTAGTAGTAGTAGTAGTAGTAGTAGTAGTAGTAGTAGTAGTAGTAGTAGTAGTAGTAGTAGTAGTAGTAGTAGTAGTAGTAGTAGTAGTAGTAGTAGTAGTAGTAGTAGTAGTAGTAGTAGTAGTAGTAGTAGTAGTAGTAGTAGTAGTAGTAGTAGTAGTAGTAGTAGTAGTAGTAGTTCAGTAGTAGTAGTAGTAGTAGTAGTAGTAGTAGTAGTAGTAGTAGTAGTAGTTACAGTAGTAGTAGTAGTAGTAGTAGTAGTAGTAGTAGTAGTAGTAGTAGTAGTAGTAGTAGTAGTAGTAGTAGTAGTAGTAGTAGTAGTAGTAGTAGTAGTAGTAGTAGTAGTAGTAGTAGTAGTAGTAGTAGTAGTAGTAGTCAGTAGTAGTAGTAGTAGTAGTAGTAGTAGTAGTAGTAGTAGTAGTAGTAGTAGTAGTAGTACGTAGTAGTAGTAGTAGTAGTAGTAGTAGTAGTAGTAGTAGTAGTAGTAGTAGTAGTAGTAGTAGTAGTAGTAGTAGTCCACTCGACACAGACGTTGACATGGACAGTCTGGTGTAATCATAGATTAGTTTGGGGGGTTTTGTGGAGTGGGTAAGACTCTGAGCATTGACCTGCACTAGTCTAACACCAGTGACCTCTGCAAATACAACGACTGTCTCCACACGTCTCCAACACTCTGGACCACGAGGAAATGAGCTCCTATGTCCAAAATTCTGGCCTGTCCCTTTAAAGCTCCTTACATGCATCCATGTGTGTGTCTTCTCCAGGCCACAGTCCTGGATATCTGCAGTAACTAGTATCAGAGTATTTGCTCTGTAGTTCTCAACAGTTCACCTCTATCCTCAGAGTTTTACACTAATGCTTGATTGAAATGTTCTCGAGAATTGTCTCCCACCTGCAGGTCTCCATGGAGATAATACTGCTTTGCCTGGAATGTTCCACAGTATAGCATTAAACCTTTACTTCCATGGAGACATATCATTGTATATGACATTGTATATTTGAAAAAAAAAAAAAAAAAAGTAAAAAAATAAATAAATAAATGATTGGGTGAAGTTAAAACCTGTCACCACTAGATGGAGACACTGTGCTGTGTTTAGTTACACGTGTTATTCATCTGCAGTGTAAAATGATTTCAACTGTCAGTGGTGTTTCATCTCAATCCAGGACAAACTTCACACATCACATTATATCAAGTCTTCACTTCAATCACAGATTTATTTCCTGTTTTCTGTCCATGAGGATTGTTGGTTACAGATCGTTTCCTGCCATAAATACTTTCAAAAATAAACCTGTTTATTGTGAGTGGACTCGCCTCTCGTTGCCTTTTTGCTTCCACAGAGACAATTATGTTTAATGCCATACTGTGGAACATTACAGACAAAGCATTAACATCTCCATAGCAACACACAGGTGACAGGCTGCACCAGAAAAGTTACACAGTGGAGCTTTAATGCATAAACTACTTTTCTGAATAGAATGTGTAGATGTAGAGCCTGTTGTTGTGTTTGAATAAAACACACCTCTTTATTTCTGTAGAACTGACAATAATCCACAAGGAGCAAACATTAAACATCAGAATGACAAAACAAAGTTTAAAGTGCTTTACACAAACTCTCTGTCAGAAGACCAGACCAAAAACTGTACTCGAGTAATAACAATGTTACTTTTAAATAATATTAGTGGAGTAGAAGTACGAAGTATTCATCCATTTATCCATTTTCTTCCACTTATCTGGGACTGGAACTTCCTTCACCCCAGACACTTCCTCCAGTTCCTCCTGGGGGACCCCGAGTTGTTCCCAGACCAGCCCAGAGACACAGTCCCTCCAGTGTGTCCTGGGTCTTCCTCAGGGCCTCATCATGGTGGGACGTGCCCAGAACATGAGGGAGGCGTCCAGGAGACATCAGAACAGATGTCTTCCCCTCAGCTGCTCCTCTTGACATGGAGGAGCAGCAGCTCTACGCCAAGCTCCTCCCGTGTGACTGAGTTCCTCACTCTATCTCGAAGGGAGCACCCAGACAACCTGCGGAGGAAACTCATTTCAGCCGCTTGTATCCATGATCTGGTCCTTTTGGTCATTACCCAGAGCTCATGAGCGGAGGTGAGGGGAGGAGATGGACAGTAAATTACTCAAGTAAGAGTAAGAAAGTATTAGAGGAAACTAGTACTCAAGTAAGAGTAACTTAAAGAGTAACTGTCAGGATGTAACATTATAATTTGAATGTAATGTAATGTGAAGGAGCAAACATGAAATAAAGCACAAAATTTGGTATTTTTCAAAGCAGACACAAAAATGAGACAAACTAAATCAGATCTGAAGGAGCGGAGCAAGAAACACAAATGTTCAAATCTTTTCAGATTGTCACATCAAACTTTTGTCACTTTAGACTCACTCCCACTGGGAAGAGGAAGTACAACTATTACTCAAGTAAGAAGAGTACTGTTACATTGTACTATATATTCATCAAGTAAAAGTAGTAGTAGTTTATTCAATCATTTTGCAGCACTACAAAACAAAACAAAACATAGACTACAACCTCATACATCATGACTGAAGTAAAAAAAAATACTTGCCAAACCTGATTAAACAATGACAGAATTAGAAGAAAGAAAAGCAGAGGATGAACAACAAGTTTGTGTTTACAGTTTCACTTATGATTTACTGTAAATACAAGAGACAAAATATGAATTGAAAACTAAATGTTATGCATAATTCATTCATTCCAGAGCTCTATGTCTTTAAAATATAACACTTGATACTCTTTTTAAATCCAATCCAACTCCAACTTTATTTATATAGCACATTTTACAAACAAAACAGTTTCCAAAGTGCTTCACATAGCAATGTAAAACAATTTACTTAAAAAAATAAATAAATCAGCAGAATTATGTTTAATAAAGACAAAATAGAAAAATAAATAAAATAACAATAACAAAATCAATGAACAAAAACAATACAATCAATACATAAAAGCAGTACTAAAAATAAAACAAATAAAAACAATAAATAAAAAATAAATAAAATAAATAAAAACAATCAATAAAAATAAAAAATAAAAACAATAAATAATAAACAAATATATAAATAAAAAATAAATAAATAAATAAATGCTTCTACAGCGTCAGACTTTTTAAAATCATCACAGTTTGTTAAATACACCCTGGGACTGATATTACTCAACAGGAGTAAAATATGCTGCTAAAATACTCTGAAAAGTACAATTTCTTTCATAAGTTACTCAAGTAAAAGTAAGTACTGTCCATCCTTGGCAATAATTAGTATCACAATTATATTATTAAGCGTACAAAGTCCTTTACGCATGCGCACACTCGCTGTCACTCTACATAATCCTCTTTTTATGGCCGGTGTTTGTTCAGTACAATCATCTCTTTATTGATAAGGTCACCTACGTACAGCGTGACCAGGACTTTTCACTTTCCCTCAACCTTGAAGAAAACGTTTCCCCCGCACACGTGTGCACAGCTTGTCTCCTCTAACAGCGCATTCCTTCAGCTTCAGCAGGAAAACAACGGAAAAAAACATGAAATCCGAGCTTCTCTTTATGCAACCGGCCGTTTCAGAGACGCACCGTGTCCTCCAAGAAACGCGTGTCCGCCCTCGCGCTTTACGCTCCGATAATCATTAACTCAAAGTCGGTTAATCCGTTGTGTTGTCGCTCGTTTTTGGTTTGACAAAAAGGACCGAGCCGTGCGCTTTTTACGCACGAGGTAAAAACCGAAACGAACTTGAAAACGAGTTTGGTTAGTTTGTCCAGGGACGTTTTAAAGCGCTAGAAAATGAAAGTGACCCCGGAGAAGACGTGAGCTGCGACGTACGGTACAGCACACCTGACGCAAGGACAACAGGTAAGCACTTTTACGTCTTTTCACCTTGAGCAAAGAAAATCACGTTGTAAATCTTGGAGCAGGGTTTATTTGAATCTTAATTAGAGTGAATAAAAAGAAAGAAATCGCCAGAGTTGATGAAATCGAGTCAAATATTTGCTGTGTTGTTGTTTTAATTTCAGTTCAGTGTTGAGTTGGTACATATAGGCGTTTGCTAAAGTCATCAGGGTGTAACGGGTTTGCCTTGGGTTTCACTCAAAATGCAGTCAGTGACCTTACAGGAGACCTTCCAAAATAACACTTGTGGAGCTACTTTTACGCATCCGTGCAGTGTTTAAAGCCACAGTGTGAAACCTTTTACAAAAATAGACTCGTTTTTCGTGTTTTTTTTGTGATTATTGTATTGAAAAACATGTGTCTTGCCTCTCCACAAACCTGACTCTTACTTGGTTTATGTTGTTCCTTTGGATGTAATTTGACACTTAAAAACGTATCTGTCTCCATGGAAACTGTTCCCAAGTATGAGTTTAACTTTCTGTTTCTCTAGGTCATAACCCCAATATAAAATAACTCACAGGAACAACTGGGCCATAAAGCGGCTCTGTCAGTGTCAGGGAGAGTTTTAAAGTGGAAGATTAGAGGTTTTTGTTTTTTTTAAACTCAAAATGATGCAGAATCATGTTATTAACATTAACACCATTTATATTCACCAAGAGAACATAAACCACAGACTATAACACATGAACCAGGACTAAACCAGGACTAAACCAGGTCTAAACCAGGACTACACCAGGACTAAACCAGGACTACACCAGGACTAAACTAGAACTAAACCAGGACTACACCAGGACTAAACCAGGACTACACCAGGACTAAACTAAACAGGACTAAACTACTAAACTAGGACTAAACCAGGACTACACCAGGACTACTAAACCACTAAACAGGACTAACAAAACCAGGACTACACCAGGACTAACTAAACTAGAACTAAACCAGGACTACAACCAGGACTAAACCAGGACTAAACCAGGACTACCACCAGGACTAAACTAAACCAGGACTACACCAGGACTAAACCAGGACTACACCAGGACTAAACTAGAACTAAACTAGAACTAAACCAGGACTAAACCAGGTCTAAAACAGGTCTAAACCAGGACTAAACCAGAACTGAACCAGAACTGAACCAGGACTACACCAGGACTAGACCAAGTCGTAAGCAGCACTAAATCAGGACTGATCTTGAACTTGAGAGAGAGAGAGCTTGGTCTAGTCCTGTTCAGTTCTGGTTCAGTCTGGTTTAGTCCTGGTTTAGACCTGAGACCTCCTGGTTAGTCTGGTTTAGTTTAACCTGTTAGTCCTGGTTTAGACCTGGTTTAGTCCTGGTTTAGTCCTGGTTTAGTTCAGTCCTGGTTTAGTCCTGGTTCAGTCCTGGTTCAGTCCTGGTTCAGTCCTGGTTTAGTCCTGGTTCAGTCCTGGTTTAGTCCTGGTTTAGTCCTGGTTCAGTCCTGGTTCAGTCCTGGTTCAGTCCTGGTTTAGTCCTGGTTCAGTCCTGGTTAGTCCTGGTTAGTCCTGGTTCAGTCCTGGTTCAGTAGTCCTGTTCAGTCCTGGTTTAGTCCTGGTTCAAGTCCTGGTTTAGTCCTGGTTCAGTCCTGGTTTAGTCCTGGTTCAGTCCTGGTTTAGTCCTGGTTTAGTCCTGGTTCAGTCCTGGTTCAGGTCTCTACAGGACAGTCGTGCAGGTTGTTTTCATCATGGCTCCAGTTTGACATTTAAGTAGTAGTTGTTTTGTATTTGTTTTGTATATCTGGTGTACTCTCATGTACAGCGCCCTATACACTCCTGCACGCTGTCACTTTTATGTTGGAAAGCCGCCAACTGCTTGTCTCCTTGGAGATATTGTAGGTTAGGAGTCAGATCTGTGGAGATGCGACCCCACTCACAGTAAGAAAGACTGAATGTTTTTAAGGTGTTTTTGAGCCATAAAAATGACTATAATAGAGAGATATAATGGCACACTGTGGAACATTCAATTAAAATAAAAGTAAATAAATAAACGTGACAGACTCCACCAGAAAAAGTTCCATGGTGCATCTTTAATATGTGTATTTGTATACATAAAGACCAGTGCTGCACCTGTTCATGCAAATGGTCAGTTTGTGAACAAAATGAAACCAAAACCAGTTCCTCACAAATAAAGTCGTATTTAAAACAGATAAACTGGTTCATCTGAGTGCACTCAGACTTAGACTGAATAAATGTGAAACTAAAAACAGCACAACTTGTTTTGGTCGTTCAAAATACATTCCTCGCTCTCAAACTGCGTGACGATAAGACACAGATAAGACCGTGCGCTGGTTCCACTGCACTTTTACTCAAATATGAGATTACATTTACACGTTTTAGGGGTGTGTATTTTTATCTTCTTTTTTTTTTTTTTTTTTATCAAAATCAAATACTTTCTCATGTTCAGTGATCAGTGTGAGTGTTTTTAATAGGCGAGTTTCATTGTTGACAAAAGCGTGCGTTGCATGCTGGGAATTATTTTGGTCGGCGGCAAGAAACACTAATTCAACATGACGGACGGAGCGAGAAAACACGTAAAGGGTATTGATCCTGGTTATTTATCCACTCTAACGGCAGAGGACCCAAGACCATTTGACCAGAAATTGGTCATAAACATCGACAGACGTCAAATCTCCCTTTTCAACCCCGACAAAAGGTGGACCAAACCAAATTTCTGGTCTGAATCGTCAACTACCTGGACAAATATTCACTTTGGTGATATCCACAATGACTTGGTGGAAACTCCTGGGCCATTCACAGCAGAAAAGATGAAAACCTCCAAGAGTCTCGATGTGTTGTTGAACTTGTTGGAGTCCACGGTTTGTTAGGATCTTCTACGTTTGCTCTGTGGATGTTTGAAAGATGTTTAATTCACCGTTAGTGGTTCTTTTCACTCAGAATACGAAAAAGACATTTTCCTTCTTCTGTGCTTCTATTTGTGCATCCGATAATGCAGCAGGAATTTACCATTATCAGGGAGAAATACGCGAGGTTACACACTGTGTTTGACGCTACCGTGTTTCTTGCCTCCGACCAAAATATTTCCCAGCATGCAACACGGGCTTTTAATAACAATGACATCAGCTGAAACTCGCCTATACAGACGACCACAGCCAATCATCTGTCGGGAAAACACTGTGGTTTGGAGTGGAGGTTAAAGTTAAAGGTGCACTGTGTAACTTTACCGTTGTTGGTCTGTCACCTGTTTGTTTCTATGGAGATGTCACTGCTCTGTCTGAAATGTTCCACAGTGTGACATTAAACAGCTCTACTTTACATGTTTTCAATCACAGGTGGTTTTAGAGCTCAAAAGTACGTAGAAAAACAGACATTGTGACTGAGCGGGGTCGCCTCTCCACAGAGTTTTATTTCGTTTTTTTTATATATATAACACTTTTCACAGACATTTGTTAAAAAGACCATTTACAGATCATTATTCAGTCACTCCAGACCCGGTGATGGTAAACTCCTATTGTACACAGCTGCCCTGGGGCAGACTGACAGAAGTGAGGCTGCCAATCTGACCACCATCACTCACACACACACACACACACACACACACACACACACACACACACACACACACACACACACACCACTTTCATACTAGGCAATGTGGGTGAAGTGTCTTGCCTAAGGACACAATGACAGTTTTTGTGACTGGTGCCTCCTGTGGCTCCTGATTTCCCCAGTGTCTCGCTCCAAGTCCTGACCAGACTCTGCTGAGCTTCAGAGATGTGACAGGATCAGACTTTGACAAACCAGTATCACCACTGGCCACAGATCTGACCTGTAACTTGCTCTGGTTTGGTCTCTGTAAAGACAGAAAGATTTAATGCCATATTGTGAAACATTCCAGACAAAGCAATAACATCTCCATGGAGAAAGGCATTTGAAAAGTTGCACACTGCAGTTTTAAGTTTAATAAGAAAATATGAAATTGAGTCAGAAATGGAGCCTGCACAGAGGAGAGTACGATGCCCTCAGAGTCTAAAACTCCAGAACATCCTGGACTATGAAAGAGGAGACCTGAGGCGCTCTCATGTGCTGGGATGTTATTTATTCAGTGTCAACTGTCAAATGCCTGTGTCTTCTAATACCAACACAAGTCCAAACATGTTCATTCATTAACTTATTTACCCAGTCTGGATCCAAACACTTGATTGTTATTTGAGTTCAGTGATGATCCAGCGAACGCACCGACTATTATTCCATCTATTTCTCTGCACATCCTGGATTATACTGGTATACTGGCACAACAAAGAGAGAGTGTTGCTCATTGTTATTACTGTACATATATATACATTTACTACATTGGTAAAAAAAAAAAAAAAAAAATATATATATATATATATATAATATATATATATATATATATATATATATATATATATATATATATATATATATATTATATATATATATATATATATATATATGATTTATTTTCCACAAATTGAATGAGATTTTAAATTTTATTTAAAAAAAAAATCTTTGCCACCATAATCTGTGTGTTTCTGAGCTCTAAAACTACTTGTAGTTGAATAAATGTAAAGTAGAGCTGTTTGAATACGAACAAGTATGTGTCCGTTTGCTGCAGGTGTTCCAATCAGTAGGAGCAGGTAGAGGGCGCTCTTGGAAAAAAGGATCAAAACTAAAACACAACGGATTCCAGGCACTCCAAACAAGTAGAAAAAGTTAAAAATCGCATGATGAAAAATATAGTTAGAAGGCCTTTATTAGAATGGCCAAAGCCAACATGTTTCAACCTTAATGGTCTTCATCAAGTAGAACACATCAACCAATAACAGACTGGAGTTGATTAGAGGCAGACAAAACAGGTGCAAGATCAACACAGGACACGACACAGGCAAAAAAAATAAATAAAAATTAAACACAATACACACAAATGTGCACACTAACATAATAAAGAAAATAAATACATAAACAAAAACATAACACATTATCATTATATTATTACCAATAATTTATTATTATTTATAGTTTTAAATTATTTGTATATTTTTATTGTATTTTATTATATTAGTGTTATAATTTTTTTTATATAATTTATTATTTTTATTATTATTGCCATCATCATTATCAATAATAACCATAGAAAGCCTATCAGCCTACAGTGGTCGTAAGAGCTGTTTAATGTCACACTGTGGAACATTCCAGGCAGAGCAATGACATCTCCATAGAAACAAGCAGGTGACAGACCCTCAATCAAAAAGTTTCATAGTGTACCTTTAGTCTGTGTTTATTTATATAAAATTGTTTCCTGGTGCTTTTTCTGCAGTGTTTTTTGCATGAGCTCCCCCTGCAGGTGGAGTGTTGAGAGTGCAGTTTGGAGCAGACACAAGGAAATGAGTGAGGAAGCCCCGCCCACAGAGGAGACACAAGGAGGAGAGAGGAAACAGGAGCAAGAGGAGGAGAGGAGAGGAGAGAAGAGGAGAGACGAGAGGAGAGGGCCAGAGGAGAGAGGAGAGAGGAGAGGAGAGGAGAGAGAGAGAGAGGAGAGAGAGAGAGAGAGAGAAGAGAGAGAGAGAGAGAGAGAGGAGAGAGAGAGAGAGAAGAGAGAGAGAGAGAAGAGAGGAGAGAGGAGAGAGGAGAGAGAGAGAGAGAGAGAGAGAGAGAGAGAGAGAGGAGAGAGAGAGAGGGAGAGAGAGAGGAGAGAGGAGAGGAGAGAGGAGAGAGGAGAGAGAGAGAGAGAGAGAGAGAAGAGAAGGAGAGGAGAGGAGAGAGAAGAGAGGAGAGAGAGAGAGAGGAGAGAGAAGAGAGAGAGAGAGAGAGAGGAGAGAGGAGAAGAGAGGAGAGAGAGAGAGAGAGAGAGAGAGAGGAGAGAAGAGAGGAGAGAGAGAGAGAGAGAGAGAAGAGAGGAGAGAGAGAGAGAGAGAGAGAGGAGAGAAGAGAGAGAGAGGAGAGAGAGAGAGAGAGAGGAGAGAGGAGAGAGAGAGAGAGAGAGAGAGAGAGAGAGAGAGAGAGAGAGAGAGAGAGAGAGAGAGAGAGGAGAGAGAGAGAGAGAGAGAGAGAGAGAGAGGAGAGAGAGAGAGAGGAGAGAGAGGAAGGAGAGAAAGAGGAGAGAGGAGAGAGGAGAGAGAGAGAAAGAGAGAGAGGAGGAGAGAGAGGAGAGAGAGAGAGAGAGAGAGAGAGAAGAGAAGAGAGGAGATAGGAGAGAAGAGAGAGAGGAGAGGAGAGAGAGGAGAGAGAGAGAGGAGAGAGAGAAGAGAGGAGAGGAAAAAGGAGTGGAGGAGAGAGGAAGAGGAACATAGAATAGTGGAAGAGAGGAGTATAGAGGAGACACTTCTCACATGTGGTTGTTTAGTCTGGTGTCAGGTTCACTCTTTCATTCTGTGGTTTTCTGTGGGACTTTTAAAATGACACACTTGATTGACAGCTGAAGAATCAAGGAGAGGAATGAAGGAGAAGGAAGCGAGGAAAGAGAAAGATGTTCAGATTCAACTTCATTTCTGTTCTGTGAATGCCACTTTTTAGTATCAGTACTAATTTCAGTATCAATGATCAGATTTTTGACTCATCCTTATGGAACAGATAATACTCCCTACAACTGTACAACAATTCACCCTTATGGAACAGATAATACTCCCTACAACTGTACAACAATTCACCCTTATGGAACAGATAATACTCCCTACAACTGTACAACAACAAACTCACAACTGTAACAACCTTATGTAACAGATAATACTCCCTACAACTGTACAACAACTCACCTTTATGTAACAGATAATACTCCCTACAACTGCGGAACAACTCATTCAAGGCTCAAAACACTTTACAACAAGGAACCACACACACTCATACACAAGTGCATGCAGACACTAGGGGCAGGGTGGGTTAAGTGTCTTGCCCAAGGACACAACAACAGCATTCATCCGTGAGAGCTGATGTTTACGTCTTTTATCATTTCTTTGTCCATTCACTGTTGCCGTGACAACAGGATAAAACACGGGGGGTGGGACATTTGTATTTGTTGGATACCTGCTCAGGTGTGTGTGTAGTTTCGATATCAGTCTCGGTATCGGTTGGTGTGTGTTTTTCGATACTTGTGACGCGCTGCGGGAGTCAAACCTTTTTCCAAAGTCGAGTATTTTCAGTTTGTTGACGTGAAGCTGAACACGCAGGAGCTTTTATTGACTGTAAACACCACTGTCCTCCACTTCTCTCCTCCTCCCTCTCTCCTCCTCCCTTTTTCTTCTCTCTCTATCTCTCGCTCTCACCCCCACTCTCTCTGTCCCTTATCTCCTCCTCTCCTCCTCCTTTCCCTCTCTTTTTTCTCTCTCCCTCCCTCTTTATCTCTCTCTCTCTCTCTTCCTTCTCCCCCTCTCTATCTCTCTTTTCTTTTCATCTCTCTCTTTCTCATTTTCTCGCTCACTCTCCCTGCCTCTTTATCTCTCCTCTCTCTTGCTCTCTCTCTCTCTCCCCCACTCCCTCACTCTCTTCCACTCTTTCTCCTCTCTCTTCCCTCCTTCTTTATCTCTCTCTTCCTCATTGCTCTCTCTCTTATTCTGTCTCTTCCTCTCCCTCTCTTTCTCACTCTCTATCTCTCTCTCCACTCTCTCTCTCCTTCTCCTCTCTCTCTCTTCCACTCTCTCTCTCCTTCTCCTCTCTCTCTCTGTCTCTCCTTCTCTCTCTCTTCCTTCTCCACCTCTCCTTTCTCTTGCACTCTCCCCTCTCTCCTCCTCCTATTTCTCTCTCTCTTTCCATCTCTTTTTATCTCTCTTTCTTTCTCATTCTCTCTTTCCCTTTCCCTCCCTCTTTATCTCTCTCCTCTTCCTCCTCGCTCCTCCTCTTTCTTTTCTCTCTGCCTCTCTCTTTATCTCTCTCTCCTCCCTCTTCCTCATTGCACTCTCTCTCATTCCCTTTCTTCCTCCCCCCTCTCTCTCTCACACACACACTCTCCTCCTCTTCTAACTCTCTCCGTCCTCTCTCCTCCTCTCACTCTCTTTCACTCTCTCCCTATCTCTTTGTTATCTCTCTCCCTCCCTCTTTATCGTTTTCTCCTCCTCTTCCTCGTCGCTCTCCCTCCCTCTCTCTCCTCCTCTCTTCTTCTTCTCCTCTTCCCTCTCTCTCGTGTGTCAGGTTTCAGTGGGCTGTCGCTGTCGCTGTCATCGTCGTCGTCGTCGGTCGGTCGGTCGTGTGGGTTCATGGATTCGGTGGAGGAAGACCGCGTGTCCGTTCACAGTAACGGGAAAACTCCTCTGGGGATCGTGAAGACTTTGAGGACGAGCATCAGAAAAGCCGCCGCCAAAAGTCCCCTGTCCCCGCTCCAGAAGGGGTCAAAGGTCAACGGGGACCCCACCTGTCCTCCGTCTTCTCCCAGTGAGTCTCCCAAAACATTTGACTCTTTCTCTGTCTGAGTTTTCACATTTTTATGTTTTTATTGTGAAAAGAAGGTTTAAGGATTATTTCCTGACACCCACGAGTAAACAGCAGTGAAATCTGTGACCAGGAACTTAAACTGTCTGTCGCAATCTAATCATATTTGACCCATGAGCTTATATCAAATCTGTATTAGATTTGGCCCCCTGGCTACAGATTGACTATAGAGACATTATTTATTTAAAATGTTGTTATTATTTTTATATTCTGCTTGTTCTGGATTCAGTGTTTAAGCAAAACTATTATTAAACATTTATTTTAATAAGAAAAAGTTTAACATTACATACCTTGAAAGAAGAAAAAACATGCAGATGTTGTTGAAATTTTTCCATAAATATATAGTTTGGCCCACAACTTAGTCCCAGTTTTGAATTTTGGCCTCTGTGAATTTGAGTTTGACTCTCCTGATCTAAAACATCTCACTTTTCTTCCAAATTTCTTCCTAAATCATCTTTTGGATACTAAACCTAAAGCAGGTTCTAATTGAGGTGATCTGAAACTATTACCATTACATACTAACTTTGTAATAACCTGTAGTGACTTTGTTCACACAGTGGTTATGGTTTATATTTTGGAGGCATCAGACTGTACGTCATAACTCTCCGTGCCTCTTTTATAAACTCCATTTCTTGTGACTGTGAAAACTAGTCACTCTGTGGCATTTTCATATTGTAAAGGTAACTCACCACAGGAAAGAGTTTGTAGACCCTTGACCTAAAAAGTAGTGTAATTTATTTATTTTTTCTTCAAATGTAAATGTGTGAGAGCTGCTCTGAGTGTGGTTTTTAATGTTCTCGTGTGTTTGTGTCAGGTCCCAGTGTTGTTTCTTCTCTGAAGAAAAACGATGTGGCCTCTGCTTCTCCAAAGACCAAAGGGCTGTCACGCTCCAACACAGGTCTGACCCACACTCACCAACCTTCTCTCATGTTCTCTTACGTTCTGTTAAAGCTGCACCGTGTAACTTTTCTGGTGGAGTGTCCGTCAAATGCTTTTCTCCACAGAGATGTTATTGTCTGTCTGGAAGGTCTGGTTTTCTAGGTGTTTTTGAGCTTTAAAACCACCTGTAACTGAATAAATATAAAGTAGAGCTGTTTAATGTCACACTGTGGAACATTCCAGACAGAGCAATGACATCTCCATAGAAACAAGCAGGTGACGGACCCTAAACAAAAAGTTACACAGTGCATCTTGAAATTGTGTTCACACTTTTTGAAAGAAATCTCCAAACTTTTGATCCACAAATGTTGAAACTTCTCATTTTTGTTTGGGATTTGGCTCCAGAAACTTGTCATAGATTCTTCTGGTCTAAAGTCTTTTCACCTGAAGCTGATGTCAAAAATAAATTCACTTCTTGCTGCAGGTGTGGTAACTGTACCTATTGTAAACACGTATAACGGGCAAACTCTTTCATGGACACTACATCAGGTCAAAGTTTTGATATCAGGATTCATCACTAATTATGTGGTACAGACTCGAACGCCCATGTGGTCGTTTTTACACTGACCGAACAAAACACAAAGTGAAAAACAGACTGAACACAAACAGACTGTAAGAACCTGTGACCCTGTGTCTTACTGCTACAAGCCACAACCACAGAGCCACAGCAGCTGTAAAAGACAAAGTAACTGTGTAACTGAACATATTAAAGAAACAATAAGAGGAGACAGACTGACAAAATGAGTAGAGAGAGAGAGTCCTGCTGGATCTACACTCTCAATCCTCCTCAGTTTCCAGGACTCAGTGGAGAGTTACATTTCTCCTCCTTCCTTTAAATGTACAAACTATTCCTATTTTTAACATCTTCATCTCCATGAAACTGTTCAAGACCAAACCTCTAATATTATAAATATAGGAAAAAACATATATAAGTTGCACTTTTTGGGTGAAATTTATTTATAAAATCAGAGACCAGGAACCGACATTTCATCTTGAATCTTATATGAAGCTTTTCCCAAATCCTGTAGGAAGAAGGACAATAACGTCTTTCCTCTTGATAAAATTCACCAAACATTCTCTTTGTTCGGCTTTAAATCCTCGATCTCCGGAATCGTTGACAACACAGAATGTCTGGCTCTTCTCTGATTGGCTGGTGCCTGAACTCGCACTTCCGGGGTTTTTCCGAACAGTCTAGTGTATTGATGAGGAGAAAATTCAGTTTGTCGACTGGACAAAAGTTAGTTTGGTTGAAGACGTTTTGCAGCTCATCCAAGCTGCTTCTTCAGTTCAAAGTCGACAAACTGAATTTTCTCCTCATGGATTCTACCTGGACGACTGAGGGAATCTTCACACATCTAGTGTATTTTGATTCCTGACCTAGTCACTGGAGAGAAAACTGAGTGGGGACACTAGGTGGCACCAGTCTGATTAACACTGAAGAGCTCTTAAATGACAATTTTGCACAATCTACACTACACTGTTGTTTATATTTTTGGACAGAGAAGACGCTAAAACCTCCTCCCCTCACGGCTGGAGTCCTAAATATAGTTAGTGAAGATTTCTAGTAGGACTGTAGATTGTTTACTGGACACTTCATATGAACACTACTCCAGTCAGAGAATAATTCAGGACACAGGAATGTATTTGGAGCTTTGGAGCTTTTAATGTCCTGTCCTCTTCTGCTGGTATCTGCAACAACATTTTAAATCATATAAAACGACGAAACTAACGAAAATTACAAACATATAATCAGTATATGAATAATAGTTCAACAGTTTATCAACAATTCCCCAAACTATGTAAATGAATCAAGTTAATCAAGTTAAGTTTTATCAGAACATTATATCTACAAATTAAAGATTATCAAACAATGAATAATTAGGTAAATATTCACGTCTTTCACAGGCGCAGACATAAACAGGACAAACCAAACTATTAATGAGATGACAGTTATTTGATGATTTAATTAGTGCTTATAAAGGGAATTTGTTGTAAAATAATCTGCAAAAGAATAAAGCAGTTTTTATTATAATATCCATATTTGAACACGTCACATGTGAATGTGGTCACGTGACACCACAGAGTTTAAAGGAAGGATCCAAACACTTAGGAAACACCCTCCGTCTTCCTGCTTGAAAATTCCTGTGCGGAACAAAAACAACTACCGGAGCGCTGGAGGTTTCTTAGTCGTAATAAAATAATTGAGACTCTTTTTGTTCATTTCTTTGCCCAGATCCGAACGTCGGCTCAAACTCGCTGCTGCAGAGAGGAGCTCAGATCAGACGGAGTTTATTTGGGACGAAGAAGGAGAGAAAGGATGTGACACTGAACGAGGAGACGAAGGAGGAGACGGAGGAGGAGGCCAGAGTGGACGAAGAGGAGGAGAGAGGAGACGAAGAGCCAGAAAACGAAGAGGTGGAAGAGATGTACACTCTACCGGAGCTGCCCCACACGCCTCTGTCAGGTAATGACTCTGTTTAAAGATGCACTGTGTAATGTGTCGCCATGGAGATGCTGCTGTGTTGTCTGGAATGTCCCAGTGTGGCATTAAACTTAACTTTAACCCTGCATTTGCTCAATAATGTGGGTTTACATCGACTTCTTACTGTGAGTGGGCTCGCCTCTCCTCAGATCTGACATGTAACTTAGCTCCATGGAGTCACGTGGTGTCTCGGTAAAGATAAATAAATGTAATGACATACTGTGGAACATTCCAGGCAACATCTCCATGGAGAGAAGCTGGTGAAGGACTCTACCAAAGTTACACAGTGTGCCTTTAAACTAAACTTTATTTTATTTTTTTTAACCTTTGTATCATGTTATAAAGTTGTAAAGTTGTTATCAAGTTGTTTCTTTCATCATCCATGCATGTTTGAGTAATCTAGCGATCTCTCCCAGGCCTTATTCAAACTCTTATTCTGAGGCTCCGCCCACAAGCCTCCCCAAATCACTTATTTTATATTTCACGCTTTGGGGGAAAACAACATTTTATCATTTATTTAAAAAAAAAAAAAAAAAAAAGTCATGGTGGTCGTGTCTCAGAGTCACCAGTGGGATTCAGCAGCTCACTGTAGAATTCAATGTAGCATGACGCCATGTGAGACAAGTCCCTGTCTCTGTCCCTGTCCCTATCCCTTTCCCTGTTTCTGTCTCTGTCCTTGTCTCTGTGTTTGTCCCTGTCTCTGTCTCTTTCCTTGTCTCTATCTCTGGCTCAGTCTTTGTCTCTTCTGTCTCTGTCCCTGTCCTCTCCCTGTCTCTGCTCTGTCTCTGTCCCTGTCTCTGTCTGTCTCTGTGTCTGTGTCTCTGTGTCTGTGTCTCTGTGTCTGTGTCTGTGTCTCTGTCTGTGTCTGTGTCTCTGTGTCTGTGTCTCTGTGTCTCTGTGTCTCTGTGTCTCTGTGTGTCTGTCTCTGTGTCTCTGTGTCTGTGTCTCTGTGTCTGTGTCTCTGTGTCTGTGTCTCTGTCTCTCTGTGTCTCTGTGTCTGTGTCTCTGTGTCTGTGTCTCTGTGTGTCTGTGTCTGTGTCTCTGTGTCTGTGTCTCTGTGTCTGTGTCTGTGTGTCTGTGTCTGTGTCTGTGTCTCTGTGTCTGTCTGTGTCTCTGTGTCTGTGTCTCTGTGTCTGTGTGTCTCTGTGTCTGTGTCTGTGTCTCTGTGTCTGTGTCTCTGTGTCTCTGTGTCTGTGTCTCTGTGTCTGTGTCTGTGTCTCTGTGTCTGTGTCTCTGTGTCTGTGTCTGTGTCTCTGTGTCTCTGTGTCTGTGTCTCTGTGTCTGTGTCTGTGTCTCTGTGTCTGTGTGTCTGTGTCTGTGTCTGTGTCTCTGTGTCTGTGTCTCTGTGTCTGTGTCTCTGTGTGTGCTTGTGTTTTGTCAACAGTGTAAAGTCTCTGAACAGCAGATAATCATCTTGTTCTCACCCACACAACACAAAGTCATTTCAAACACAAACACTGAATAGTTTCATGTAGAAAATGAAGGAAAAGCTCTGGTTTAACTTCATCTATTTTTCACGACCTTCAAAACACACACACACACACACACACAACCTGAGACTCAGATGAAGATATTAAGAGGCTGGATATTCTGGATTATGTTTATTGTTGTTGTTTATTCATTTATAAGTGAATTCATCATTGCGTTTATACAGCACCTTTCATGAACCCACAGCACTTTACAGATCTTTGTTCATTCACGCCGCACTCCCTGCCCTGGGACACACTGACAGAAGTGAGGCTGCAAATTTGCACCATTGGCCCCCACCACTAACACCACTAATGATTTAAAATAATATGTAAAGAGTAACATAAATAACATGCTGTAAATAAGAAAATAGGTGTTACCTTGTTAGGTGGAATTAGATCAAAATGATCCCAAACCATGGATTTTTTTCCACTTGTAGATGCCATTGAAAATAAAACAAATGCCAAAAGTCGCCAAAATCACCACTAACGTCACACAATACTCCTCACTACCCAACATTTTTAAGAAATATTGGTGCATCTTTTATACTGTAGCAGTTTAGCGCTCGTCAAACCACAGAAGTGCACTGAACACTCTGAAGCACTCTGAACCAATCACAGAGCGGAACATTCGCTGAGCCAATGAAACGCTTCGATACACTGAAGTGATTGACACGCAGAGTGAAGCAGAAGGGGGAGGGAGCGACACTTCCACACTTTGGTGACGTGAGCGGCTGCTGCGAGACGAACTCCGAGGCAGAGCTTCAGAGCAGTTTGTTTCAGAAAGAACGAGACGAGCTCCAGAGCTCATTTGCCCATCACTAGATATGGCCATTATTTTCTTAGATTCTTAAAACAGTATCAAGACAAGACAAAAACCGTAAGAAAACCAACCAGTTATCAGGATTCAGAATTTTTATGTACAAAAATGATCTACATGTTCAAAAAGGAGTGAGTAGAAATATAAACACTCTTTTTCCCCAGTGTTAAATGACATTTTCAATGCATTCTGTTTCATTTTCATTTGGTCAAAATATGTACAACTCACTTTTTGTTTTTTAATGTTTTGTCTCTCTCAGTGATGCAGATCAATAAGCTGATAGAGAAGGAGGTTTTGGAGGAGGCCTACATGAACCTGCTGGCTCTGCGTCTGGAGTTTCAGACTGAATCGTCTCAGAGTGGAGCTGACGGTTCCATGAATCTGTCCAAAAAAGAGAAGGACTTAAACCTGCTGTACACCGAGCTCAAAGCCAAAGTCTGCACCATCGTACGGGACTCCAACTCTCTGCCCGCCAGGTACCAACACTCACATCACTCTGTGGGCTTCATCATTTTATTATTTTACCTTATTCTGGACGTTTTCATTATTCAGGCTGTATTATTTTGTGTGGGGCTGATCCTAACAGGAAATTCAATCCAGACGATAAAGCCGCTTTAAATCCTCCACAGAATCAGTGCAGTGTGACTTGTTGGTCACATGAAACACTGAACATTTTACACAAATGAACCAACTTTATATCACATTTATGTTGCAAGACTTTTCACAAATTTACCTTTGACATGAATGGGATCCCCGTTTTAAACCCTGTGTCCCCTGTCCCAACAGATTTATACAAAACCACTGATTTGTCCCAGTTTTATATGAGAAATGTCCCTGGTGTCCCTATTTTTGACCAATCTGATCCCTGCCAACAGTAAAGAGGCAGAAATGGTCATGTGTTTTGGTAAAATACAGAAAAGCTGCTTAAAAATGACCAAAACACAAAGAAAATGTGATTATACTGACTCACATGTTCATCATGAATGGTCTCTGCAGAATAATTTTCCTTCATTATGCACTTGTTTCACAAATGTATTATTATCAACCACCAAAAAAAACAAAAACAGGGATGTCCCAGTTTTTTATCTTGAAATTCTGGTCAGCCTAATTTTGAGAAAGTGGACGAGGCAGAAAAAAGTGATCAAGGTTTTCATAATATTTAGCAAAAAACTGACTGACCTAAATCCTTACTGAGCAGGCTTGCATCTCCACAAACCCGACTCTTACTTGGCCTGCTGGTTTCCATGGACGTGTTGTTCTTTTGGCTAGAATCTTCCACAGTATATACATATATACAAATATAAAAACCTTCATGGAGAATGTTCTGTAGTATGGTTTTAACTTTCTGTTTCACACTGTATCTTTACGTTGAGAAAATCAATGTTCTGCCTTCTTCTGTCAAATATTCAAATCACTGTGTAACTTTTCTGATAGAGTCTGTTTCCATGGGGATGTTATTTGAATGTTCTGCAGTATGGAAATAAACTCTCAACTCAACTTTATTTCTAGAGCACATGAAAAACAACACAGTCAACCAAAGTGCTGCACACAAACACATAACAAACAATGACAAATACAGTGACAGATGCAGGGAAATATAATAATAATACAAATCCAGTCAACCCTCAAACTGAGTTAAAAGCCAAGGAGAGAAAGTTTTTAGGAGGGACTTAAAAACAGGCAGTGAGTGGGTCAGTCTGATGTGCAGAGGGAGATGATTCCACAGCCGGTTTCACTTGGTGGAAACCATCTGACCTCACAGCACTAGGATTCATTCACTTGACGGTAGGCGGGTACTTTTTTATTTAACCCATCACTTCTATTTGGTCGGGACGTGTGTAATCCGCCACAAACGGGGCTAACTGGTATATTAAGCTTTTCCCAAATCCTGTAGGAAGAAGAACAATAACGTCTTTCCCCTTGATACAATTCAACAAACATTCTCTTTGTTCTGGTTTTAAATCCTCGATCTCGGGAATTGTTGCCAACACAGAATGTCTGGCTCTTTGCTGACTGGCTGGTGCCTGAACTCACACTGCAGGGTTTTTTGCAAACCATCTAGTGTATTCTGATTTCTGACCTAATCGCTGGAGAGAAATGAAATGAAGCGGAGGCACTAGGTGGCACCAGTCTGACTACAGCCTTGGAGCAGCCGCTGTAAATGCCCGATCTCCTTTATGTTTTCTCCTGGTATTTGGGACATGAAGAAGAGCCTGATCTGTGAACCTGAGAACACAAGAGGTGGTGTGAGGTACAAGCAGGTCAGACTGAGGGACCATGGCATTTAAAAGCAAATCAAAGAATTTTTAAACCAGTGCCAAAGTGCACGAGGAGCCAGTGAAGAGACTGAAGGACGGGAGTGTGTGTATGAGGTCACATTACATGATCTAGTTAAAGGCGAGTGTCTGTGTTCTGCACTCGCTGTAGGTGGGAGAGTGAGGTTTAACTGAGTCCAGTGTAAAGTGAGTTACAATCATTTAAACGAGACGTAATAAAAACATGGACTCAAATTTCAAAGTTGTGATGAGATAAAATTGATTTCACTTTGACCAGCAACCTTCACTGAAAAAAGCTGGTCACCACAGAATTGATTTGGGCATCAAGTTTAAAACCTAACTTGGTTATCACAATGGAGACTGGTTACTAGTCAGCTCTATTGAGAAGCAACCCTGCATAGTAACACTTCATGTTTTTCAACTTTGTACACTATTCTCACACAGTCATAATCCTTTTGCATCCTTCTTAAAACTTACTGCTGCTGTTGTTCTTATGTTATTTTCCTTCTTTATGTAACAAGCCGAAGATTCATTATTCCTTAATGCTCTGCAGCTGCGTAACTTCTCTCTCCCTCAGCGTGTCCTGGGGCCTCATTTCTAAATCTCGCTTATGCACAGATCCTTGTGTTCGTGCTCTCTACGCCAACTGCGGTGTTTGTGAAACTCGTCTCAAGTGTGGTGCTTTGCTTAACTCTACACCATCTTGGGTCCTCCTATAAGCTCTACTCAAAGTCTGGAGACACGGGGGAAAACGACACTTGTGAGGAAAAGCAGAAGCAGAACAGAGTTTGAGGAAGTGTTTGTTCATGAACTTAACAGAAAATCCACCTATATAAAAGAATGACCTTCAAAACAGAGAAGGGCTGTTTTGATCCACTCATTTATTCTAAAATATTATACATTTGAAACCTATGCATGAGTGTGGCCATGCTTTTGATTTAATGAACGCAATTTTAACACTTTTACTTTAGTCTTTATGCGCCGAGTGACCCAAGTCTGCGCACGCCACGAAGCCTACTGTTCGAACCTGACCCCAACCTTAAATATTCCCTACTTTTTGTGTAATGGGGACTTCTGGCAAATGAGAGCTACTCCCGTCCTGACCCAGCCCCGTGCACTCACCCAGGTGAGCAGTTTGGATGTTTTGTGTGGACTTTAATTGGCAGAATAACATCTGTGACCACATATCCTCGTGTCCTTCTCTCGCTCCTTTCCCTCTCCATGGGAGGGCATCTGAATCTCGCACGTGCTCATAATGTGACCCTTCAGATCAGCGTGTGCACGTATCTATGTGTATATACATATATATACAGGGCCAGTCCACACACACATCATAGACACACTTAAAAATATAGCAGTAAAACTCTTGAAACAGCTAGAAAACACATGGGCTTTACTGCAAAGATGTGCTGCCTAAATATTATGAAATATGATTAAATGAAGAGATGAGTCGTTGTCACTTTCAGTGCAGGTGGGATTTATAAAGCAAAGATTGCGTGTTTAGTGCGTGCGGTGGGTTTTGTGAATATGGAGTTTGCCTCTCGTGGCTACTAGGCGTACGCACTAACTTATGACGACTCTTATGCAGTTTTTTATAAATGAGGCTCCAGAAGTCCAACTTTTTGTTCGATGGTTACATCTGCCTTTCGGGTGCGACCGCAGGAGTCTTTGTCAGTGCAGAACACTTCGTTGACATTGTGGGTTTTGTCGGAGAGAAAACTTACAAACATACAGCACTGATACAGATCCAACATTTATGTAAATGTGTCAAGCTGAACACATCTGTACTGTGCAGGAGACACTGCATGGGGGAGACTGATGACATTGGTCCCACAGTCAACACAATGCCCCTTTATATGGAGTAAAAAAAAAACAAACATGGAAAACTGCACTAAAAATATCCACGAAACAGCGAGGCTGCAAAAGGTGAACTGTGTTGTAGTGAGGGACGACTGTACATGCAACACAGATAAGTTTAATGTCACATTGTGAAACATTCCATGAAAAGAAATAAAATCTCCATGGAGACAAGCAAATAATGGACCATCCACTTTAGAAGTTCCATAGTGCAGCTTTAAACTGACCTAATCATCTCCATTTTGTCCTGTTTAAATCCAGGTTCAAACGAGACAGGCTTTTGACGCTCAGTAACGCAGTGACACTTTGTGATTTGGTTCATTGTTTGATGTTTTGCGTGTTTTATTTTGTGTTGATTTGAATGTGAAGCACTTTGGTCACCTCGGGTAAATAAAGTTTGATTCAATGTCTGATTGATTGTCTTGACACAGAAATAAGAAGCTGCTCGAGTTCGTGTCCCGGATCATTCAGGAGGAGCAGCGCCGTGCGTCAGAGCCAGGAGGACTCTCCGGCAGCTGGCTGGACTCCTGGAAATCCGCGATCCAAGATGGAGTCCAGACCAAAGTGGACCGGGTCCAGCTGGAGACCCGGGAGCAGAACCAGTCGTGGCTGGCCGTGCACCTGGGGATCCTGGGTAAAGCGGTGGTGACAGACTTGGAGGGCGTGAGGAGGGAGCTGAGGTGGTCGTACCCGCGCAGTTTTAAGGTGTTTGGTGAATATGTGCAGAGTTATAACAGAGTACTGGGACAGCACGTGAAGAAACTGGAGACTCAGACCACAGAAGTGAAGGACATCCTCGCTCTGCTCTGCTGGATCCTCAACAGATACAAGAGGTGAGACCAACGACATTCACTGTGGGTGTTTTCTGTTCGCTCTGTGCACTGTCCATCATTACAAGTACCTCGGTGTGTGGCTTAATTCTTCATTTAATTTTGAAAGGCACATTAAAGCTGCTCACTAAAGCCAAACTAAGAATAAGTTTCTTATATTGACATAAAAACAGTTTCACACGCAGTGTTGGGGAGGAACAGATTACATGTACTGGAGTTATGTAATCAGAGTACAAATTCCTATTTTCAAACTTTTTTCAAAAATAAACCACACCGGACTTTAAAGGAAACCCAACAGTGTGATGGGTGAGTGTTTTGTTTGTTTGTTCGTTCACGGTGACTCTGGGCTTTGTTCAGTTGTGGCGTGTAGGGAGGGTGTGTCTGGGACCAACGGATTGTCGGTGTGTTCGCAGTGACTCAGTTGTTCAGTTGTGTCTAGAAGTGGCACATTGCACTCGCTTTTTCGGTTCGTTCCTCCGTTCCTCCGTTCTGTTCCTCGTCGGTGTGGAGTGATGAGTGTGTCTGTGGGTGTGTTTCTCTGTGCGGTCGCTGTCTGCTCTGTGTGTGTTTGTGTGTTCTGCGGGTGGTGCGGCTTTGTAGCCAAACTAAGAATGTTTCTTATATCGACATAAAAACAGTTTCACACGCAGTGTTGGGGAGTAACAGATTACATGTCCTGGAGTTACATAATCAGAGTACAATTTATGAGTAACTGTATTCAGTTACAGTTACTGTTTCAGTGAGTGGCCATTGGATTACAGTTACTTGGTTGAAATAAATGGATTACATGGTGGTATTTTCCCGTTTTCACATTTTGGGCTATATCCCTTTTTATTTTTTATTTTTTCCGTGGTAATTCCACTCATTGCTGGACACTAAACCAGGTCTAAACCAGGTCTAAACCAGATCTAAACCAGGTCTAAACCAGGATTTAACAGGACTATATCATGCTGCGTGGACCGTGTCTTCTCTTCTATCAATAATATTTTTTATTTGGTTATGTAAAGTCTGGGCTTTTTATTTTCTTCTAGCAGACAAAACATCTTATGTGAAGATTTCCTTGTCTTTGCTTCTCTACAGCAAATCAAGTAATCCAAAGTATTCAGATTACCTAAAGTAATTTAATGGATTGCGATACAACATACATTTTGGGGTTTGTAATCTGTAGGAGAAGACATTTTAAATTAACCTTCCCAAAACTGTTCACACGCCCCACAAAAGAGCTCTTGGTCATAACGACAGTCCTCCCGATCATTGACTATGGAGATTTAGTTTACAGATCTGCATCAAAAACTCTGCTCCATAAGCTCCATGTGATTTATCCTGCAGCCTCCGCTTTGTCACAGGTGTTTACCATTCTCCACCATCACTGCACTTTACTCTCTGGTGAAGTGTTCCTCTCTCCACACCCGCACACAAACCCACCGGTTACTGTTCATTTATAAATGTTTAATTGGTAAAACTCCGTCCTACCTCGGCTCACTTCTGCACATCCACAGCTCCAGACCTACATGACCCTGGTCGTTACTAAAGCCCACACAGCTTTTGGTCGTTCCTGATTTCAGTTTTCTGCCGCAGTAATTGGAACCACCTTCAGCACACTTTAAAACTTAGTTCATTTTTACCTCTGTCGACTTTTAAAAACTCCATCCAGAGTATTTGACAGGATAATTGCACATGTTTAAACACTTTTATATCTTGAATCTGTAAATGTTTTACTGTCTTATATCTCTCTTCACTGTTTCATGTTATAGTTGATGTGTAAGTGTTTTCTGTTTGTGCTTTTGTTTTATATTGCCTCTTGGCCAGTGTTCTGACTTACCTAGTAAAATATTGAATACATTTTAAAAAAGGGCAGCTAGCTTCAAGTCAGATCACAGACTGTTGAAATAAACAGACATATCTAAACCGTCAGCCGCCGCGTTTCAAAGAGGAAGTGAGCATGGACACACTTCCAGCTCCATCAACCTAGCTCCAGTTGACTTTCTATTGAAAAACTCTCCCCTCTCTCTGTAACTGCTGCTGCCAGACTCGTCATTTGCTCTTAAAATGTTCGTATTAACTAAGGATGCAACAATACAATATTTGAAATAATATCAAATGGTTCAATACTGGTCTCTTGATTCGATAAACATGTCGATACGCACATGTCCCTCCATGTGTTGTCATTTATTTTGGTCCAAAGAGAATCAATTCTCTTGGCGTCCTCCTCAGATGCAGCAGAAAACAGCTCACAGGGATTTACAGCTGAAATATTCTAACAGAGGAGGGTTTGATCTTTCACTCACTTTTTAATTTTACGTTGATAGACCCGGTCACAGTTCTGCCATTTGTTTACACGTTTTCCCCAGTCCAGCTCCGTTTCCCAGTCTGTTCCGGTCCTCCTCTTGCTGCCTCCCTCTTTTTCCTACAGCTGCGTCTCATTCCCTCATCAGTCCAGGATAGTCCACATATACTCCTCCTGCTCACTCAGGCTTTGTCACCTGTTCACCTGTAAAGACTCAAGAATGAGATTTCCCTAAACATGAGCCGATAATCAGTGGGTTTGACCGAGACACGTGGGACAGAGGGAGGGGGACGCTCCACGCAGCACCACGTGATCAAGCTCCATATCTGAAAACTCTATATTTAAAACCTTGAATCTGATCTCGGTTTGTAACTTCTGCAATTCTGTATTTTTCCTGTTTGTTGTCCCTGTTCCTGAGTTTATTCCCAGTCTATTTTCTACTAGTGTATTTCCCAGTCATGGAAGATATTTTTGTTCACATTTGATATATATTCCTCTGTTGTATTTTCAGTCTGCTCTGCCATCATAAACAGTCCCTGTTATAGGACACTTTCAGTTGTTAAACTAAGCCTTTGTTTGCCTGTGTACTTGTGTAGCATTTGAGTCCAGTTTACCTGCGTGATAGACCCAGAAATGACTAACTTTTAACTTTTAAATACTTTAGAATTGCTTTTGGCTTCACATCTGCTTTAATCAAATTTCTATGTAATATAACATAGTTTTAGTGTGCAGGAGGAGGAGGTAGAGTGTGATGTGTTACAGACTGGAGGGGGCAGTGTGGGAGGAGCTACGTACTGTCTCTGCTGGAGCCGTGTGGACACAGGTGTGTGCACATAGTGAGAGGACAGACAGACTCAAGAGAAAAAGAAATAATCAAAGAAGGAAAAGTCTGATACATACTCTACCACTCTATATAAACAGTAGACTGACTATATTATAAAATATAAAATACTCTGAGAAACTGTTCTTATTTTCACTGAATACAAATCTGAGCTTGTAAATCACTGAACTAAATGAACTAAAACACTTCACATATGAAGTACAACTGTGCAGCACTTCTACTCTAGTGTAATTTGTGTCTTAGTGTTATTATATTTTACTCATTAGCAGAAAAAAAATTACTTTTTTTTTGTTGCGTGTTAAAAAGGTATCAAGATTGAATCGACATCATGACCCGTGTATTAAGATAAGTACTGAATCGTGGGAAAACCATATTGTTGTGTTCCTTGTATTATTTAGTCGCTCTATTCCAACACAGACGTGGTGTTCTCTGCAGATATCCTACATGATCAAGTGGATCAAGTACAAGGGGCTCATGCAGTCTCCTTTTTACATGAGATATTTTCCTGAAGTCTGGACTATGCTCTTTTTAAAATACATAACTGTTTCCCCACAGAGATCAGTGAGGACATTTTCCCACTGTCTGACACCATATGTGGCTCAAGTATTCTCTGATCAAGAGTTTTACACCGACTCAAGCGTCTTATAAGAATTGAGAACTATGGGAATTTTAAAACTGGACTTAGAACAAAGCAGAAGCGACACTTTGGAAAAGGATGATGTTCCCACGATACCAGGGTCCAGTGATGGAGATCCTAGATCTGTAAGTTTACAGCTAGTAAACCTCTGAAGAGAACTAAAATCAAACTGCAGCGTTTATTTTTGAAGATTATCCCACATATTATTTCAATCTGCATGTCATCTCCCTCGTTCTACCTGTTTGACAAACGTAACGTCGTCCTACGATATTACACTGATACTAACAACAGACTGAGGACATCATTTTATTCTAGTGAGTCGTCTTCAGTGCTTCTGCAAAATCAGTACGATTTCAGAACTATTGTGTAATGGATTGTGCTTGTTTATGTGCAGAAGACACAATGTGAAGAGTTATTTTTCATGATGATGGGCCTTTTAAACATTTAGGCCTCCACAATATTTTCTGTTTCTCAAGTGGCCCCATGGAAAAAAGAATTGGCCGCCCCTGGCCTACATGATCCTGGTGTTTTTATTTCACCATTTTGTCCATTAATCAAGATATGAACATAAATAACAGACAAATCAGACGCCGCCTTTCCCCACGATCACACCCCATACTGTTTGCAACAGGTTTGATTGACGCTGTTGCTAAGTGCCTGATCCTGCTGAACCTTTGGACTGGAGCTGAACTCTGGGTGACGTCACACTCGCTTTGTGCACTTCTTTATGCAGACTCTGGGTCAGAGGTGGTGTTGGAGTAACAGATTACATGTACCGGCGTTACGTAATCAGAGTACAAATTATGAGTAACTGTATTCGGTTACAGTTACTTTGAAAAAATAAATGGATTACATGGCAGTATTTTCCTGTTTTCACATTTTGGCCTGTATCCCATTTTAAAAAATTATTATTTTGGTAATTCCACTCATTGCCGGAAACCCAACACAATAAGAGCCACATAAACATCTTGTTGTAGGTGGAGGAGCCAGTAGAACAGAGGCAGCACGGAATAAAACACATTTGTGTCCTCGAAACTCAGACATCACTTTGTATTTAAAGAAGAAAGAGAGAACACTTCCTCCTGTGCACCTCTAAACCAGGACTAACACCAGGACTAAACCTAAACCTAAACTGGACTAAACCTGGACTAAAAGGACTAGGACTAGTGACTAAACTAAACTATATAGACTAATCATTTCTCTATCAATAATATTTTTAATCTGGTTAAGGACAGACTGGTCTCTTTGTGTCTTGTAGCAGATAAAACATCTTCGTCTTTGCTTCTCTACATCAAACAAAAGTCTGTTCATGGAGACTTGGGCTCAACAGACAATTTGAAGAGAACAAAAAAGAATTTTCAGGATGTGGTTGATACATTCATGTAGTTTTAAAAAGCATGACAATATCAAGTAATCCAAAGTATTCAGATTACATTACTCACTTTAAGTAATTTAATGGATTACGTTACAAACTACATTTTGGGGTATGTAATCTGTCATTTGTAGGGGAATACATTTTAGAAGTAACCTTCCCAACACTGGTCAGAGGGAGAGTTGGTGCAGCCACAAACACCCCTGTGAGGTTTTTTTTTTTCCATGTGACGCTAAAATCACTAAATCCAGACAGATGAGGCAGTGACGGGAGCTGTGGGAGGATGTCATGACAATATTACAAATGCATCTTTATGTGTCAGTGCAGATGCTCATCTCAGAGCCCAATAAATATTTAAAGGTGCACTGTGGAACTTTTCTGGTGAAGGGTCTGTCAGATGCTTTTCCCCATGCAGATACAGTATTACTGCTTTGACTGGAATGTTTCACAGTATGGCATTACCCTTTTCTAAGTCCATGGACATATATCATCACTGTGGAACATTCCAGACAGAGCAGTGACATATCCACAGAAACAATCAGGTGACAGAGCTTACACCAGTAAAGTTACACAATGTGTCTTTAAATAACATCTGCACCTAAAATAATCATCTTCTTTATTATCTTTACTACTAATTTAATCTACAAATGGAAATATATGGCAACACCTTTATTTTGTTAAATGGATTTTTAAATTGTCAGAAAATTGTCTTCCTTCTGCATAAATTCTCTTTGAGTTTTGGATGAATTTTCCGTGTTGTTGACATAGGTTGAGAGAAAATCTGTTGTAGAATTCAGCGCATCATCCTGAATTTTTGTACTTTTGTTCTCAGCTGTTTTACACAAACTACCACTTGACTTGTGTAAAACTATGATAAATATATAGCACACGTCCTACCTAAGTCAGAATTACAAACACTTTAAGTAGAGGGGAGTTCTGGAGCAGTACAGAATAAGAATGCATTGAAAACATGTCTGCAAAAACTCAAATATTCAACTCCAAAATATTTCTCTCCACACAAGTTCTCAGCAGTTCAGTAGGTTTGTAAAAAGTAGGAGTGTAACGGTACAAAAATAATGGTTTGGTACATATCTCGGTTTAGAGGTCACGGTTCAGTTCATTTTCACAGTAAACGGTAAAACAAAACTTTTTAAAAAGTCAAGTGCAGCGCTAACAGTTCCAGGATGAAGTTTTGTTAAATTTTCATATCTTTGGCCAGAAAAAAAACAACAACTTGTCCACAGTCCATCCATCCATTTTCTTCTGCTGATCTGGGGCTGGGTCACAGTGCACAGTCCACAGTGTCTGCAGTAAGTGCACATCTGCTGCACGGCGAGGAGAAAATTCAGTTTGTCGACTGGACAAAAGTTAGTTTGGTTGAAGACGTTTCTCAGTTCATCAAAGCTGTTTCTTCAGTTGTGGTCAGACGCTGGTGGACACTTCCTTATATCTGTCTGCAGGAGGAGCGAACTACACTGAAACTAACACACTTGTTTACAGTTTGTGTTTGTTAGTTGGGTCTATTGACCTGTACAGGATGTGGGGTCTAATTAGCAGAATCCTTCATGGCCATAATGGAGCTTCCACACCTCTGGACCTGACCTGACTACACCTGTTGTTGTTCTCGTGTTTGTTTTGATTTAGGTTTGAGGATGGAGTTGTAAATAGGACATGGAGGACTCAGACACCATCTAGCTCCTATTTACAACTCCATCCTCAACAAACTGAATTTTCTCCTCGCCGTGGATTCTCCCTGGACGACTTGGGGATTTTTCATACATCTGCTGCAGTTACAGTGGGGGGTTCCGTGCCGGCGAAAGGCAAAAGTGAGGACCGCGGCACAATGACTGTCGTTTTGTGAGGAGTCATGTGGTTTGGAGGGACGTAGTCAAGGTGAGGGGCAGTTGTTGTTAAGGCGGCTGACCTAACTATAAAGCGCTCAGTGTTGGAGAGTAACAGATTACATGTACCGGAGTTACGTAATCAGAGTACAAATTATGAATAACTATATTCAATTACAGTTACTCTTTTAATGAGTGGTAATTGGATTACAGTTACTTTGTTGAAATATGTGCATTACACGGCGGTATTTTTCTTTCTATTTTTTATTTTTATTTTTTTTGTCATAATTCCACTCATTGCCAGACACTAAACCAGGTCTAAAACCAGGTCTAAAACAGGATTTAACAGGACTAAACCAGGACTAAAACCAGGTCTAAAACTAGGTCTAAACCAGGTCTAAAACAGGATTTAACAGGACTAAACCAGGACTAAAACCAGGTCTAAAACTAGGTCTAAACCAGGTCTAAAACAGGATTTAACAGGACTAAACCAGGACTAAAACCAGGTCTAAAACCAGGTCTAATCTAAAACAGGATTTAACAGGACTAAACCAGGACTAAAACCAGGTCTAAAACTAGGTCTAAACCAGGTCTAAAACAGGATTTAACAGGACTAAACCAGGACTAAACTAGGTCTAAACCATGTCGCGTGAACCGTGTCTCCTTGTCTTCTATCAATAATATTTTTAATACGGTAAAGTAAAGACGGGGCTTTTCATTGTCTTTTAGCAGACAAAACTTCTTATGTGAAGATATTCCTGCCTTTGCTTCTCTACAGCAAATCAAGTAATCCAAAGTATTCAGATTATGTTACTCACTTTAAGTAATTTAATGGATTACGTTACAAAGTACATTTTGGGGTATGTAATCTGTAATCTGTAGGGAAAACATTTTAAAAGTCACCTTCCCAACACTGAAAGCGCTGCGAGAAACACAGACCTGCACCGAACCAAACGTCTTGTACCAAAACAGTTCGGCACGAATACATGTACCATTACACTGCTAAGAAAAAGTAAAAATGTGTGTTAAATCTACAATGTGTAACTTTACTGGTTTAGGCTCTGTCACCTGCTTGTTTCTGTGGAGATGTAATTGCACTGCTTGGAATGTTCCACAGTGTGACATTAAACAGCTTTACTTTACATTTATTCAATTACAGGTGGTTTTATTGCTCAAAAATACCTCGAAAAACAGACATTCTGACTGTGAGGGGGTCACCTCTCCACAGATCTGACCTGTAACGTGGGCTGGTCTCAGTGAAGTAAAAAATACTGTGAAACATTCCAAAGCAATAACATGTCCATGAAGAAAAACAGTTGATGGTCCCTCAAACCAAAAAAAAAAAAAAAAAAAAAGCCCTTTTAAAATGCCTCTTGTTTGTTGTTGTTGCAGTGAGGTTCTGGGCCACGTGTCTCTGGAGGGGGACATGACAGACCAGTGCACGGACCTGGACCTGGAGCCTGGGTTCATCTCTCAGCTCAAAGACAAATACTGCTCCAGGGTCCAGGTGAGAACACTGCCACAGCGCCCTCTAGCTGTCTGATCAAGGCATGACTCTCAACAGGCCCACACACTTAACAGTCCACTTCCCATAGAGCAGGGGGCACTGAACTTTTTTCTCTGGGGGCCACATTATCGCTCCTGACTGTGATGAGGGGCCAAAGTCGGGACCCTGACGACGTAAATTATGTTCTTTGAAAACCGCAACACTTCCTTTACATATCATATTCTTTATAAACTGCACGGCCCAACACTGAACAAAAAAAATAATCGGTGGTCCTTTGAAAAGTCGCCACTCTCTGTCAACTTTTCCTACTTTTAACACTCGCCATTTTGCTGTCCTTAACTGTACTACAGTACTCTACACTACAGTACTCTGCACTACATTACTCTGTAGTACTGTGTAACTTTTCTGGTGCAGGGTCTGTCTGCACGTGCGTTTGATCTCGAGTTTGTCAGGTGACAAAAATTCTGCGGCAAGCGTAAATACGTCATATAATATTTAAATATAAATATAAATTTATAAAATTTTGTATAGAAAAAAAAATCAATAAAATACAAGATGCAGATGTGTTATTATTTGCCAAAAAGTAATTTAAAAAATAGGTCACGACACGTTTAAGGATTGTATATTTCATATGTTTTCAAGTTAAATATTTGTTTGGATTTACAGTAAAATGTATTTTATTCCAATGTTGCATTCCGGAATGTTGCATGTTGTGGATCTCCATGGAGATCTGCCGTCTCCATGGAGATCTGCCGTCTCCATGGAGATTCTGTGGAACATCACTGGACTTTGTGACATCACAGTTTGTCTTGTGTAAGTGGGAGATCAGCTCAGATTTCTTCACTTCGAACCAAACCTTTGCAGAAGACACATCTCAGAACGAGACACTTCAGCAAACACTTTACTCTGTCGACCGCCATGTCCGCACACATCTCCCTCATGTCGACCAACGGCTCCATGCCCCCCTTCAAACGTCTGTACAGCCTGGCACAGGGCCTGGGTTTGCCCGTCAAATTCATCGAGTCCACCACGGCGCCTCACCCCCGCCCCGTCTTCACCGTCCGAGCTTCGGTCGGGCCCTTCTGGGCAGAAACGCGAGGTCCCAACAAGAGAGAGGTGAAGACCAGGGCCTGTGTCATGGTGACAAACATAGTGGAGACGTATCAGAGGTAACCACAGTGGCGCTTATGGCTACAGCTACACCAACAGCTACGCCCACCTCCCGCCCCACTGCCATCCAGACTTTGGTCTGAACAAAGACCCCTGCACTCGCCTGTCCGAGCTGCTCATGGCCCGCAAACACCCGCCCGCCCAGTACCGCCTGCTGGAGGGCGCGGTGACCCACACCCACTGGACCTTCTCCATGGAGGTGTCCGTGGACCAGCACACTGCGGTGGGCAAAGGGGGCTCCAAGAAGGAGGCCAGGAGGAGAGCGGCTGCAGTTCTGCTCCAGATGATGGGATACACAGTCCCAGAGGAGGAGCTGATCCCACCTGCTCCTCACCCCACAGCTGAACCTGCTCCTCAAACCTCAGCAGAACCTGCTCCTCTCACCACAACTGAACCTGCTCCTCTCACCACAACAGAACCTGCTCCTCTCACCACAACAGAACCTGCTCCTCTCACCACAACTGAACCTGCTCCTCACCCCACAGCTGAACCTGCTCCTCTAACCTCAGCTGAACCTGCTCCTCTCACCACAACAGAACCTGCTCCTCTCACCACAACTGAACCTGCTCCTCTCACCACAACTGAACCTGCTCTCAAACCTCAGCTGAACCTGCTCCTCAACCAGAGAACACTCTGGAGGAGCAGACCAGAGCTCTACCTGCTGGACACACAAAGAAGGAGGCCAAGAGGAACGCGTCCACCTCACTGCTCCTCTTGATGGGCTTTAAAGTCCCAGACAAGGACCTTCCCCTGGAGAAACCTGAGGAATTCACTTCAGAGGAGTATTCAGAGGGCCAGTCCCTTCAAACAGCTTCAGTGAGCACAGAAGACACAGAGACACAGACGTCAGGAGAACGCTGTGAGACACTTTCAGATGTGAGCGTGAGTCCAGAGGCTCCACAGGAAACTCCAGACCAGGAGAACCAAGAGGAGAGCCACATTCCACAAACCACAGCTCAGGACAATCAGGAGGAGCAGCCACTGAACAGCTCAGACAGTGATGATGTGTCAGAAGAGACATCAGAAGAGAGCCACAGACACAGCTCTCATGAACCTGCCGAAGAGGCTCAGGTTTTTATAAACCCTGAGCCTGTTTCAAGTGACTGCTCCGAGGAACGCCAAACTCTGGGTGAGTTCCACAAAAGTTCAGTGGAAACTCAAACTGAGACCCAGGATCAAAAGGAGTCAGAGACACTAGAGACTCCAGAGGATACAGAGAGTCCAATGCAGGTTCAGATCCTGGAAGTATCAAAGGAGACCCAATGTCTGGACAACTCCAAGAGTCCAGAGGAGGATCAAAAACCAGAGGAGGCAGAGACTGCAGATGATGCAGAGAGTCCAACACCAGGAGAAACTGGACTCGAACAACAAAGTCCTGAGGAAGAGGAGATTCTCAGTATGTTTGACAACAGTTCAACTCCTGAAAATAACCAGACTCCAGAGCAGCTGGACATCAGCTCTGTGGAAGACCTCAGTCCAAGTGAGACACAAATTCAAGAAGACCAAACCCCTGAGAACACAGAGACACTGATGGAGGTCCAAAATCACCTCCAAACTGCAGACGAGACAAACCCAGAGGAGGTGCAGTTCCACACAGCAGAGAACATAACAGTAGAAGAAGAGTGTGAGAAGTTGGAGCCAGAAAGTCCAGCCTCAGCTCCAGAGCCCCCTGCAGCTCCTCAGGCCTCACAGACCCTGGGCTCAGTGGAAAGCCTGGTGATCCACGCTCTGGTGACAAAACTGCTACAAAAGCTGCCCTCCAAAATGAGGTCCCACCACGATGCTTTAGTGCAGATTCTGGAGAAGGCTCTGGACCAGTTTATTGTCCCAGCTGAAGTTCACATCAAACCCAAAAACATCAAGAAGCTGGGCAAAGCTGGAGCCAGAGACCTGATCCATGAATACGGCTCTGCCTCCAAGCTCCTGGTCATGGCTCTGGGACCGGATCCCACAGACTTCCAGAAGGACGCCATGAAACATCTGAACTTTCATCTCAGCGCCTTCAGGAACCGGCCCAGAACTGTTCTGGCTCGGCTCTTTCCACAGTGGGACAAGCCCAAGAAGAGGGTCTGTTAGACAGCGCCCCCTGTGTCCTTTAAGAGTCACTCGTGTGGTAGAGAGGGGTCAAAGGTCACTGGACACTTTTGAAATTGAGATGTTTCACTTCCATCCAGAGCTCATTTTAAGAGTCAAAACGCTGAATGGAAGTTGAAGTGTTTCCATTTCAAAAACTGTTCAGATGAAACCTGCGACTCCTTTTCTCCCACGAACCAAACGAGGATCACACCGACTCACAGAGACACAACGCAACAAGTCTAATGATTAAAAAAAAGAAATAAACATTTCCCCTCCCCCTAAATATTGTTCTTATCTTTCTTTTATTACTTTGTTTCTCTTAAAGCAGCAGTGTGTAACATTTCTGTAGAGGACACATCACCTGCATGTTTTTAGCAGTGGTCTCAGCAAGACCCTGACATTTCAGCAAAAATTGTAAAACACATTATTTTATTACCTCAATGAATCACAGTCTTGTATTTTTTAGATCTAAATTCTCTCAAACATAAATATGAAGGATTCATGTTCTGGGGCTTAATTCTTTATATCACACAATGTCCCTGAGTCTCCATGGGTTTTATTGTGAGTCAGAGCTGCTCACCCTGTACTTCAGACGTCTACAAACATGTTCTGAAACACATGGGATTCTTCTTTTAGTTTATGAGTTGAGATTTCACTCTTCTCTCAAACGTGAATGTTCTGAACCTTGGTTTGAAAAGTCACAAATACACTTAAAAATCACAAATACATTTGTAATATTTAAAACAGATGATAAACCGTACACAAAGAAGTGTCTGATTCACCGTCACATTCTTCATTTACTCTTGTCACTTGAACATTATGAACAGCAGAACTCAAAAACTTCTGAGCACTGGATTTGAATGGACATCAACTGGGATTTTTCATCTTTCAAAGTCCTCAAAATCTAATTACACAAAATATAATTCATAACTCTGTCTCCTGTACATGAAACAGCAGTGGCCATAACCCTTCATGTACAGAAACCTGCTTCATGTACAGAAACCTGCTTCATGTACAGAAACCTGCTTCATGTACAGAAACCTGCTTCATGTACAGAAACCTGCTTCATGTACAGAAACCTGCTTCATGTACAGAAACCTGCTTCATGTACAGAAACCTGCTTCATGTACAGAAACCTGCAGTCACAATCTGTCACAGTATCAAGTGAATTCCTTGGAATCAAACCAGAGTTTGAAATGTTAGTATCGTGACATAGCACCTGTCTAAAGTGGGAATGTTGTGAACCATGAATAAACTGTACATATAATTGTTGGTATTAACTCACTCTACATGATCCTGGGTTTTATTTTGCTTTTTTGTCCATAAATACATTTCTGTTGCTAATATGGACCTGGCTCCAAGTTTGCCTCTATAATTTCAGCGTCGATGAGCTTCATTTGACTGAACCCTGTGGGTGACATCACACTTAAGGATGTGCTGACTCAGCTTTTTCAGTTCTGATACTGATTTCAGTACCATAGCTTTAGTTTAGGATCAGCTGATACTCGATACCAGCCGATACCAGTACAGAGACTGAAGACGCATTTTATTTGTATTTGAGAGCTCCTGATCATGTAAATAAATATCCTGAAAAAGATTGAGCTCAGAATTGACCTCTGACCCTTACTGTCAGTTCCCCAAAAATAAGGAGTCGTGCAAAGACCAAGAATCTGTAGAAATACAAGTTCAGACATTATGAGACCAGTATTGATCCATTTGTGTTCAATCAGGATATCAACCTCACCGATATTTGGATCCCGATGTCTGATCCGACATCTATCAGTCACTTCTTTATACAGTCTTCATTTTAGGGGCTGAAGTCGGGACCCTGACGACACAGATTATCAGATTATATTCTTTGAAAACTGACACACTTTCTTTACGTATCAGACAAACTGCACGAACACTGAACAACAAAAGAATCAGTCGTCCACTGTTCTTTGAAAACTCGGCACTGTCTGTCAACTTTTTGTACTTTAACACTCACCAGTTTGCTGTCCTTAACAGTACAATAGTACTCTGGAGTACAGTACTCTGCAGTACAGTACTCTGCAGTACAGTACTCTGCAGTACAGTACTCTGTAGTACAGTACTCTGCAGTACAGTACTCTGCAGTACAGTACTCTGTAGTACAGTACTCTGTAGTAAAGATTTCTCTACTGTTTGATCTCGAGGTTATATTTGGGAAAAGGGTTTATGAGTCTATGACTCTATGAGTTACAGTGCCCCCTACTGTTTACCTCCAGAGTGTTTTGTTGGTTTTTCTCCTCTGGTCCTGTGCGCTGATGCAGTTTTGTTGTGTCTGACAGGAGGAGCTGCGTAAATCTTTGGATAACGTCACAGGTTTGGAGAACACTGAGTTCTGGAGTGTGGAAAAGGAGCCAGAGACAGAAGAGGGCGCTCTCATGTCAGACATGCACATGGACATCTGGACTGTAAATATTTTGCATAATTTTATCTGTAGGGTTCTGCCAGATGATAACAAACTGAAATTGCTTAATTTCCATGACAACAAAGTACAGCTGACAGCTTGAAAACTTTGAATATCCATACATACAGAATGACGATAAAATAGGATTGTTGCCATAGCAATTGACAATTTGAAACTACAGTAAATATTATATATATTTCGTATGGTGAATAGTTCTCAAAATTTAGTCTACAAGAACCATGAATTTAAAAAAAATGTATGCATACATTTTTCAAACAATGTGCCCCTATTATAAGTATTATTGTCTTTGACTGCACTATGTAACTGCTGCTTGTTTGTCTCCATGGAAATGAATGTTCCACAGTATAACATTAAACTTCTCCTTCATTTATTCAGTCACAGATCTTTTTTAATTCTGGGCAATAAAGTAACATCATGGAGACAAGCAGGTGGCAGACCCTCCAACCGAAAAGCAAAGAAACAAAATATAAGAATTCAAACGTTCAGTGTATCTACTAGTGTGTGTATCACTAAGTGCAGTTCCCTGTTTCTGCCACATGGTGTCAGCACAACTCTTTGTTATTTGAATGTTCAGTTTGTGAAAGGCTTCGTGACCCAGTCCAGAACCATCGAGCCAGAGCTGGAGCAGAGAGTGACCTGCCGCTGTCTCACTGAGCTCACACACTTCCCCAAAAGGTACACACACAACACACACTTTAAAGCGCCCATATTACACTATTATTATTATTATTATTATTATCATTATCAATATTATTATTATTATCATTATTATTATTATGATGTCGTTTCCTCGTCACAAACAGACCTGGAGTTGTGTGTTTCGTTTCATTCACATGTTTAACACACAAACTCTGCAGATTTAGGCTGAGTTCTTCTCTCAGACATAAAACACTTTGTTTCATGTTGTGATGTCATGTGGTAATACAGGAAGTGCTCCACTGTGTTTTTAAACTTCATACACCTACACCTAATTATTTAGATGATTTCAGACTTGAAATTGCCAAGCTCTACTGATCTAAAGTTACGCATTTATTATTATTATTATTTTGCATCAGCATTAAGAGTGTGCAAAAATGTTGAAATGTCGATATATCATATCGTATTTAATTTAATGATACAGTATCGATATTGTAGTTGCTGTATTGCTATATCGTCAAAAGAGTATTTTTAGGTATATTTTACAAAATTATTTTCTGTAAGAGCTACAATTGTGTTGACATTTTCACTGTTTTGAGTAAAATTAGTGTTTTTCATTTTAATTTTGCACAGACTTGGTGGACTTAGTATCACAGCCATGATTTAGCCTCTGTCTTTCTCTGAACTGTATTGAATTGATTTGAAATATATAATACTGAATCAAAAGTACTGTATCGAAAAAGGTGTCGTATCGAAGTATGTATCATATCGAAGTGTGTATTCTTAATGATACCCAGCTTTAATCAGCATTCTAACAAGGCTTAAAGTTCAAAAGAGTCCATTTTGCGTAAGATAGCACCTCTAATGACCTGTGATAACAACACAAAACTACTTTAATAGAGACAATTTCATCTAAAAGTCCAAATGAATCCTCATTGTTGCCATAGTGACAGCACGACATATGTATAAATGTGTGTGTGAATGTGTGAGTGGTTCTTTGACGTGAAGTGACTTGAAGGTGGGAGATGAATAATGTTCTCAAATTAAAAAAAAAAAAAAAAAAAAAAAAAGTTGTTAAAAAAATGTAAGTAAAAGTTGTAGTTACCCACTTTAAAGTGACAAAAGCTTTGAAATGATTTGAACTTCAGTGTTTCTCGCTCCTCTCCTTCAGATCTGATGTTACACCCAGACTCTTACTTTATTAGTGGTTTTCCAAAATACTTTTTACTCTCGCTTGACTAATTTGCTCAACCACTGCTTTGTACTTGTACTTGAGTAATATTTTTTGAAGCAATTGTACTTTTCTTGAGAACAATTTTGGCAACTTTATTTCTGCTAACTTTCTCTTTTTCCTTAAACTATAAACATGACTTTTTTCTTTCATTAACCTTCTTGTTTTGTGTTGTGTATTTCCTGGTCCCAGGTTTGAGTTGGACTTCAGACGTCACTGTGATGCCCTCAAACCGAAGCCCATCTGGTCCCAATACAACATCACATACATCAACTCCTTCAGCTCTTTACTGTAAGTCACGTGACTTTCTCTCACTACCCACAATGCATTAGGGTAGTCTGAGTCACAGAACCTCCCCTCAGCACCCACAATGCACCAGGACAGCTGTTTACCACACGGCTGAGGTCTGTTTCACTTCAGCTGTGCGTGTCTGTGCTAATACAAGAGATTTAAAAGAGCAGAGGGTGTGTGCGTTTTTCATCTAACTGACTCTTTTGAGTGACGGGACACAAGTATTCACACTTGAGAGACATTAGGGATCCTGCTGAACTAACACAAGAATCCCATGCATTTCATTCCAGGACATGTTTGTAAAAGTCTAAACCAGGGGTTGCCAGCCTCTTTCTTCTGGTGAGCTTTACGAAAAGAAAATGCCAAAGAGCTGCTCATTTTAGCGATAACAAGAAACTGAGCGCAGGAAAACCATAGATGGGGAACAATCAGACGCTTATGGGTCCGGTCAAGTGGTAAAGGAGGGAAACAGGGGCAGATTTTTGACATTCAAATGTCTCTTATTCAGAAACTAGAGGGACTATTGAAATAAGTAAAGTATCAGAATGTAGGAAAGAGTTACACTCCAACAGGGTCAAGTTAAACCTGTGATATTCTTTCAAGTTGTTGACAAAAAAATTTTAAAACTCATGTCGGTAACGGAGGGAATGAAATATGCAGAACTTTTTGGACAATAAATCCAAACAGTGATAACTCTTGGTTCTCACTTCCATATCCTTAACAAACTGGTTTGAATATTTGCTTCATATAGTTTTCTACCATATGGTGCAAGATTAGGTTGAAAAACCTCTTACTTTTTGACTCATGAGATTTTTTATTAAGAAAGTTCATGGTAACGGAGGGAAAAGTAACAGAGGGAAAATTGTGCAGGATTTTACATCATTTGTCGCTTTTTTCTTCTGAACACTTTAATATTACTTCAAAATGAAAGAAACTATTTCTATATCTTATCATTTTAAATACTTTTTTTTTTTTGAAAAATCCTGTACCTTCATCAACAGTTCAAAGATGGAATAACACAAGATATGATGAAATACATCCATTTATTTACATGATTTGCAGGTCTTTGGGAAATAATTTTTGTTCCATGTTTCATACATGGTCTGTTTAAAACGTATGGAACTTTAGAACTAAAAATGGTACAGAAAAAAGGTCAACAGTTTCATAAACTAGAGTACATATGTATCTGTTCAATATATTTTTATATCAGATGAATTAACTTGAATTTTTGGCCTTGTTGTTTACTTCTGCTTGACCGGGCCCTTATATAACACAAACCTTTATCCATTTATGAGTGCACAAATTTAGGCATCAAAATGATACATTTGCAACAGTAGTTCATCAGATTTGAGTTATTCAGCACAATATGTGTAATTCCGAAAACCTTTGGCGAGCTGCATGGAAGAGGGTGGAGAGCTACAGGTCTCACCCGAGCTACAGGTTGGACACTCCTGAGCTAAACTATCCCATCCATCCATTTTCTTCTGCTTTATCTGGGGCTGGGTTCCGGGGGCAGCAGTCTAAACAGAGACTCCCAGACTTCCCTCACCCTGGACACTTCCTCCAGCTCCTCCAGGAGGACCCGAGGTGTTCCCAGGCCAGCCCAGAGAGACAAAGTCCCTCCAGTGTGTCCTGGGTCTTCCCCGGGTCCTCCTCCCGAGGGAGATGCCCAGGAGGCATCAGAACAAATGCCCTCCCCTCAGCTGCCTCTTCATGTGGAGGAGCAGCGGCTCTACTCCAAGCTCCTCCCGTGTGACTGAACTCCTCACCCTATATCTAAGAGAGCACCCAGCCACCCTGCGGAGGAAACTCATTTTGACCACTTGTATCTGCAGTCTTGTCCTTTCGTTATTACAAGTTAGGCAACATAGTGCACCACACCTTTAATCCTGCGCTTTTAAGATGAATTGTTCCTTAATAAAAGAATGGATTTTATAGTTGAACAGTTGACTCATGTGAGGAGTCCCTCCAGTTTCAAACTGGCACATACATACACACTGTTGCATTACAAAGAAAAACATATTCTTCCCACGCTCATAAAAGGAGCAGGACAAAGCAGTTTTAAGTGTTTGTGACACCTCCAGAGTGTCACCTTTCATTTGTCACATTACACACGTGTAGTATTACATGTGTGTAGTATTACACATGTGTGTAGTATTACACATGTGTAATATTACACATGTGTAATTCTACACGTGTGTAGTATTACACATGTGTGTGGGGGGTGCACTGGTCACGTGTTGTAGGGGAAATGGGGCACTGACAGAGAAGCGCTTGAAATCGAAAGTACACAAGTGTCTATTAAAATAGTGCAGCTGCCCTCACTAAATATAGAAGCTGTGGGCTGGAGGTCTGTGTGAACAGGACCAGAGACAAGAGTGCAGCACACTTTACACACACTTTACACACACTTTAAACACGCTTTAAACATGCTTTAAACACACTCTGCTCCTGCACTCTGCCTGACGCTTTTACTGTGCACAAGCACTGAGCTCGAGGGAAAAGAAAGAAGATATTTGATGCTTTTTTAGATAGTGCTGAAATATGAGTAGATCACTATTTAGTCCATTGTAAACAAAATGCATTTTTGAAGATTCTGTGTGTTCTGTTTTTTCTGTACGTGCTGCAAAAAGGGCTCATTAAAAATAAAAACAGGACAAGATGCACATTCATATAAGAACATAAGACTGTAGAGCTCTGTCACCACTGGAACAAACTTCTGTTGTAAACGTCCAAATAGAATGTATTTTTCTGACACAATATGTCACTTTTTTATCCAAAGAATAGCAGCCATTTTCATTTTGCAAAATTTATTTATTTATTTTTGTACTGTCTGGAGGAGGGTCACATTTTAATGCATTTCTGTTGCGTTAATACTGTCAGAATATAACGATCAGGATACTGGGGTCAGTGTCGCTCTGCCCTGACAGTCATAATGCAGTGTGATTGTGTTTCACAGGGAGCACATGGAGGGCTACAGACAGACCTGTCCCTCTGAGGTGGAGACTTTGGCCAAAGAAATAAAGGGGTTTAACAGAAGACTCCTCGAGGACCTGCAGGACCAGTTCAAGGACAGTGTGAAGGTAAAGACTGCATTTATATTACACATGAATCAAGACTTACATCCAGTCTCTTCTAAAGCGTCATTCACACACACATCTTAGTAAACAGCTGGATACAAAAAACTGCTTGATACAAAATGCCACAACACTGGGCCTCATTCATGAATCTTTTCTTTAAAAATGTTCAGAATTTCCGCTTTAAAAAGAACGCTGCACCAGACTGTTTGTGTTGAGTCCAGCGCAGTGACAGTGGCCCATATGGAGACGCTGGGGCTCGGACAAAAGACACAGACTCTAGAAAACACATCATGAATGTTACTGGATCAGTCATATGTTTATAGGAAATAATATAACAAAATATATCACTTACAATCATGCAGGAATTGGAATTTTTTGTTGCATTATCAGAGTAATAATATTCTAAAACAGTAGAATTTTTGTTCTTACGAGTGCTCCTGACTGTTTGGAGGATTTGTTCTTCCAGAAGAACATTTTCAGTTAAGAAAAAGTTTAGTGAATGCTAGAAATGTTTGTTAAAAGGCCTTAAGTACAACACTTCATGAATGAAGCTGACTGAACAGTGACCTCCATCCACACGCTCCAGTCCCATAACACTGTCCAGTCTGTCCACACTGAGAGCTGCTGCATCATTTACACTGAATGAGACCAGAGAGAAGTCCCTAAACACTCGGCAAATCATCCATGTCGGATTGTGGGAAGCATGAATATAGTGCATTACAGGAGTCCAGTCTATTTGTTACAAAAGCATGTATGATTGTTTCAAAGTTATTGCGTGTTAGGATTGGTCTTAATTTGTTTCTCAAACTTTAAAAGAGAGTCCATAAAAATACCAAGGTTCTTTGCTGAACTGTGCAAATCTGTGACAAGAGGTCCACGGTCAGATGTGAGGGTGTCAGTGCAAGGTCCAAATAGAATAATTTTGGTCTTATTTTAATTTAGCTGGAGAAAGTTAAAGGACATCTAAAGGACATTGTGTCCCCTCTCTCTGTAACTGCTGCTGTGAGCCTCGTCATTTTGGACCTTAAAATGTTCATATCACCCCAAGATCCTGTTTTAAAAAAAAATATTTTGTCCTACTCGACTCCAGCGTCAGCCCTGTAACTGCTCGCCTTGTGACCTTCATTTGACTGGAGCTGAACACTATGGCACTTCTTTATCAGTCTAGTCAAATATTTGTTCTAAGTCAAACTCCGATAAGGCTGTGTATCAGAGGGACTTGTTTAACAGCACAAATCAGCTCACCTGTTGTAATTCCAGCTAAATCTGTTATTTGTGGCCATATAGACACATCAAGAATCTCAGACTTCTGGTCACTGCGCAATTCATACTGGGAAGGATTCTCCGAAAAAGTGAGCATCAAACCTCCATGTTTGTTTTATCAGTGGGATGTGTCTATTGACAAAGTCGATCTTTTCAAGTCTTTTGAACCATATCACTTTTGTTTCTGGTTCTGATATTGTCATATTTTAGTTTTGGGATTCTGACATCATAATTGTGTGGTTGTTGGATCCTAACAGCGGAAAACGGCTCGAGAAATGTGTTTGCGAACTCCATACATGCAAAAGGGAATCAGATGTGTGTGACTCAAACCTCTGTTCAAACTGTTTCCCAGAGAAGATTTTGTATGTGGAGCGACATCAAAGCAGGATCCTGTTTGTTAACTGAGAGGTGCAGAAGACAAACAGACTGAGCTGCACTTTCTTGTTCTTGTGGTTTTACAGCAACATTAAGTTTTGGTCTCTTTGCAGTGGAAGGTGTTTCTTGGCAAACTTTGGCGTTGACTTTTTAAATTTATAACCATGAGTGAGGAATCAGGATTTTGCTTTGATGTCTCCACATACAAAATGTTCTCTGCAAACTCGGGATGATTTAGTCAGTCAAATGTTTCCTTTTTGGTTCTTCCTGTGGATCAGTCCTGCCCATCACCTTCACCTTTCACTATTTTTCAATTCCGTTGGGAAGAGAAACAGTTTGAACAGAGGTTTGAGTCACACACATCTGATTCCCTTTTGCATCTATGGAGTTCGCAAACACATTTCTCGAGCCGTTTTCCGCTGTTAGGATCCAACAACCACACAATTAATGATGTCCGAATCCCAAAACTAAAATATGACAATATCAGAACCAGAAACAAAAGTGATATGGTTCAAAAGACTTGAAAAGATCGACTTTGTCAATAGACACATCCCACTGGGAAAACAAACATGGAGGTTTGATGCTCACTTTTTCGGAGAATCCTTCCCCGTATGAATTGTGCAGTGACTGGAAGTCTGAAATTCTTGATGCGTCTATGGTGTTAAAACAAAGATCAGATTAAAGTCTAACTGAACTATTAAAGTAACAGAGCTTCAGACAGAGCAGTTCCCACAGTTAGCATGAGTATGAAGAAAGAAAAATACAGTGTTTGTCATATCGCCCAGGCTTTCAGGTACAAATACTGGACTTTTATATGGCGAAAGTTCACTTCTTCTTTGACACTCTGTGGTTTGTCAAAAAGGGAATCAGTGCATTGTAGTCTTCTGCTTTTACCCACAACTTCTTTCTATTTTTGCTCAAACATCACAAGATTCACGTTCCTGGATCGCACAGAGGGAAATTTACTTTTAAGTCATTTTAAACAAAAAGTGACCCAAACATGTGCCGCCATTAAAACAAAAGGTCAAATTTGAATCTATATTTTAAACTGAGCTAGAGACGGGTCAGAATCCTCAGGTGGAGTTTGCTGTGGTTTATGGTTCACATCTCAAATTTCTTGGCCTATCCACTTGAAACAAAAACTGGGACAAAGTTCAGCGTCTTCTCTGTCAGCATAAATAAACAAAAGTGAAATAATTTGTTCACAACAGCTTCACTATTCAACCCCGATAGCGCGATTGTTGTCAGTTGAAGGGACTTTAATGGAGCTGATCCCAAAACAAATAATGACAAAGTTCAGCTTTCATGGATCGGGAGTTTGGGGATTTCTTTCAAAAACAAAACAGTGAATCTACTAAATTGTTATTGAGGCCCGTGCCCGCCGTCTGAACTCATGACACCATTAAAAAGTCTATGTGGGATTCACTGTTTTTGGAAGAAATCCAAAATAAAATGGACCATTATTTGTTTGGGATCAGCCCCATAAACTTGTCATACTCATTTTATGGTTTAAATTCCTTTCACAAGACAACCATCAGGTCTTTGGGTTTGAATATTGTCACCACTTTCTGAAGCTATTGTGAAAAAAACAAACAAAAAACACTTATTTATCCTGACAGAGAAGACGTTGAACTTTGTGCCAGCTTTTGTTTCATGGTAAAATGGTAATGGTCATTTTTATAGAGCGCTTTTCTACCTTCAAGACACTCAAAGCACTTTAAATCAAAGAACCCACTCATCCATTCACACACACACTTTCATACACCAGTGCAGGCAAGGGAAGGGATGGCAAGTTTATTTATGAAGCACAATTTGTACACAAGTCATTCTAAGTGCTTTGCAAAATAAGAAATACATTAAAATCACAATACAAACAAATCAAAACATAAATAATCATCATAAAATAAAAAAAGTGAGAGAAATAAGAGAGAAGAGCGCAGAATGAAAACCTTTCAGTCACATGCACAGCTAAACAGAACTGTTTTGAGTCTGGATTTAAACATTGTTCAAGCAGAGGCCTGATTCAGACTGTTCAGGTTTTGTACACAGCGCACACACACACTGGGGTAAGTGTCTGACACACACACACACAGCAAACTCCACCTGACGATTCTCACCTGTCTGCAGCTCAGTGTGAACTATACGCAGGAGTCTCCAACCTATTTCCTCCAGTGACCTACTTTTACAAAACGAAAATGCCAGTGAGCTACTAGTTTTAGTGGTCACAAGAAATTAAGTAAATGTTAGAGCCAAGGCGAGCTTTAGGTAGTGAACAGTCAGATGTTTATTAAACATAAACCATTATCCAGTTACTAATATACAAAGTCAGACATCAAAATGATACATTTACAATGATAATAGGCATTTCATTTAACTGGTCAAATTGTACTTACTGTATTTTTCAGACTATAAGTTGGCCCAGAGTATAAGTCGCACCAGCCAAAAAATGTGTAATGAAGAAGAAAAAACATATATAAGTCACACCGGACTATGAGTCGCACTTTTTGGGGGAAATTTATTTTATAAAATCAGAGAACAGGAACCGACATTTTATCTTGAAAGGTAAGTTCTAGTAATAACAACAGAACAGAGAACAACAGACTGAACAGGCATTAATGTTAATGTCACATATGAACAGTTCTTCAGATAACTTTAGCATAAACAACAGAACATAAGTTTACCAAACTCTCCATCTCACTCCAAATCACTAAATCCATTGAATCCACTGAATTCTTCATTCTCTGTATCACTTCTGAGCAACTCTGCTCAACTTTGGTTGTCACTGAAGCCCAGGCTTTGTCATCCATTCCCTCTTTCTGTCAGTCCCTCACAAGTTTCTCATTCACTCCAAACTTTCTTTCGTCTGCTCACTTACTGTTTTCTGCTGCAGATTTCACTACTTTCAGCAGTACAGAGGCTTTTTCTGCAAGAGACATGAGCAGAAAGCTGATACAAAAGTCCAGAGCCTCTCGAGGCTGTCAGAGTGAACATTTTAATATATAAGTCGCACCGGAGTATAAGTCACAGGAAACACCCAAACTATGAAAAAAGTGCGACTTATAGTCCAAAAAATACGTTATTCAGGACAGTACGTATAATTCAGAAGTCCTTTGGTGAGCTACTTGGAAGAGGGTGAAGAGCTCCCCGAGCTACAGGTTCAACACCCCTGAACTATAGGGACTCTTCTATGTTGTGATTAGTTCAATCTTTTATTAATTCTTGGTTATCGATTTCTCAGCACTGTCACTGTCACTTTAACTCTGCTGCAGATTCCCTTGAGGAGGATGATGAGCAGAAAATGGCTGACGAATGATGAAGACTTTAAGGATCTGTCCAAGAGAACAGAGGAGCTGTCCCAGCACTGCTCCGTCCTGCGGGAGCCACATGATCAGGTAATACCAGCACACACTGCAGGGGGCGCTACACTCAGGCTTTTGGACTTTATGTTATTATTATTATTATTATGTTTATTTATTTATTATGTTTATTTAATTCGGACAGTAATACATAGAACATAAATAAAAAACAAAAAACTAAATAATAAAAAAAAACCAAAAAACGTAAATACATAGATACAACACAAAAAGTAACTATTTCTATTCTATAATAACAGGCAAAATAAATGTTACGCTGGATTTTCCTTGTGTCCGAAAAAGGAGTGGGAGGAAGTAAATACTTATTTAACCCCACCCCTTTTTTCTACCGTCCCAAATTAACGAAGAACAAATACAGACGTCTCTCATTTCCTGTACATTATAAGGCAACAAATTGCACAGTACCTCCATTGCATTACAAATCTAACAGAAAACTAACAAATATATGTATATTATGTAGACAGATATAGTACACATCATATACACAGATATAATATATACATACCTACATACACATCACATACCCATGCATACCTATATATATGTACATATATATATATATATATATATATATATATATATATATATATATATATATATATATATATATATATATATATATATATATATATATATATATATACATACATATATACATACACCCGTATACATACACATACATATACATGCACACATATACACTAAGCACTCATTTCTTCCACACAGTATTTTGAAATACTGTGTCTAATTGGCATGAATAAACAGTGGATTAGTGTGGTCATGAAATTTGACATTATAAACAATTCTTATTGCTTTTTTTTGAAGTTTTATCAATGGTTCTATTGCAGTTTTATAGTTATTGCCCCAAATTTCTGCACAGTCTGTTAAATATGGTAAAACCAGTGAACAGTAAAGTGTGTGTAGTGCTCTGTGATCTAAGACATACTTTGCTTTGTTTAATACTGCAATACTTTTTGATATTTTATTATGTATATATTGGATGTGGGCTTTCCAGTTAATCTTCTCATCAATTATGACCCCTAAAAATGTATTCTCCTTGACCTGCTCTATTCTTACACCATGTATCTGTAACTGTATTTTTTCTTCCTTATAATTCCCAAATAGCATTATTTTAGTTTTATTCAAATTTAGAGATAATTTATTTGTGTCAAACCATATTTTTAGCTGTATCATTTCAGATGTTATATCAGCTAATAACTGTTGTATGTTGTCTCCATAACAAAATAAATTTGTGTCATCTGCAAATAACACTGCTTTAAACAATGTCGACACTTTGCATAGATCGTTAATATATAAAATAAATAATTTAGGTCCTAACACGGACCCTTGTGGCAGGCCACAGACAATGTCCTCATGTGAAGAGCAGTGTTCACCCAGTTTGACAAATTGTTTTCGGTTTACTAAATAACTTTTTAGCCACTTTAAAGCTGCCCCTCTTATTCCATACCTTTCCATTTTTTTAAATAGTAATTGATGATTTATTGTGTCAAAAGCCTTTTTTAAATCTATGAATATACCCGCTATTATTCTCCTTTGATCAATGTGATTGGTTATTGCTTCATTTGAGTCCATCAGAGCGAGTGATGTTGATCTGCTTGTTCTGAAACCGTACTGACTATCACTGAGGAGGTTGTGTTGACCTATGAATTGTTCCAGTCTAGTGTTGTAGAGCTGTTCTAATATTTTTGAGAATTGTTGTAGTAGAGAAACTGGTCTGTAGTTGGTAAATTCCTGCTTGTTTCCAGATTTAAATAAAGGTATGACTTTTGCTATCTTCATCTGTAGTGGAACTGTACCAGTTTGAAATGATAGATTGAAGATGTGTGCTAATGGTTTGGCAATTACTGTAATTATTTGTTTTATCCGGGCCATGTCCAAATCATTGTAATCAGTTGATTTCTTATTTTTACATTTCATGACTGTATTGACAATTTCCGTTTCACCCACAGGGGAAATAAACATGGAATGGGGATTTCTGTCAGTTAGTTGTTGGCGTTCTCCTGTGTGTGTTGAGGGATTTTGGCTGCCAAATCTGGACCCACATTAGCAAAGAACTGATTGAACTTATTTGCCACCATTTCCATGTTATATTCATCTGTATTATTATGTGTAAAGAATTTTGGATAGTTTTCTGCTTTTGGTTTATTATTTATGACACTGTTCATTATTTTCCATACCTTTTTCACATTGTTTTTATTATAATCTAATAATTTCCTAAAGTAATCTCTCTTACTTGTACGCAAAATTGTAGTTAATTTGTTTTTATATGTTTTATATCTAGTCTCTGTCTCAATCGTTCTCTTTTTTATAACATTTCTGAATAGACTATTTTTCTTATTGCAAGCATTTTGAAGACCTTTTTTTATCCAAGGGTGTTCTTTATATCTACTTTTTTTATTATAGTATACAATCGGACAGTTTCTATTATATAACTCTAGAAATATTTTTATAAATTCATTGTATGCACATTCTGCATCCCAGTCTTGAGAAAGTAAACTATTTTTAAAGGCAGTGATCGTTTGGTCTGATTGAATTCGTCTGTGGTATTGTATTTTTTCAGGCACTTTTTTTCTCAATCTAAAATCAGTAACTATGAAAACTGGCAGATGATCTGTGATATCATTTATTAACAACCTGCTTAATGTATGTTTGTCAGTGTCATTAGTGATAATATTATCTATTAGCGTGGCAGAATGTGCTGTTATCCTTGAAGGCTTTGTTATTTTTGGATATTTTTGGATTTAAACTGAACATAGTGTCAATACATTCCTCTGTAATTTTATGTTTGTATGAATTTAGCAAGTCAATATTAAAATCACCACAAACAAATATCCTCTTATGCAATATTTGGGAGTATGCTTCTTCTAACCAGTTTGTGAACATTTCAATATTAGACCCAGGTGCTCTGTACACACAGCTAACAATTACATTTTTACGATTTTCCATTCTTATTTCAACTGTAATACTTTCAAGTACATTTTCAATAGCTGTTGTCATTTGATCTATTATTTTGTAGTTCAAGCTGTTGTCTACATACAAAGCCACTCCTCCACCCCCTTTGTTTTGTCTATTTAAATAGTTTAGTTCATAACCATCGATTACGAACTGTGTGCCTTTATTTTCTGTAAGCCAAGTTTCAGATGCAGCAATGACGCTAAATGACTGAGACAATTGTTGCAAATACTCCTTTATAGTGGTGAAGTTTGTGTAAATGCTTCTACTGTTAAAGTGGATTATTGAGAGTTTGTCCTCAGTATCAATGCCACTGTTGAACTGTTCATCAGTATAATAACCACAGTTATTTAATATGGAGGAGAAGAAATTGTTGTCCGGGTCAATGTGATATTCCAAGTCCTGCATATTATAGTCAGAGTATTGTGATGTATGTAGTTCCTTATTGTCATGGTTCAGTACCATTTGCATCAGGCTATTATTTTTCTCTGGTGTTAACATGCAAGCCATAGTATGTTTGTTACCTTATTGGTCCAGCAGGCTTCCTCGTACTTTGCCAGATCCTCCATATTCCGAATGACCAGTACCCTGGCCTCCTCTGGGGTCCCATTCAACTTGATGAACACTTTGCAATTTGTTGTCCACGTATTCTGAATCTTCTTTACTTTGTGTAAGTATGGAGCTTTCCTGGCGATGTCTGCGTTGTGTTTGGTGAGGTGTTCGTTTAGGTGCACGTTTGATCCTCTCAGTTTGTATCCTTGTCTGAGCAGCGCCATTTTATCTTTCCTGCTAACAAACCTCATTATGACTGCGGGTTTGTCAGCGGCGTTCCTCGTGGGTAGTGGGTGACACGCTTCGATGCTTTCGGGGTTCATCTCAATTCCTTTCGCCTGCAAGAAAGCGGCGACTTGTTGCTCCGTAGAGCTCATATCCAGCTCCCCGGGCTCATCCCCGTTGTTCGCGGTCACCGCCCGAGCGTATGACCGGGGTTTGATACGGAGCCCGGAGACAATAACGTCGTTCATCCTCGTGTATTGTTCTAAATCAGTCACCCTCCTTTCAAGAGATGCGATGCGCTTGTCCTTCTCTTCTACAAGCAAGCGTAGCGCCTTCACTTCCTTGACGAGCTCCAAGATTTCTTTTTGATTCACGTTGATAGATGACACTTTGTCAGTGAGATTGTCGAGTGATTTTTTAATGTCCTCAACCTCCTCGATCGTTAGTGCCCTCTTTGGTCCCATTTTCGGCCTCTTTTCTCGTAACAGCTGCTTCCAGATCTACCGTGCGCACAATCAGCTGTTCAGGCCAGGGCGTTGGCTCGTGCGCCAGGTGATCGGCAGCTGTCACAGCAAACTTTTCCGATCAATTAGCACAGTTCAATCAATAGACCAACCAGGGCTTGTATCGTTATGTAACGGTCTAGTGCAGTAGTTACAGACCAAATTAGATTGAGAAATCTAGAAAAGAATTTAATCCAGAGTGTATAAATGCACAAAGGTGACTTAAAAGGGGCTATACCTGATTTTTGTCCATGTATTTGAGCAAATTTTGTCTCACCTCCGTACAGTTATTGTATAAACAGTTTGAAGCAGGAAGTAATGGTTGAATGTGATTAGCATGCTAGTTGTTGCATTGTAGCATTAAAGTGATGGCTCTGGCATCTAAAAACGGCACAACTTTTAGAGACCAAACCAGGAAAAAAAAAAAAAAAAGTAATGACAACCAGTATGCTAACAATGCAATTCCTGATTCTTGGACGATACAAACTTACAAACTCTTTATAATTAGATGCAGACAGGACTCAGCAGTCTTTGGAGATATGCTGGCATAAATTAGTTTCAATAATAAAATAAAATAAACGTAACTAAAAAAAAAAAAAAAGGGATCCCCCTCGAAAACGAGGTGACTCACCTCAAGGGGCTTTTCCTTAATAAAATAAATAAAAATAGGCAAGGCAGGTTTATTTGCAAAGCACAGTTTGTACACAAAAATAAGAAATATATTCAAATCACAATACAAACTAATCAAAACATAAATAATCATCATAACATTAAAAGAGAGAGAGAGACTCTAAATGAGAGGGATGAGTGCAGAATGAAAACATTTCAGTCATAAGCACAGCTAAAGAGAACCATTTTGAGTCTGGATTTAAACATTGTTAAAGTAGAGGTCTGTCTCACATCTTTATCTTCATCTGTATATTCTGATGTTTTCTGCAGCAATATTTGGCACTTCAAAATGTGTGTTGTGACAGATCTAGTTTTGCTGTTTTCAGATGATGTCACTGTAATTTATAGGGCAATATTATTTAATAACAATGGGAGACAGCTCAAATTAATATTGTTAAAATGCAAAATTATGTTGTAATACAGTGAGTTCTTGGATTTAATCAATAAATAAAAAATACCAGATTCAACATTTGTGAATTTACTTTTTGGATATTTCATGGTAAAGTACAGTGTAATCAATAGGGAAAACTGCCCCTTGCCCCCATCTGAGAGTATCACATCATCATCACGTTCTAGCAGGCTCGGACTCGTAATCCAGACTACCAAAATGCCTGGTGGGCTGGTCCACCTCAGACCACATTTGGGCTGGTATGTCCCAAATTGAGCTCCATTTTTTGGTCCCAGTCCATCCCTCCGTTCTAAAATCTGAAAACCACCAAACAGGTTGTCAGAAGTATCGAAAATCAGATACTAACCATTGTTAAAACTGGTATCGGAACAAGATACTCATTTGAGCAGGTGTCAAGACTAAAATTCCCATTCAGAGGACAGAAATGAACCTTTCCTGAATGTCTTTAGAATGATGTTGATCTGGATCAGACCAAATATAAAGCACATAGACTCTGAGGGATTACAGAAACGGAACAGAAAAGAAATGACTATGATTTAATGTTGAAAATCACATCCATTGTCTAAAGAAAGGGTGTTTTTTGTGATAATCATCAGTCAGTATGTGGCAGCGGTCAAAAGTGGGAGTCATTTTTCACCTAATCTAATCTACATTTTATCACATTGGTTCGAGCCCAGAATTCCCAGCGGTGTATGCTCAGCTCTGTGAATTATTTTCAGGATGAATGATATGATGAATGATCTAAAGGCAGAGATGAGGAAACCCATGTTTAGTTAGTGACTGTTTTGGAACTTCCAGCAGGGCCGTTTTAGAATCTATTGTTCAAAACCGGACAGAGTTCATCAGACTTGGAAGTGAAGGAGGTTGGGAGGTGTGCTGAGCTTCCTGGAAAACCTGGAATACTGGCATACGGCTTTAATGACGGGAAAGTACTGGAAAATTAGTCTCGCCGTCCATATCTCATTATCTCATTTTCCATTGAATCGTCATAGTCACAGCAACAGTGGACAGATCCAGTAGAGCAGAGACTACGATACATTCAAATAAACATAGAATCCAATCCATTTTATTTCTATAGCACATTTCACAAAGAGTTTCCAAAGCGCTCCACAAATACATAATAACAACAAAAATAAAATGATTAAATAAACGCTCAGATTTAATCATGTTAGTCTTAAAATAATAAAACCAGTAAAATAAAATAAGAGCAAAATCCTGGAATAGGAATAAATAAATAAAGCCAATAAAATACATAAAAAATAAATAAAAGACACAGAGGAGCACACAACTCACGCGGTGCTTAAAGCCAGAGAGTAAAAGTGGGTCTTAAAATGAGATTTAAAACTCTCCACTGCGGGGGCTGTTCAAACGTGAAGGGGCAGAGTGTTCCAGAGTTTAGGGCCGACCACAGAGAAGGTCCTGTCCCTCTGCTTTTAAGTCTCACAACAACGCTCCTGGATTTTTTTCTTTGCGGGCTGAAAAAAAATTCAGATCAATAAATATTCACACGATAACGGAGCACTGAGTGAAAATGATGTAATACATGTGCCACACCTGTATGTGGCGCTGTTAACAATGATAATAATATTTAATAATGCAGATCTCGTCACCGTTTTTAAACTTTAAGGTAATTTAGCCGATTTTAGAAGTATCCCAGAAATATAGCTGTTTTGATTTGCAGAAGTTAAACATAAGTCACAGAAAGAACACTGAGTCGTGTCCTTTAGTCTGACAGAAGCTGAACCACATCAGCGCACAATAGTGAGCTGTTTTTTTGAGTCCTCAGTTTATGCAAATTAGCCATGCAGTTTTAGGTTTAATTTCTGTAAAACGTAAACAAATATGTTCAAAGTTGTGTGGATAAGGAAGGATTGTGGACACAGAAACGACGTGTCTGGACGCAGATCGTTTCCGATACGGTGACACGGTGACACATGGATTTGTTTCAGTGTAACCGGGGTCTCAGACATGTGAATGAAACAAAACACAACTCCAGGTCTGTTTTTGATGAAGTAACAACATAATAACGTGACTTAAAGCACAAGAGTCAGTTTTGTGTAATATAAGACCTTTAAAAAAACAACAACTACACTAACTACACTCACCATAATTGTCAAGGTCCAAGACTCAAGAGCACAATTACATCTTGCCAGGCTGGTTGCAGGTCCATACTTTCAATCAAGTCGTGTTGAACTCATTTCCTCACTTTGAAGTTGCTATAAAAATTGTTGCCAAAACAATCACTGATTATCTTTCACAAGAAACCCACATTTTACCCTTTAGAAACCCATGTGTCCTGAGGTGTCTGACTCATTGTCATTTCAAAACTTCCTGCTGTTTTTGTAATAATTTTAATGTCAAAGGTGGAGCATTATGTAAACTCAAAATGTTAAAGGTGCTGTACTGATTTTTCCTGTCCCAGAAAAGTGAAAAACACAACGAGTTCATTGTAAACAGTTTGCAGTGCTCTAAAGTTCCTCCTCACTTACCTTATACATTCAGAGCATCTGCATTATTCACCATGGTGAGTATATAAGTGTTTTTCACTATTTCCAGAGCCATCACAATAAAGCTAACAACAACTAGCATGCTAACCATGTACTTCCTGATTATCACACAGTAAAATGCTTCATATGCTTATTATGAGCTCAAGAGCTGCTTACACTGTGTATCTGTACTGGAGCAAGACACATTTTGCTCAAATAAATGGAAAAAAAAATCAAGTTTAAGACACAGAGCGGAACTGTCTTCATAATGTCCTCTAGTGTTGTAGTTAAGAGCAATAATAATAATCGAGATCAAGACCAGTCTGAGACCACAGGGTCCCAAGACCAGGACAAGACCAAGACCTCTGAGGGTCCAGACGAGACAAGACGGAGACCACAGCCCATCGAGACCAAATCAAGACCATCTTTGTCATTTCCTACATTTATTTGTATTTTACAGTTATTTTGGCCCATATACAGACATGGAATTTGTTGGTACCCCTCTGGCAATGAAAGAAAAATCTGCAAAAAACAATATAATGAAACTGGCCTGGACAAAAATGATTGTGCCCTTAACTTAATATTTTGTTACACAACCTTTTGAGGCAAACTCTGCAAACAAACAATTTCTGTAACTGTCAGTGAGACTTCTGCACTGTTCAACTGGTATTTTGACCCATTTCTCGTGAGCAAACGGCTCTAGTTGTCTCAGGTTTGAAGGTTCCTTCTCCAGACGCATGTTTCAGCTCCTTTCACAGATGTTCAGTAGGACTGAGATCTGGGCTCACAGAAGAACACTCCAGAACAGTCCAGTGTTTTGTACTTAGCCGTTCTTTTGTGTTTTTAGCTGTGTGTTTTGGGTCATTGTCCTGTTGGAAGACCCATGACCTAAGACTGAGACCAAGCTTTCTGACACTAGGCACATTTCATTCCAAAATACTTCGATAGTTTGGAGATTCCGTTGTATTTTGCAAAGATTCAAGATGCCCTGTGGCAGATGCAGCAAAACAGGCACAGAACAAAACCAAACCTCCTCCGTGTTTCACAGTAGGACAGTGTTCTTTTCTTGGTCTGCTTCATTTTTGCGTCTGTGAACATAGAGCTGATGTGTCTTGCCAAAGAGCTCTAGTTTTGTCTCATCTGTACAAAGAACATTCTAGCAGAAGCTTTGTGGCTTGTCAATATACATTGTGACAAATTCTAGTCTCACTTTTGTATGATTTTCTCTCAGCAGTGGTGTCCTCATATGAAGTCCACTTTTCTCAAACGCTGATGGATGGTGTGATCTGACACTCATGTACTTTGACCTTCAAGTTCACATTTAATTTGTTTGGAGGTTGTTCTGGGCTCTTTGGTTCCATTCGCATGACCCATATCTTCAATTTGTCATAACTTTTCCTCTTGCAGCCGCGTCCAGGGAGGTTGGCTTCAGTCCTGTGGACCTTAAACTTCTGAAGAACATGTGTAACTGTAATCACAGGAACATCAAGCTGCTTGGAGATGATCTTATTGTCTTTATCTTTAACCTGTTTGTCTATCATTTTCTTTCTAGTCTCCTGACACAGTTCTCTTCTTCTCTTTCTCTGGTCCATGTTCAGTGTTGTGTCCATCACGTCTCCAAACACAATGACACATGTCCCACTTTAAACAGACAGACTGACTGAGGACAAGTTTGAAGAACCTGTGATGCAGATTAGAGACACACCCAAATTTAACATATCCCTGTTGTTCAAGTATTTACAATCTTTTCTAGGGGAACCATTATTTTTGTCCAGGCCAGTTTTATTAGTTTTTTTTTTTTTTATATATATATATATATAAACTGCTCAACAACAATTCAAAAACAGTGTCTGATCTTTATTGGTTATTTTTCAGTACATTTTTATTTATTATTGCTTTTCTTTGTTTCAAGTTATTTCAGTCACCATTGTTGATTTTTCTTTCATTACCAGAGGGCACCAACAATTTTGTCCACATCTGTATATCAATGTTTTGATAAATCTATCTCCATTTGATCTGATTAATGTTCATTTAATCTTAAAATAAGCAGAGGCAAACTGTACTGCACTTAAACACTCTGTACCCCCTTTTTGGACCCTCACCCACAGTTTGAGAACCTCTTCTTTAATCCCACTTCCACTGACACTTTACACAAAACAACTTCAAAGTTTTTTCAAGTTCATAACATTTACAGTTACATTCTCTTACGGGATTTGCAGTGATGTTTAGCCTCTGCACATTTACAGACCGTAATGAAATATGATCATAGAGTGTCAGACCTTACAAGACCGAGACCAAGCACCACCAAGACCGAAACAAGACCATAAAAAGCTGTCTAGAGGCCGCTCTCTAGACCAAGACCGGACTAACTAACTAAGACTAAAATCGGAATCAGTATTGAGTATCGAGTCTACTCCTTAGTATTGCAATCAAGTTCATTAAATTTAGTATTGTCTTTCCATGTTCTTCCTGTTTTGTGACCCTCTTATCTGTGCTTTTGTGTGTTTTGACAGGAGCTTGCCAGCGCCCTGCACCTCTATGTCAGCCGCGAGTACCTGGGTCAGCTGATGAAAAGTAATTATTCATGTAAAAACCGGAAACACGAGAGAGCGGCCGAAAAGATCAGAGCGCAGTGGAGGCAGCTACAGGAGCTCTTCAGGACTATGGTACGCACACGCTCCTGTCTGAACCAACCAGCCAGACACTTTAAAAAGCCCATATTACACTATTCTTTTGTTTCATTCACACATGTTTAACACACAAATCCTGCATATCTAGTAATACAGGAAGTACTCCACTGTGTTTTTAAACTGCACACACCTTCACTAGAATCATTTGGATGATTTCAGTCCTGGAATTGCCGATCTCTACTGAACGAAAGTTAAAAGGTAGACAGGACATGACATCACAAGGTGGAACAGAGCATTTTGAGCTTTAGAGATGACAGGTGGCTTGGAGAAACAGACTAATAATAAAGGGTTACTCAAACATGTGTGAATGAAACAAAATAATAAAATAATAAAATAACATGGCCTAAAGCTCACAAGAGTCACATTTTGTGTAATATAGGACCTTTTGCATGTTCTTCCAGTGTCTGGGTGTGGAGTAATCTGAATTTTCCATCAAGCTAAAGCTTAAACAGCCAGTTTTCTAGAGCTGGTACTAACTATGATTTAATTAGTCAGCGATTAAAGACTTAACGTATTTTCCGCACTATTAGGCGCTCTGGATTATAAGGAGCATTGTCACTGAATGGTTTAGTTTCGAACTTTTTTCACAAATAAACCACACCCGACTTTAAATGAAACCCAACAGTGTGATGGGTGAGTGGTTTTGTTTGTTTGTGTCGTTCACGGTGACTCTGGGCTTTGTTCAGTTGTGGCGTGTAGGGAGGGTGTGTCTGGGACCACTGGATTGTCGGCGTGTTCACAGTGACTCAGTTGTTCAGTTGTGTCTAGAAGTGGCACATTGCACTCGCTTTTTCGGTTCGTTCCTCCTCGTCGGCGTGGAGTGATGAGTGTGGTCGCTGTCTGCTCCGTGTGTGTTTGTGTGTTCTGTGGGTGGTGCGGCTTTGTAGTTTACTGAAGTCGTGCTGGGACACCCGAGTGGATTCGTGTGTGGGGCGATCTGGATTGTGGCGCGCAGTTGTTTTTTGATGGGGTTAGAGGCTTAAGAGCACGTCTAATAGCCCGGAAAATACGGTACTCAAACATGTGTGAATGAAACAAAATAATAAAATAATAATAAAATAACATGTCTTAAAGCTCAAAAGAGTCACATTTTGTGTAATATAGGACCTTTTGCATGTTCTTCCAGTGTCTGGGTGGATTAATCTGAATTTTCCATCAATCTAAAGCACAAACAGCTAGTTTTCTAGAGCCGGGACTAACCTTGATTTAATTAGTCAGCAACTAAAGACTTACTTTCCATTTAAAATAGATGTGTGCTTTTGATGTGAATGCCCTTGAACCAAAACATAAAGTAGCAGATGGTCAATTATTAAATTAATAATCAATAAAGTACAGAACAGTGGCTGTGTACCAGTAAATCCATTAAATGTCGTCTTGAAAATAAATGATTAATGACTGTTCAAACATTCACAAATCACTCTGAATACAAAGTCCATTTTGCAGAGAGTTCTGCAGATGATGTTTTAATTTCATTGGAAAGCCCCTTGAGATGTGCCATCTTGTTTTTGAGGGTGTCTAAAAACATTAATATTACACAATACAATACAATACAATACAATAGACAGAAAACAAAACTTAGAGGTTTACATTACAAAACATACACATACACATATACACACACACACCCCTATACACATACACATATACACTCATATACACACATATACACACACATATACACACACACACACTTATACACACACATATACACACACACACACATACATACACATACACACACATATAAAACAATATCTAAATAATAATGTATAGTACTCCCTCTTTAAAGGTGTTCAGGAAAGGTGCATCATTTTCAGAGTTTCACTGTTGATACTTAGATAAGCTTTACTGATTCACAAGGAAAATGACACTGAAGCTCACACATTACAATATTGAAACAAATAAATGATAATAAACTCCAGAATAATTAAAGATCCACTGTGGAACTTTTTAGCAAAAAAAAACAAAAAACAAAAAACAGACTAAAGTAAAAACATGTGTTTTTATTGCACTGAAAAACAAACATGTTCCCTTAATGTGAGCCGGCTTGCATCTCCACAAACCTGACTCAGACGAAACCTCCACATGCCTGTCGCCATGGAAATGTTTGTGCTTTAGATAAAATGTTCCACCATATGACATAAAACTGATCTATCTCTATGATACTTCACGTCATGGTTTAGACCTGGTTTAGACCTGGTTTAGTCCTGGTTTAGACTTGAATTAGTCCTGGTTTAGTCCTGGTTTAGACCTGGTTTAGACCTGGTTTAGTCCTGGTTTAGTCCTGGTTTAGACTTGAATTAGTCCTGGTTTAGTCCTGGTTTAGACCTGGTTTAGACCTGGTTTAGTCCTGGTTTAGAGTTGAATTAGTCCTAGTTTAGTCCTGGTTTAGACCTGGTTTAGACCTTGTTTAGACCTGGTTTAGTCCTGGTTTAGACCTAGTTTAGACCTGGTTTAGTCCTGGTTTAGACCTGGTTTAGACCTGGTTTAGTCCTGGTTTAGACTTGAATTAGTCCTGGTTTAGACCTGGTTTAGTCCTGGTTTAGTCCTGGTTTAGACCTGGTTTAGACCTGGTTTAGTCCTGGTTTAGACTTGAATTAGTCCTGGTTTAGTCCTGGTTTAGACCTGGTTTAGACCTGGTTTAGTCCTGGTTTAGACTTGAATTAGTCCTGGTTTAGTCCTGGTTTAGACCTGGTTTAGACCTTGTTTAGACCTGGTTTAGTCCTGGTTTAGACCTAGTTTAGACCTGGTTTAGTCCTGGTTTAGACCTGGTTTAGTCCTGGTTTAGACTTGAATTAGTCCTGGTTTAGACCTGGTTTAGACCTGGTTTAGTCCTGGTTTAGTCCTGGTTTAGACTTAAATTAGTCCTGGTTTAGACCTGGTTTAGACCTGGTTTAGACCTGGTTTAGACCTGGTTTAGACCCACATATACACACATACACATATACACACATATACACACATACACATATACACACATATACACACGTACACATATACACACATACATACACATATACACTCATATACACACACATACACACACACGCACACACACACACACACACACATATACACAGATGGAGTCTGCTGTCTATTCCGACATCTCTTCATTCCGACATGTCTCTATTTAGACACGGTGGTTATCTGACAGTTTTTAGTATCGCTATTCTGACATGTCATTATTTATTTAGGTTTTTTTTTTTGAGAGTTGTGATAATGTCCCCAGGCGTGTTCACTGTTCTTCAATGTTCTGAATCTCAACAACTATCAAGTCGCACACAAAACCGACACACACTGTAGCCAAGTGTATCCCATGTCGATCAGTGAAGACATTTTCCCACTGTCTGATAATCCTCTGTGGCGTCTTATGATATATGAGAACACAAAGTATAATAGGCTATTACATTAATATTATTCATGTCGGAAAAGCCAAATGTTTGAAAAATAGTAAAGTGCCACTACTCCGACAATGAAAGAAAAAAAAATAATCAAAGTAGTGGGACGCTTGAAAAATAATGTTTATGCCTCTTCTCCGACAATTAGACGTCAATGTCTAAATAGCGGCATGTCCAAATAGCAACATGAAACACACACACACAGACAGACACACAGACACACACAGACAGACTTGCTCCCAATTCCTGCAACAGTATCTGATTTTTAAATTTAATAATGGTGCTATCTCTGTGATAAAAAACAAAACAAGACAAAAAACAAAATAAGGTAGATAGTCTAGATGAGGCTAGGTTGGCTATTACCCTTAATATGCCTAATAAAAATGTTTTTGTTGACATATTCACATCACAGCACACCTGAACCAGCTACAGAGGCTTTGTGCCATTTATTTAAACTAGGATAAATACAGATAAATACACAAGAACACAGAGTTATTGTCAGTGGTTGTATTTCATACTTCTGTGTGTTTTGTTTCAGGAGTCTTGTCATGACTGGCTGTATCCAGTAGGTGGCGCTCTGTGTGACATCATTGGACAGAAACATGCGTCTGACATCAAGAGCCACCTGGGGCCCATAGTCCAGCACTGTCCAGACTTTGGGTAAGATTCTCCTCATGTGCTGCTAATGCTAAAGCTAAAGCTAATGCTATTACTAATACTGGGTTTTCCCCTTTGGATAATTATTGACTTGATCATCACAGATGAAGCAGCTATGCTGCAAATGTTTGCTGTGAGCTCTCTGGAAACTCTTGTCAAGGTTATGTCAGTGAAAAACAGCAATAGCTACAAGAGCATGTAGTAGTTAAAGCCTCACTGCGTAACATTTCTACTGTCTATGTGTCTCTGTGTCCTGAGTGAGTTGTCTTGAAAAGTTTATTCTATGGATACATTTTGGTGCATCTGCTGCTTTCAAGACCACTGGGAGATTGGATATTTTCCATTTGAATGTTAGGGGTTTAAGTTCAGGTTTTACGATGAAGTATAAAGAGTCATATTAAAAATATAAACCAGAATGAACATCTCAACAACAAAGTCACAATTTTACGAGAATAAAGGCATAAACAAAGTAAACATGTATTTTTATCAAGATTTAGGGACTGACATCAATGACAAAACTCTAAAGGCTTATTCATACTTCATAAGAACATAAGAACTTTGTTCTAGTTCTTGAGGTGATAAGAACAAGAACAAAGTTCAGTTGACATCTGACATTTCATACTTCAAAAGATGTTCTTCTGCCCAGCTGCTTCACCCCCTCTGTTGGGAGGGTATTTCTTTTCGTCCTCCAGCCTGACCGCTCTGTTTTTTGGTGACCCTTTTTCTAAACGGATTTTTGTCCGGGCCTAGAATGTCGGCGATCTCCCTCCATGAATTTCTTGCCTTTTGGCATCTTTATAGTCACTGAGCGTCGTGTCATACTGATGTTTTTATTTTCTCTCTATTTCCGCCAGCTGTGACTCAAAACCATCCTTTTTTTTCCTTGCTCCACACCGGCGAGGAAGCAGATCAACCACGCCAGTGCTGCTGAACTGCCGAACAAAGTTCTGCTCAGCTGAAGTACCGAGAACAAATGGCAAGAACTGCCCAACAGGAGCTGGCCCAACAAAATGACATCATTATGTTCGGCCAACCCTGGGTGCAAGAACAAAGTTGTTATGTTCTATGAAGTATGAATAGGCCTATTCATACTTCATAGAACATAAGAACAACAATTCGACAGTGCAAAAAAAGGCACTTATTTGATTTGATTGAAAAGCTGAAATGAAAACCTTTGTTTGCTGTGGTTGCATGTAAAGAGTTCAGGATCAGGTCTGATTTCATAATAGTCCCCACGTGTTCTGTCACAATCGAGTATTTTGAAATATATTTTTAACACTGTGATGCAATTGTTCACATGGTTGGCATTTTGGACATTTTGGTTTTATCAGCAAAATATACAATAAAGCAGGAAATCTTAGACACCTGTGAGGAAGTTGTGGCCAGACTGTTAATGGGATTTTCCACTGAACTGTGGCCCGTTTTTAAAGCCATAACAACAACCAAAACAGGATCTGTATGACGCTGTCGCAACACTCACACTTCAAACTCAAGTTCTGATACTCAAACGGCTCCAAACTACAAGAGAATGGACAGACTTATAATACTGGCATGGTTCAGACATGGTTTAGACATGATTTGACCTGGTTTGGTCCTGGTTTAGTCCTGGTTTAGACCTGGTTTGATCCTAGTGTAGTCCTGATTTACATCTGGCTTAGTCCTAGTTTAGTTCTGGTTTAGACCTGGTGTAGTTCTGGTTTAGACCTGATGTAGTTCTGGTTTAGACCTGGTGTAGTTCTGGTTTAGACCTGGTGTAGTTCTGGTTTAGACCTGGTGTAGTTCTGGTTTAGACCTGGTGTAGTTCTGGTTTAGACCTGGTGTAGTTCAGGTTTAGACCTGGTGTAATTTTGGTTTAGACCTGGTGTAGTTCTGGTTTAGTCCTTGTTTAGACCTGGTGTAGTTCTGGTTTAGACCTGGTGTGGTTCTGGTTTAGACCTGATTTAGTCCTTGTTTAGACCTGGTTTAATCCTAGCTAAGTTCTGGTTTAGTCCTGGTGTAGTTCTGGTTTGATCCTGGTGAAGGCCTGGTTTGGGTCTGGTTTAGTCCTAATCAGGAAGTGCGCTGTTAGGTTTCTAGCTGTAAACATTATTGTAATGGCAAAGCTGCGACCTGTGAGTTTGGAAAAGTGTTCATAAACTCCTCGCGGTGATTCTTGAGTGAACTGTGGCTCATAGAAAACAAACAGGATGTGTATTTGACGCTGTCGCAGTACTCCATTTACTCTTTTTGATATTATTTAAAAAGATATGGAAACTTAAAAATAATGGAAACAATATAATGTAATTTTCTGAATAAATTATGTCTTTTCTTTACTGTGCCACTGTGTTACTGTGGTCTAGATGAAGACCATACAAGAGCTTTAGAAGTCAGACATGCATGTTTGAGTAATCTAGAGATCTCTCCCGGGCCCTATTCGAACCCTCCTTATGTTTAGCCGTAGGATTTTGTACAAGGCTCCGCCCACAAGCCCAATAATTCTCCATAAATATACAAAAACATGATCCAAAACTGTGACAACGACTTCACAAACCCGATGCGATGTGCAGGAGTTTCATTGTGATGGTGCTGTGAAGGGGGAGTGACTTAGTGCGGAGATGGACTCAGCAGCAGCAAATGAAAGAAATAAAACATTTTACTACATTGTTTTTGGTAAATATAACATTTTCAAAACAATATCTAAATAATAATGTATAGTACTCCCTCTTTAAAGGTGTTCAGGAAAGGTGCATCATTTTCAGAGTTTCACTGTTGATACTTAGATAAGCTTTACTGATTCACAAGGAAAATGACACTGAAGCTCACACATTACAATATTGAAACAAATAAATGATAATAAACTCCAGAATAATTAAAGATCCACTGTGGAACTTTTTAGCAAAAAAAAAAAAAAAAAAAAAAAAAAACAGACTAAAGTAAAAACATGTGTTTTTATTGCACTGAAAAACAAACATGTTCCCTTAATGTGAGCCGGCTTGCATCTCCACAAACCTGACTCAGACGAAACCTCCACATGCCTGTCGCCATGGAAATGTTTGTGCTTTAGATAAAATGTTCCACCATATGACATAAAACTGATCTATCTCTATGATACTTCACATCATGGTTTAGACCTGGTTTAGACCTGGTTTAGACCTGGTTTAGTCCTGGTTTAGACCTGGTTTAGACCTCGTTTAGACCTGGTTTAGTCCTGGTTTAGACTTGAATTAGTCCTGGTTTAGTCCTGGTTTAGACCTGGTTTAGTCCTGGTTTAGACTTGAATTAGTCCTGGTTTAGACCTGGTTTAGTCCTGGTTTAGACTTGAATTAGTCCTGGTTTAGACCTGGTTTAGACCTGGTTTAGTCCTGGTTTAGTCCTGGTTTAGTCCTGGTTTAGACCTAGTTTAGACCTGGTTTAGTCCTGGTTTAGACCTAGTTTAGACCTGGTTTAGTCCTGGTTTAGACCTGGTTTAGACCTGGTTTAGACTTGAATTAGTCCTGGTTTAGACCTAGTTTAGACTTGAATTAGTCCTGGTTTAGACCTGGTTTAGACCTGGTTTAGACCTGGTTTAGACCTGGTATTGTCTGCATCTAATTATAAAGCATTTCTGTACTCAGGCAATCAGGAAGTGCATTGTTATGCTAGTTGCTGGGCGCTTATTGTGATGTCAAAGCTCTGGTCTCTGAAAGGTGTGAAACTTTTGTGAAGAATATTTCGGCCGTTGTGACCACTGCAAAGCTTTTCAAATGAACTAGTTCTGTTTTAAAAAGGTCTTGGCAGATGGTGGAAGGTCATATGAAAAGTCAAGTTGTGGTTTGACACAGTTACAGGGGAAGACCTGAGTGAGCACAGGAGTTTTTCCCATGTCAGGTTCCTCATTATCAGAAGTTTGAGCTGAAGACTTGAAATTATATAAGATTTTAGCAGAAGAACTTTCAGTTTTAACTTAAGATGAAAGTGTAGTGTGGAAATGTTATGCAAACTGGGCTTTTCAGAACTTGTACCCATGTTAACAGCACTATTCACACGGGATTAGTGTTACCTGTGGACTTTTGGTGATTTGTAATAATTGCGGAGGATGCCTGAGATTTTAATCCTGTGCAAATGCGCCATGTCTGTCATGGGTAAATATTCTGCCGCACATGATCTACTAGATTTAGACCAAACACAGACGTCCGGTGATAACACTTGTCCCGTGCCAATCTGCACCTCAGGGTTTGTTGTTGTAATTGCGCCTTTTCTATTTCTTTCTTTACTCTCCATGTTCTTTTCTCTTTCAATCTCAGTAAAATAGTGTATTTCAGTAAAATAGAGTCATTTACAGACGTCACTGATCCTGTACGAACGTGCTGTGAGTAACACATAGGTGGGCCGCTCATTTACAAATGACCAGATGTCCTCAGGTTGTACTTATCCTGTGCATGAATTTGTGAATCGTAAGATGGAGGCCCACAAAAACACCATCTCACATTCATCGTTGAACAACTGAGGTAAAAGCTGAGCTGTCGTCTCATGTGTGTTCACAGTCCCTTACACACACTGCCTTCACACACACTCACTGCACTTTGTTCTCTTTCTTTTACTTCAAGTGGGGAATCTGTACAAAATAAAGTTGCTTATGGTTTACTGTGTCTATGGTTTAGATTCTACCTTCTTACACAGCTTTGGTATCAATACATCTTCAAAATTCTTCTTCTAGAAATCTAGAATCTAGAAGAAAAGTGTGGCTTTTACTGGTGGCCAAGACAGCAAATAAACAAGTGGACACAGCTGGAAGTTAAACATCATAAACACACACGCACCAATGCACACAACTGCCTGTGTCCACATAAACACATTCACTCTAATCAGTCACACTGTGGAGTCAGAGTCTGTGTACAGTTCCTTTTCTACACTCATGCAAATGAATGAAAGGCCACATCAGAATCATTCAACACGTTCATTAAATAATCCACAGATAAACAGGGGGGTGAGGTTTGGAACACAGAGAGAAATGGAGTGACTGTCACACGACACTGAGCAACATGAACATCAGAATAATGAACAGAACAGCCACACAGAGTTCAGTAAGGCTCCTGAGGTGACCACACATGTGCTCTAACCTGCTTCCTGCTTAACAGCGCTTATATCAGCATGTGCGTCATGAATCCATCAGCTCTAGACTTTTAAATTATTAGAAAAAAATCTAAATGCAGTAGTACAGTACAAATGATTACAAGTAAAAATGTTAATGAATAAGATGTAAAGACGGAGGCTGCAGCATCGCAAATCACCCACAGCCTGAACGTGATGTGATGTTTTCGTGACCAAATGAAAAAGCCAATACACGCATCAAGAATCTCGGACTTCCAGTCATTGTGCAATTCATACTGGGAAGGATTTTCCAAAAAAGTGAGCATCAAACCTCCATGTTTGTTTTCCCAGTGGGATGTGTCTATTGACAAAGTCGATCTTTTCAAGTCTTTTGAAACTTATCACTTTTGTTTCTAGTTCTGATATTGTCATATTTTAGTTTTGGGATTCGGACATCGTAATTGTGTGGTTGTTGGATCCTAACAGCGGAAAACAGCTCGAGAAATTTGTTTGCGAACTCCATAAATGCAAAAGGGAATCAGATGTGTGTGACTGCAAACCTCTGTTCAAACTGTTTCCCTTCCCAACGGAATTGAAAAATAGTGAAAGGTGAAGGTGATGGGCAGGACTGATCCACAGGAAGAACCAAAAAGGAAACATTTGACTGACTAAATCATCCTGAGTTTGCAGAGAACAATTTTGTGTGTGAAGTGCCATCAAAGCGGGACCCAGATTCCTCACTCAACCTTGTTCACGAATTTAAAAAGTCAACGCCAAAGTGAAAGACTCCAACTGTTCACCAAGAAACACCTTCCACTGCAAAGAGACCAAGACGTGATGTTGTAAACTACAACTACTACTGTAAAGTGTCGCTATAAAACTACAGGAACAAGAAAGTGCAGCTCAGTCTGTTTGTCTTCTGCACCTCTCACTTAACAAACAGGATCCCTCTTTGTTGGTTCTCCACATACAAAATGTTCTCTGCAAACTCGGGATGATTTAGGCAGTCAAATGTTTCCTTTTTGGTTCTTCCTGTGGATCAGTCCTGCCCATCGCCTTCACCTTTCACTATTTTTCAATTCCGTTGGGAAGAGAAACAGTTTGAACAGAGGTTTGAGTCACACACATCTGATTCCCTTTTGCATTTATAGAGTTCGCAAACACATTTTTCGAGCCGTTTTCCGCTGTTAGGATCCAACACCCACACAATTATGATGTCTGAATCCCAAAACTAAAATATGACAATATCAGAACGAGAAACAAAAGTGATATGGTTCAAAAGACTTGAAAAGATCGACTTTGTCAATAGACACATCCCACTGGGAAAACAAACATGGAGGTTTGATGTTCACTTTTTTTGGAAAATCCTTCCCAGTATGAATTGCACAATGACTGGAAGTCCGAGATTCTTGATGCGTCTATTGGAGGAGAGCCATTCTAGCCAATCAGAGGCGAGGAGGGGGACCTTCCCTTCCCCTACCATCCTACGATTTACAAATGTGCACCCCATGTGAACAGGGCTATAGTCATTTCTTCTCACTGACCATCTGAAGTTGTATTTGGAGCAATTTGTGCAAGTTTGTGTCACCTTTAATCACTTATTTTCCAGTTTTCAGCTCCACCGGTACATACCTACTGAGAAGTACTTTGTTCTCCAATTTGATTTTCTTAATCGGTGAAACTCGTGGGATTTGGCAGCGTCGCATCTTAGGAAAATGTTGTGTTGATGTTTATGGCAACATAGTTTTCTAATGCAGTTGTTTCTTTTATTCATTTGTTTTAGATGAATACTGTGGTTTAAACTGTGCAAACACTGTTAATAACTATCATGATAATTACTCACTTCCTGATTCGTGGACAATAAAACGCTTTATAGGCGAGTTTCAGCTGACGTCATTGTTATTAAAAGCCCGCGTTGCATGCTGGGAAATATTTTGGTCGGAGGCAAGAAACACGGTAGCGTCAAACACAGTGTGTAACCTCGTGTATTTATCCCTGATAATGGTAAATTCCTGCTGCATTATCGGATGCACAAATAGAAGCACGGAAGAAGGAAAATGTCTTTTTCGTATTCTGAGTGAAAAGAACCACTAACGGTGAATTAAACGACTTTCAAACATTTGCAGAGCAAACGTAGAAGATCCTAACAAACCGTGGACTCCAACAAGTTCAACAACACATGGAGACTCTTGGAGGTTTTCATCTTTTCTGCTGTGAATGGCCCAGGAGTTTCCACCAAGTCATTGTGGATATCACCAAAGTGAATATTTGTCCAGGTAGTTGGTGATTCAGACCAGAAATTTGGTTTGGTCCAGACTCTGTCAGGGTTGAAAAGGGAGATTTGGCTCCATCGATGGTTATGACCAATTTCTGGTCAAATGGTCTTGGGTCCTCTGCCGTTAGAGTGGATAAATAACCAGGATCAATACCCTTTACGTGTTTTCTCGCTCCGTCCGTGATGTTGAATTAGTGTTTATTGCCGTCGACCAAAATAATTCCCAGCATGCAACGCACGCTTTTGTCAACAATGAAACTCGCCGATAATTAGATGCACAGTACACACTACAGTGGACTTAATTTATGTTGAACTTAAATGGACTCTTGTGAGCTTTAAAACATGTTAGAATGTTACCTCTCAAAAACATACTGGAGATGTGTTTTGTTTCTTTCGCACTGTCTTCATCTCCAAAGCTCAAGATGTTCTGTTCCACCTTGTGATGTCATGAAGGTGTAGTTTTCAAGTTAACAGCTCCTTTTACCTTTTACCTTTAGTTCAGTAGAGACTGACACTTCCAGGTCTGAAGTTATCCAGATGATTCTAGTGAAGATGTCTGTGGAGCACTTCCTGTATCACCCATGCATGACATCACAATGTGGAGTTTTCAAGGAATGTTTAGGAATTCCATCATTTGCTCGGGATCTGTAGGAGGACGGGAGGGCATCTGACACAGTGTGGTTTTTGTTTTGTGCAGGAGGAAGCACCTGGTGGCCGTGCTGTGGTTTCGGGGTCTGGTTCGGGGCCGAGATCATCGTCAGGTTCTACAAAAACTGTCCGAGCTGAAGAAGAAGGCACCAACCCCAGATAAACAAAGACTCCTGTTCAGTGAGATGCAAGTGACCACGAACCAGGGCTGTCTGTCCAACCTGCCCTACTCCTGCCTCAGCTTCTGCACACCACAACACTGAGACCTGCTTTAGACCCAGTTTAGTCCTGGTTTAGTCCTGGTTTAGACCTGGTTTAATCCTGGTTTAGTTCTGGTTTAGTCCTGGTTTAGAAATGGTTTAGTCCTGATTTAGACTTGGTTTAGTCCTGATGTAGTCCTGGTTTAGACTTGGTTTAGACCTGGTTTAGACTTGGTTTAGTCCTGATTTAGACTTGGTTTAGACCTGGTTTAATCCTGGTTTAGTCCTGGTTTAGTCCTGATTTAGACCTGGTTTAGTCCTGGTTTAGACTTGGTTTAGACCTGGTTTAATCCTGGTTTAATTCTGGTTTAGTCCTGGTTTAGAAATGGTTTAGTCCTGATTTAGACTTGGTTTAGTCCTGATGTAGTCCTGGTTTAGACTTGGTTTAGTCCTGATTTAGACTTGGTTTAGACCTGGTTTAATCCTGGTTTAGACCTGGTTTAGTCCTCATTTAAACTTGGTTTAGTCCTGGTTTAGTCCTGATTTAGACCTGGTTTAGTCCTGGTTTAGACTTGGTTTAGACCTGGTTTAGTCCTGATTTAGACTTGGTTTAGACTTGGTTTAGTCCTGATTTAGACTTGGTTTAGACCTGGTTTAGACTTGGTTTAGACCTGGTTTAGACTTGGTTTAGGCCTGATTTAGACTTGGTTTAATCCTGGTTTAGACTTGGTTTAGACCTGGTTTAGACTTGGTTTAGTCCTGGTTTAGATTTGGTTTAGACCTGGTTTAGTCCTGGTTTAGTCCTCATTTAGACTTGGTTTAGTCCTGATTTAGTCCTGGTTTAGTCCTGGTTTAATCCTGGTTTAGACTTTGTTTAGACCTTGTTTGGTCCTGGTTTAGACCTCAGTGAGTAGGTTGTGGGTACAATTCCTCTGACTCCTACTTTTTGCCTTAGACTTTGTGTAAATATGAAATTCCAAACACTGCTAATATTAGTTTTGTAAATTCACGTGAGTGTTTTTGTGTTGTGTAAAATAAGTCTGTGATCCGCCTTAAACGTCTTTACTGAAAACAAAATGAATAAAAATGCTGTAGACAGAACTTTTACTTTCAAACAGAATATATGTTGTGTTTTTGTGAATAAATGTAATAATTATGAATGACTAACTCAGGGCATTTAGGTACAAATCCTCATGTTCTATTTTATTTGGAGAATAAAGCTATTTTACTTTAACTTTTAACTTTTGACTTTCTTGATTGAATTTATTGATTTATTTTTTTATTTTCTGATCTATGTTCTAATGTCGTTTCCTCAGACCTGGAGTTGTGTTTTTGTTTCATTCACATGTTTAACACACAAACTCTGCACATTTAAACTTAGACTTAGTTCTTCTCTCAAACAGAAAACACTCTGCTCCACTTTATGATGTCATGTGGTGATACAGGAAGTTCTCCGTCGTGTTTTTAAACTCCACACACCTTCACTAGAATCATTTGGATCATTTTCAGCCCTGGAATTGTAAATCTCTCCTGACCTAAAGGTAAAAGGAGATGTTTACTTGAAAACTACCACTACTCATGACATCACCAGGTGGAACAGAGCATTTTGAGGTTTGGAGATGTAGACAGTAATTACAAAGAGTTACTCAAACATCTGAATGAAACAAAACACAAGTCCAGATCTGTTTTTGAGGAAGTATCAACATAATAACATGAAAAGCATTTTGCAGAATTTCTCTTTCTCTCTCGTTTTACACTTAGAGCATTAAAGAGTGAGAACAGTCGTAAAAAAGATCAGGTATTGCAATATTGTGAGTTTTTTCTGGTAAATTCAGAGTAATATCACTGTAGTTTTTATGCAGAGGGATTTCAGTCTGGAACCACATGTGATCGTCCAATCAGGTTTTTTTTTTTTTGGTTTTTTTTTTCATTAGCACATGTGAAGCAAACGAGCTCATTGTGACTCATTATTTAGATCAGGGTCACCAAACTTTTTTCTCTGGGGGCCACATTATGACTCCTGACTGTGATGAGGAGCTTCTGTGTACCACAAAACCTGACCTGGTTTAGTCCTGGTTTAGTTCTAGTTTAGTCCTGGTTTAGACCTGGTTTAGACCTGGTTTAGACCTGGTTTAGTTCTGGTTTAGACCTGGTTTAGTCCTGGTTTAGTCCTGTCTTAATCCTGGTTTAGTTCTGGTTTAGACCTGGTTTAGACCTGGTTTAGACCTGGTTTAGTCCTGGTTTAGTCCTGGTTTAGACCTGGTTTAGACCTGGTTTAGACCTGGTTTAGTCCTGGTTTAGATCTGGTTTAGTCCTGTCTTAATCCTGGTTTAGTTCTGGTTTAGACCTGGTTTAGACCTGGTTTAGTTCTGGTTTAGACCTGGTTTAGTCCTGGTTTAGTCCTGTCTTAATCCTGGTTTAGTTCTGGTTTAGACCTGGTTTAGACCTGGTTTAGTTCTGGTTTAGACCTGGTTTAGTCCTGGTTTAGTCCTGTCTTAATCCTGGTTTAGTTCTGGTTTAGACCTGGTTTAGACCTGGTTTAGACCTGGTTTAGATCTGGTTTAGTCCTAGACAGATCGTCCAGTTTGTGTTGTGAATAGGTTGTGGGTACGATTCCTCAGTGAGTTCTATTTTTTGCCTGAAGTGGTTTGTAGAAAACCAAATGAAAACAGGAGCGTGAAGAGTTTATCAGTTTATTCTGAATCATTTTAGATCCGTCTTACAGTTGACGATGAACAAAATGCAAAACCAGAAAAAAGAAGAAAGGATCTTAAAAAGATCATGTTTTTCAAAGGACTGTGTGTCTGTTCTCCGTTGGTTTTTATTTTTGGTTGGTGGTTGTGCCCAGTCTGCTCCTCACAAATGTGTTTTAAATTCTTTTTTCTGTGTGGTCCAAACTCACCTGACCTCAGGACTTGGATTTGGACCTGACACGTTTTTGTCCTGAAGTGAACCACGAACAACATGAGACCAGTGTGTCTTGAACAGGTCTCTGCTCTCATGTCTCCCTCCTGGAGACACTTTATTAAACAAATCTCTCATTCAAATGTTTCTCTTCTCTCTCTATTTCTCTCCTTCACCCCCGTCTATCCCCCATCCCCCCATCTCTCTCACATCCCCCCTCTTCTCTCTCTCCCCTCTCTTCTCTTCCCTGTCTTCTTTCTCTCTATTTCCTCACTCTTCTCTCTCTCTCTTCCCCTTGCCCTCTCACCTCTCTTCTCAGGTCTCTTTTTCTCTCTCCTCTCTCCTCCCTTCTCTCTCTTTCTATTCTCCTCCCTTTCTTCTCTCCCCCCTCTCTCCCCTCTCTTCTCTCTCTCTCTTCTCTCTCTCTCTCTCTCTCTCTCTCTCTCTCTCTCTCTCTCTTCTCTCTCTCTCCTCTCTCTCTCTCTCTCTCTCTCTCTCTTCTCTCTCTCTCTCTCTCTCTCCCCTCTATTCTCTCTCTCTCTTCTCTCTCTCTCTCTTCTCTCTCTCTCCCCTCTATTCTCTCTCTCCCCTCTCTTGTATCTCTCTTCTCCCTTGTCTCTCTTCTCTCTCTCTTCTCTCTCCTCTTCTCTCTCTCTCCCTCTCTTCTCTCTCTCTCTCTTCTCTCTCTCTCTTCTCTCTCTCTCCCCTCTCTTCTCTCTCTTCTCTCCCCTCTATTCTCTCTCTCCCCTCTCTTCTCTCTCTTCTCTCTCTCTCTCTTCTCTCTCCTCTTCTCTCTCTCTCCCCTCTCTTCTCTCTCTTATCTGCTCTCTCCCCTCTCTTCTCTCTCTCCCCTCTCTTCTCTCTCTCCCCTCTCTTGTATCTCTCTTCTCCCTTGTCTCTCTTCTCTCTCTCTGACCCACAGGGATGGATGGATGGATGGAGGAGGATGATGGGACTTTTTTTTCGGTGAATATTCCAGACAGAGCTGTGTTTGTGTTGTAAGAGAGGAGAGCACCAGGCTGCAGGTTCACGCTCACACTTTAGGGAGGATTCAGTTTGACCTGTGAGTCCTCACAGGTCACAAACTCCTTTTTAATCCACTAAATGTTTTCTTCAAGTGGGAAAAGCCAGCACTTTTCCTCAGTTTCGACATGACTCGCTCCAAAACAAACCTGCCGCAGCCACTTCAATGAGTCATGGATTTATCTGTTCGTTCGAGTTCCCTGTCTTGAGAAATCGGGTTTTATCTGTTGTCTACTTTAATATTAGCTGAGAAAGATGAATCAATGAATGATTTATGGAACAAAACTATTCTGCGCTGGAGCTGCTGGAGGGTTTTTATGTGTTTATTGTGCATAATGTGGATGAAATGTGAAATTTACCTACAAGTACGAATAAAGTAATCGAACCAAACTGAACTGAAGCTGACCTCATCTCAAAAAGTTACACAGTTTTTAAATAATGGGCTCCAGTGTTTGGGAGTAACAGTTTACATGTACGGGGGTTATGTAATCTGAATATTCATCATGAGTAAGTGTACTCAGTTACAGTTACTGTTTCAATGCAGTTACTTTGTTCAAATAAATGGATGACACGACGGTATTTTCCTGTTTTCACATTTTGGGCTATATCCCTTATTTTGGGGGGGGGTAATTCCACTCATTGCCGGACACTAAACCAGGACTAAAACAGGACTAAACCGGGACTAAACCAGGACTAAACCAAGACTAAAACAGGACTAAACCAGAACTAAAACAGGACTAAACCAAGACTAAAACAGGACTAAACCGGGACTAAACCAGGACTAAAACAGGACTAAACCGGGACTAAAACAGGACTAAACCAGGACTAAAACAGGACTAAACCAGGACTAAAACAGGACTAAAACAGGTCTATAGGTCTAAACCCGGTCTAAAACCAGGACTAAAACAGGACTAAACCAGGACTAAAAGAGGACTAAAACAGGACTAAACCAGGACTAAACCAGGACTAAAACAGGACTAAACCAGGACTAAACCAAGACTAAAACAGGACTAAAACAGGACTAAAACAGGACTAAAACAGGTCTATAGGTCTAAACCCGGTCTAAAACCAGGACTAAACCAGGACTAAATCCTGCTGTGTGGACGTGTCTTCTCTTTTATCAATAATATTTTTAATTTGGTTCAGTAAAGTCTGGGCTTTTCATTTTCTTTTAGCAGATAAAACATCTTACATTGAAATTTTCTAGTCTTTGCTTCTCTACAGCAAATCAAGTAATCCAAAGTATTCAGATTACATTACTCACTTTAAGTCATTTAATGGATTCTGTTACAAAGTACATTTTGGGGTATGTAATCTGTAATCTGTAGGGGAATACATTTTAAAAGTCATCTTCCCAACACTGATGGGCCCATATCCCGTTATGTTCTGATCTTTGTTCTAATGTCGTTTCACACCTGCACTTGTGTTTTGTTTCATTCACATGTTTAACACACAAACCCAAACATTTCACTCAAAACACTGTTCCACCTTGTGATGTCATCCAGTGTTTTTAAACTCCACACACCTTCACTAGAAACATTTGGATCATTTCAGCCTCTGGAATCTCCAGTCTCTCCTGAACTGAAGGTAAAAGGAGATGTTCACTTGAAAACGTCCACGTCATGACATCACAAGGTGGATCAGAGCAGTTTGAATTGTGGAGATGTAGACAGACTAATAAGTTGCTCAAACATGTGAATGAAACAAAACACAACTGCAGCTCTGTTTGTGAGGAGAGAACAACACTAGAACAAGTGTACACAAGTACTGAAGCTCACAAGAGACACGGCTGTCCTCTAAGACTGTCAAACAACACAGGAAGAACATGCAAACTCCACCCAGACACAGGAAGAACATGCAAACTCCACCCAGACACAGGGAGAACATGCAAACTCCACCCAGACACAGGGAGAACATGCAAACTCCACCCAGACACAGGGAGAACATGCAAACTCCACCCAGACACAGAGAGAACATGCAAACTCCACCCAGACACAGAGAGAACATGCAAACTCCACCCAGACACAGGGAGAACATGCAAACTCCACCCAGACACAGGGAGAACATGCAAACTCCACCCAGACACAGAGAGAACATGCAAACTCCACCCAGAACACAAGAAGAACATGCAAACTCCACCCAGACACAAGAACATGCAAACTCCACCCAGACACAAGAACATGCAAACTCCACCCAGACACAGAGAGAACATGCAAACTCCACCCAGACACAGGGAGAACATGCAAACTCCACCCAGACACAAGAAGAACATGCAAACTCCACCCAGACACAAGAGAACATGCAAACTCCACCC